TCGAACAATTTTTTACATATAAACTTCTTTCTTTGTGCAAATTAAACTTAAGACTACATACTTTAGTGCTGTATGTATAGAAAAAATTATTTTTTTAGTATTAAAATGAAGTTTAATCGAAACATTCAACCAATTTTTCTTAATTTCATGACTACTGTATTCAACATATTTTCAAAACTATTGTTTGCCATGTTACCAGCTGCATAAATACTTGAAACTTTGAAAATAATCATTTTTTAATATAACAATTAATGTCCGATGGCCCATTGACTTGAAAAAATATTCTATACATAAGAAATTGACAGTGGGCGGGGGTACCCGATTCTCCCCTATAACTCTAAATTAAGCGAATACATAATCCAATGAAATATTACTTTAGAAATATGGATTCTAGATTAAATGAATATAAAAATAAAGGGTAATGCTCTTTTATGGATATATTAACTGTAGATTAAATAAATTCATTATCAAATAAACTTTTATTTTATCTAAGAATTCTAGATTAAACACATACATTATCTAAAAAATATATTGATATATTTTTTTTAGATTAAAAAAATACATTATCAAATAAAATGTCTTTGATATTTGGATATAATAACACCAGATTAAGAGAAACATTTTTATCAAAAGAAATATTTTTTTCCTTCCATTAAATAATCTTTATTATCGAATTTAATTATGCAAGGGATATACCTAAACAAATTGCGAGATCTCAATTTACATGAATAGTTGTCTTTTGTTTTGTGAAATAAAATTTTATTTGTTTGTCTGAAACCACACATTACTCACTTTTTAAATTAAGCAGGAATGTAATAAAAGTTCATTTGTTATATAAGGAAATCATTCTACTTCAGCGTATATTTATTTTAAAAATAAATTAGGTGAAATTTTTATAAACAAAGAATACAGAAGCTTTTAAATTTTTGTTTAGATAATGGCCAATGTGTTGGTTGGAGAAAAAATTCTGAATATTTTTGGCTTACATACCAAGAAGTAAGTTATAAATATATCTTAGAAATGCACTCCATTTCTTTCTTTCTTTCTTTATTTGTTGTTTTCTTAATACCATTTAGTTTATGAAACGAGCAAAGCATTTTGGTGCCGGATTGGAAAAAATAGGAATAAATCTTGGACAATCCACTCGGATTGGCATTCATGCAACAAACTCAGTACAAGTAAGTAATTTTCATCTTATTAATAAATATTAAGTATTAATTACTTTTATTTAATAATTTAATGCCTATTTTTTTAATTATTAGTGGTTGATAGCTCAATACGGCTGTTTTTATTATTCATCTTCTGCTGTTCCTCTGTATGACACCATTGGTCCTGAAGCCAGAACTTTTATGATTAATAATGGTAATATACAGTAGTTTTTATGATTTATATTTAACTTTGTTTTTAATAATAAATTTTTTCGACAAAACTGTTTTAATTTAGCTCATTCAATTTTTTGGTATCAAAGCTCATGAAAATTGACAATAAATGGAACAGAAAATACATAAATTCATATTCATCTTTTACACCGAAGAGCCATTACATTATGACCACCCTCCATCTATAATGGGCTCGGCAAGGAACAATGTTTTAATGGGGCACATTAGGACCCATAAACCTCATAGAGCAATCCCTGACGTCTGTAAGCTACTTGAACATAGTTGCAGACCAGGTTCACCCATTCATGGCAACAGTTTTTCCTGCGGGGGATGGTGTTTACCAACAGGATAATGCACCATGTCTTATGGGTCGAATCGTCGAGGAACATTCCAGTGACTTTCAAGTCACTGGAATGTTCCTCGCCCCTCGACACCTTGGCCCCCAAATTCACCTGACCTTAATCCAATAGAGCATTTGTGGTCCTACTTGGAAAACCAAATTCGTGCTGCCATGCTACCCCCTCGTAATGTGAGGGAATTGCAGTGCCAGTTGGTGAGTGCTTGGTACCAGACACTTAGGTCCGCCCCTTTGAAAGATTTATAAATTCTCCCTATCTTAGAATTAGGGATGTAATGAATGTAATGAATGTTAGGGATGTAACGACCACATGTTCGTATTATTTGGAAAATTATTCTTCTACTAAGTTTTTTTTTTTGGTTTATATTCTGTTAATAGATTTAATGAAGAATGATCGAAATTAATTATTATACATTATAAGAAATAGTTTTTACACATATTTGTTAAGCTCTAAAATTTTTTAATTTATCTTCTGAAAGACATTTGGAAAAACGAAATTTGAAGAATTGATACTAGATTACTTTAAACTGAACCATGAGTTTTGTAATGCTTATTTTCTTTTTTTAATTATATTTAGGTGAGTCAATTTCATCGTTTTTCCAACACCTTAGATTTTAAAAATTTAGATCTTTTTTCTCTTGTGCGGGGAGATAGATAACTAGTAACATAAAAAAATTACGATTCTCGACATTAAAGTTATATTTCAGAACTAAGGCGGGGGGGGGGGGNGGGGGGGGGGGGATTTTTGTTTCTCCTTTGACTTTTTTTATTAACTTTTCTTTCTAACAACATTTTTATTATGATGGCATTTTTAAAGAGCGTTTCGATTGAACGTTATTCCTTTATGGTGACTTTTTTTTAAAACTACATAACGTGAAAATGCTTAATGACGATTTTAGCGTTAAATTTTTTGTTTACAAATTAAGAACGATTTTTGTTCTGGTTTCTATCTTGCTTTTTCTTTTTCAAAAAACATATGTTTTTACAAACGTTTTTTTTATGATGCAGCATTAAAGATGTTTTCTATTAGTCTTTAATCTTTACTTTTTCTTAAAAATACAGCAATTGGAAAGCTGAAATGCTTAGCCTTAAAATTTTCTTTCAGAAATTAAGATCAATTTTAATTTTTTCTGTTTTGTTTTTGTATCTTCATTTTTATAGCCGTTTTTATAATAGCGCTGCAATTTTAAAAGCGTTTCTGATGGACATTTAATATTTTATGAATAATTTTTCCGGAAAATATTATTTCCAGCTTTGAAGTTTCATTTTAAGAATTAAAAGGACATTTCTTTTTCAAATTTGCAACTTAGTTTTTTTAAATCTAATCTTTAAATCTAATTATCTTTATTATCTTAAACATTTTTATTATTTTTTTCCTCCCTTTATCTCATACCAATAAAACAGTTAAGTTTTGATTATTTTTCAAAAAAGATTATACTTATTGCGATATAAAAAATAATTTTTATTAATATTTTTTTCTAATTTGCTATTATGCCTACTTTTTCGGCCGAAAATTCGGTATTCTGTTATTCGGCAGGTATTCGACATTCTGCTATTATATTCGGTATTCTGCTAATATATTATACTACTTAAAAAGGTCGAAATTTTGAAATTTGATACTACAACGATAAGATAGAAAATTCACTTGGATTAACTGCGAAATGGTCACAAAAAAGATTATTAAAAGTCGAAATTCACGCATCATAACTTTGTCGTATTAAAAATTTTCCCATTTTCAAAAATTCTTAACAATAACCACCGATAAAAGCGATAGTAAGACTACTATGATTTAGATTTAGCGCGTCAGAAACTTAAATACGCAATTTAAAATTTCCGATTTCTTTTTTATTTTCAAAAACAATTGGAACAGTTTTATTATTATTATGTTGCACTTGTGCACCCCTATTGTGCACCCTTATATAGTGTCTTATTTCTGAATCCTGCACCCTCAAACATCGAGCACCCTCCCCCCAAAACCGTGGGAGTTACTAGGGTGTTATTTACCCCACTGACTACCTAGATAGCAAATCTAAATACGAAAGAAGAGTTCAGTTTTGCAGTCAAGAGATCCGTGCCTATTTTTCACATTTTTGAAGAAAATTTTAAAAATATTCGTTGGTGACAAATGGAACAAATAATTACAGTAAAAACTTTTGGAATGTACTCTTTACGTTATAAATTGCTGTAGGTACAGCAATTTATAAAATGAATAGTATAAAATTTGTTAGCTAATTTTTGTACAATTGTATAGAAAATATCAATTTAGTGTTTGCGTATATTTTAACACTAAGGAAACACAGCTAAGGCAAAAGTTATCTGTTGTTTTAGCTGAAATATCAGTAGTTGTATGTGACCACGAGAAAACAGTCAAGGCGTTGTTGGAAAAAAGTGATGCAACTCCTGATTTGAAGCACATTGTATATATGAAGGATATTAGCGACGAGTTAAAGGCAATGGGGAAAAAAAGAGAAATTGCTTTGCATCTATTTTCAGAAGTTGAAGTAAGTGAAACAGTTTTCTTTCTATCAATTGAGTTACTAAAAATTAGAGATGTTATTTGAGTATTTTAGCTGATTCCTTTTAATTAGAATTTTAAACAGTGTGTTCTGCAATTACCATCTAAAATATATTCTTTAGAATTTTTAGGAAATCATAGTGAAACAAAATACCAGGTAAAAAAAAAGTCATATTTAATTGGAGGGGAAAACATAAAATGTTTTTGGGGAAGGTGTGCTTAAAAACATTAAAACCTGGTTAAAAGCCAGAGAAAACGATGAAGATTAGAAATAACTTCAAGTTTAATTCCGCAGTCAAGCGGTTTTGATGTTTTATTCTCACCTTCCCAAAGCAGTTAATTAGAATTTTAAGACGTTTTTGCTTCCTCCTTGACTTTTTACGTGTCCATTTTTTTAAATTTCATTTTAAGTCAGGATTTTAAAAATATATATTAAAGACGAAGAGTAACGGAACTCTCTGTATTCATGGCATTATTTTACTCCAAACATAACTACTAAATTTATTATTTGGTTATTTGAATCTCGCAGAAATTTCTGTGCCTGTTTGCCTTTCAGTTTTGTTCCACTGTGGTTATGAAATCGCCAAATGTTGAATAAAATTGGGTTTTAGCGAAAGTATTGGTCAATGATGTATTTCAGTTGATAGAAGAATATTTAGTTAACTTGATCCTCAAAATAACATCAGAATGAATTTTTCTAAACAAATCAGTATTTTTTATTTGATTACTGTAATTTTCAATAAATGCGCCAAATAACCAATTAGAATTAAGAATAATATAAGCCTGAAACAAGCTACAGTTAAATAGCTTTCTATGGAAAAAAGCTAATCATAAAAAGAAATTTAAGATTTTTGCTTTTGCCGAAGCCTTTCGAAAGTCGTCGAATACTTTTAATATTTGCCTAATTTGCTGGCTTTTAATTTGAAATCCTTAGCGCAGGCCCTAATTATGTACTATACAATTATGTACTGTACAATACCTAATTATGTATATATATGAGCCTTGATGTCTCAGGGGATAGAGCGCTCACCTTTTAATGCGATGAGTCGGGTTCAAACTTCAGCTATAACTGATTGATACGAATTCCACTTCCAGCTTGCACTGACCATAGTGATGACGTAATGATGTAAAATATGGCGGATCATGGGATACAGTCCCCCTGCCGTCAGGCTAACCGTGGGAGGCTTTGGAGGTTTTCCTCTCCATGCAACGCAAGTGCAGGTTAGCTCCCTCAAAAAGTCCTCCACGATGGTAAATTTCTCCCAATAGTTGACCCAGAAGTTCCTTTGTCTTTTGGATTGGGTTCAAAATTACAAAGCTACGGAATTGGATATTGGTAGTCGTAAACCCAAAATTGGGTCGGCTATTCAACGACGGTTATGAAATGAAATATATTTGTATATTTTATATATGCGAGTGTGTGTAGGCAAGAACAAAAAACCTGTTTGATTACCTGTTAAAAGTTAATATTCGAGAAACCACGAAGCTCCGTCTGTCAGTTAAACTGATTCTGATATTTTAACCGCATTTTTTTTCAATAGTGCTTTGAAGAAACGTTAACATTCATTTGAATGAATAAAACATTTTTTACTTCATTTTTTCAAGGATTCTTAACAAAATATTAAAACCTTGTTGTTGCCAAGCCATACTTTCAATTAGTGAGTTTGTCTTTATACACAAATAAAAAAATGAAATATTACAATAATCACTTTCTGTTACAGGAATTAGGAAAAAGCTGTCCTCTCCCCATAAGGGTGAGTAAAATTTCAATTGTTCATGTAAAAAATGATATTCTCCCAATATGTAATCTGCCTGTCCAATTGACGTTTTATTTAAATTGAGTTTTTATTTTATTTTATAGTTTTGCTCTTTTAGTGGCCTCTGCCCGATATGCATTTGCCCAGTATACCCTATACCCTGTATAAACATTGATGATTTTGTAATGTAAAGTGCCACTGAGTATATACTTACCGGTAATACCCTATACCAGTCACTGAATCACAGTTTAGTCACTGAGGATTGTTATTATTTATAGAACTTAAACAATAGAGTTCTTACCTGCCCTTTCATTGGTGCTTGATTTACGGTTCCTTTTTCTTTCTTATTTTTATTTATTTATTTGTTTTTTCTTTCTTATTTTTATTTATTTATTTGTTTTTTATTTTTTTTTATTTAGCTGCCATAGCACAAAATATACCCTGTCCTTTTTTAGATATGTTTTCATAATCTCTGTTTTTATGATAAGTTAAATAAAATTTGTTTACATAGCGCAAGATACGTGAGAAACAAACTATGTTAATCTTATTTTATCATAATTTAAAAGCATCATAAAGGTTCAGAAATATTACTCACTTTTTTTAGTTAGTGTAGATTATGGTATCATTTTATTTATTAACGAATAATTTACATAAAATCTATGGTGAATATCCCAAACACGATATGTCCACCATTTAGACAAAGTACTTTTCAAATCTTCATGCTGCTAACAGAGAGTATAAAATACAGATTGATTTAAGATACCATATGATAGAAATATATAGTATATGTATAATAGATATTTAAATGTTGAAATTAAAATAAGTAAGTTTTTGTCTGTGAATGTTTAAACTGAACTAGTTTATTGAATTAAAATAATAATGAATTTATAGCCTGCAAGACCTGAAGATGTCGCATTAGTGTGCTATACGAGTGGAACAACTGGCGATCCCAAAGGTGTTATTTTGACACAAGCAAATATTATAGCTGGAATTAGTGGCTTATTTGATATCATGGTAATTTTATCCAATTTATTCATTTTATTACATCTTTTGAATTCTATTTGCTATCCTGAAATTCGCACAATGCTTAATTTTAGCATATTAAATTCGAGAAAATTAACTTAAAGTTTTGCAAAGTTCTGATGCAATTTGACTATTTTTATATCAGCTCCTTTAGGACAATTGACTTTTGGGTATAAGACAAAAAAAACATGTAAAAGGAAACATATTTTTATGGGGGATTTTCAATAAATCTTTTTCATTGAATCTTTATAATAAATCTTTTTTAAAGTACAAAATGAAATTTCAGGAAAACTTCTGATCGTTTTGAGCTTTCTTTCAAAAAGTACAAAAACAACTTAGAAAATAGCATGAAAATTCTTTAAGTTTTTAAGATATTTTAATCAAATTTTATTCATTAGTTGCCAAATACGATTCGCTGCAAAATTAAGAAAAGCATTTTTTAATTTAGCAGTATAAAAGAACTACATTAAAGTCTTTTAAATTGCGCATTTTTCAACGAAATTTTTTTAATTTTAAATAAATCATTTTGTAATCAATTTCAAATAGCTCCAAGAATATTGTTTGATTCCATAGAATCTTTATAAAGTTATAACGAAAAACGTTAGACAAAAAAATTGCTTTTTTATAAAAATGTCCATAATTCCATAAATATTTGTTCTAGGTGGGTGTACAAATTTTTCTGCAGTTATTAAAAGTTACTCTTAAAGTAATTTATATAAGTTGCAAGCTCATAGCTTGATTTTCTATCATAGGGTGTTCATAAATAATTGTTTTCTTTCGTATTTTATTGTCGGTCTCCCAAACCTCTGAAAGCTTTAAATCCAATTGCCAAGTATGAAAAAATGCGTGAACTAAACAATTATAAAATAGTTAGCTTTGACTTAGTATTAAAGATCAAAAAGTATAACATATTGCATTTTTCTGATTATGTAGATTCGCTAATATTATACATTTTACCGGCAAAATCGGAAATCCGATATTATAAAAAATGTCACTTAATTCTTGACTTAAATTTTTACGTCATTCTCCCTTTTTAAAATTATGTAGTTTTTACTTTAAACCCCTTAATGGTCACATAATTTTGAAAAAAACAGTTATAAATGTGTCCATTTGTTTTATTCAAGGAATTTATATAAAACTAAGTGCGTGTATAATATATGTATTTATATTTAATTCTTGTATAAATGTTTAGCTTACATGTTTGATGAGGAGGACATCTTATTTAATATGAACTATCTTTAAATACAATTCAAATAGTTTGGTGCTGACATCTGGTTTATAGATAGAGAAATAAATAGGACTCCTTGCATAAGAAATAGATTGTTTTAATCTTTTTGGCTCGTTACTTTTGAATACTCTAGAACGGAAATATCACGGGCATGAGAAATAAAGGGCAAAAACTTTACTTCGTCATTTTAAAGGGGAGGGGAGAGAAGGAAAGGTTTTAATCTTCATTATATACTTGAATTTATTGCTGAAATAAATTTCTTTTTATCTTAGGGTGAAGACCTTTTACCGAAAACAGATGATGTTTCCATATCTTATTTACCTCTTGCACATGTGTATGAACAATTAGTTCAGGTAAGTCTTCGAATACGATGTCTGTCCATATTTTTAAAGTGTTCCAATTTTTTCAGTGTTGAAGTAAGTGGAAGATCATATACTTGGCATTTAAAAAAAATCTGAGATTTCTTGGGGAAAGATATATTAGTCTTACATAACTATACAGCATTCATTTAATTTGCCAGTTCTTTAAATTTTGGAGATCTGAGTGGATAAAAGTATGACAATCTTAGAATTAATCAGTACATTTGTCTAAAACAAATCTAGATTGTCTTAAAATCAATCTATTACGCATTTTATCTGCCTTTAGAGTTTTGATAAATATCTTTGTTTTTGTGTATACTGTATCACTCAAATCGGTTTACAGTAGTTTAAACTGTAATAAGTTTAAATCTTAAAATAGTCTAAAAACAGACAAATGTGTAGTTTTGTATTGCTAGCTCAAAACTAAAAATCACTTAATTTTATTACTTTACGTTTTGAAAAAAAAAATCTGTAGGAGTTCTGAAATTAGTCAAGCTCTACTTTTTCTAATCTAATAAAGCGCTACCTTTATTTTCATACTTTTCTGAAAGGTATGGTTTCATTGTATGACAACATATCATCTAAACTTTCGGAACTAAAAAAACACAAAAAAGATGCAAATAAAAAATTTAACCTAAAATCCAAGAAGACGAGGAGGCCTTTTAATTTCTTTTATTGATGGCTAAACTTTAATTCACTTGTTAAAAATTGGGCGACGAATATTTGCCACTGCCAACTTCAATTTCAGCAAGAAATAATCTGATAACTTCTGCATCAAGCTTAATCCATTTAGTTTTTAAATAAAGTCCGAGAATTAATTTGTAAATCCTCTTGAATAATAATTGTAATTAATGTAATAAGGAACAATTAATTAAAATAATTTATTATTTTAACAGATGTTTTTGTTCATGGGTGGAGGCAGCGTTGGCTTTTACAGTGGTGATGTTTCTTTGCTAACAGAAGATATGAAAATCTTAAAACCAACAATATTCGCTGCTGTACCCAGAGTACTGTGCAAGATATACGACAAGGTAAGTAAACTTTAAATTAATAAAGAAATTTTATATTTGAGGTGAAATTTATAGTACTTATTTTAGACAGACTTAATAAATGTTAATCTGCGAAGAGCAATATATCTGGTATTTATTCATTAATAAACTAGTTAATATTTGTGATTATTTTCTGCTTCATTTTATTCATTAAAAAGTGTTCTATCCGATTATTATTATGAAATTATTTAGTTTTAATTACAAAAACTGTAAGTAATCCTAAAGCTTTTTAAAAGTTTAAAGTTCGTTTCGTTAAAAGAAAGGTATTCGAGTTAGTAAAGATTTTAGTGGATAATTATAATACTTTTACATCGTTAGGAATAATTTTGATATAATGGGTATAGTTTTAGGTTTCAAACAAAATAATTTTCATCAGTCTATATTTCTAATAAAATCGTTCTTTATTTGCACATTTAAAAGGTTTAGCTTAGCATTTTCTATATAGAGAACATGAATATTGCAAATAGAAATTTCTTTGATAAAACCTCAAAATGTAATTGACACACTTCACAAGGGATAATAGGCAGACATATGCATTTAGAGTCGTTATAGGCAGACATACGCTTTTATAGTAAACTGAGCTGTTCGCTGGAAAGAATTGAAAGGTTAAAAGCGAATAGTTCATATCAACAAAGTATTCTATATTTTATTTAAACTATGCTAAGCATAATTAGTGTTTTGTTACAAATTTTTCTATTGCATGTAATTTAATTAAATTTAAAAAAATTTATATCAATCCCTTATTATTGACGAATATTTCGTTAACGCTTCAATCAGGAATTAGTTTTAGAAATTTTGATAATTGATTTAAATTCTTAAGATTTTACTTATGTTAGTTCACTTTCCAAATGGGTTTAAACGAGCATAGCTTGCAAAGCAAACCTTATAAGGTTGCATAACAATCTTTGAGTGTTGCGGAACATAAGCAAACGCAGGGCGGAGTTTTAAAAACAAGTTTTTAAAACCGCACAAGTTTTTTTTAAATTAATCTTTGAATATTAAAGAGATCTCTCGAATGATAGATAGAATATCGAATTCAAAACCTACCTCTGGAGATATTTCTACTTTGAAAACTTATGGCATTTTACTAAATCTTTCATTTCATGGTTTTAGGTGGAATCTCAAATTAAAAAGTTGAAGGAAAAAGCTATGACAAATGGTACTACAGACCCTGATTCAACAAATAATAATAACAGGTAATGACTAAGTTTTGGTAAGTTAAGGTAATGAACGCCAATGATGCTTAATTAATTTTGGTAATAAATAATTATTTAAATGAAAAGAAAAATTCTATGTACTATAAAGCAAAAATTAATAGAGAAATAGTATTAAATTGCTTAGGAAAAACGTAAAAATATTTTTAATTGGATATAATATGAAAAAAGCACAACTACTTCCACTTACTAGGAATAACATTTACCTTTTAGTTTAATTAATAAACTGAGTTTTAAATATGCTTACTAAATTCATAAACTTCGGTAAAACAACAATATAAATTATTTCCAAAGGAACTAGACTAATACAATTCCAACCTGGCGAGTAGCGACTTATAACAAGACACTTCGTTTGATGCTTTTACTTGNTCAGTACCCCCGCCCCCCAGAATAGATGGCAGCACTTCTCATTCATGAGTTCACTTTCATAATTTTGGTCTGAAAGGGGAGAGAATCTTTTCCAGATCTCTGTACTCATGGTATTGCTCAGCGACCTATCATAGAACTTTCGATTCCACATATTTTACGAATTTACTTGATGGTCTTAATGGAGTGAAAGTACGAACACCACCACCCCTTAACTGGAATCGGATTTTTCTAACCAATGGATTACCCATGGCCAATTTTAAATAATAATTTATTCTACGAATAGAATAAATGAACATGAAATGATTGAACATTGTTTTAATGAAAAATTATAATCTTCAAATGAATATGAGAAATTTCCCCATCAATTTAGGCAATATATATTTAATTTTAAACGAGTATATTTTCAGGATGTGTTGGAGCTCCTTTGCTGTGCAATATGATCAAACTTGTAGACGTGCCTGAACTGGGATATTTCAAAAAGAACAATATTGGAGAGGTAATAGTTTTTAGATTTTTTGACATCAAAAATAATATTTTTTTCAAAAACGAAAATTAAATCTATTACTTATGTGAAACATTTTTATGTGCATGTACAATGCTTATTACCTAAAATTTCCCAAGTTATATACCAGTGTATTTTATATAAATCAAATATATACAGTGGGTAAAAAAAGTTTCCGTACGGTCACTAAATTTACGAATAAATGAGCATAATTTGTAAAGTATTGCATTTTTTCTTTAAATACTGTCTATATGTGTTTAGTATAAGTCTATAGAAAGAGATTTTTATAAATTTTCATTTTTACAAAACGAGAAAAGCATATTGTTTGCAATATCTAAGGTAAATTGAAAATTGCAGTGCAGAAAAAGTTTCCGTACGCGTTAAGCAAATTCTTTCTGACGTGTTTAAAACAGGCCCGCAGTAAATTTTTGACGTTAGAAAGTTAATCGTTAAAGTTGATCGTCTCAAAATGGAAGTTCCCAGAGCTATTCGGGAATTAGTGATTATATTGCGAAAAGATGGATTATCGATGAAAAAGATTAGTGAAATGACAAAAAAATCGAAGTCTACTGTGCAATATATCGTTGAAAGATATCGTAAACTTCATTCACTTGAAGATAGAGATCGATCCGGGAGTCCGTCCAAAGTGCACCACGGTTGGCAGCTGATTTAATGGTTCGTTACAACATTAAAGTTTCAACTCAAACTGTGAGAAATGTTATTAAAAAAAGTGGTTATCATGGACGTGCGGCCCGAAAGAAACCCTATATAAGTTTGTGCAACAGGAAAAAGCGCCTCGAGTTTGCAAAGAAGCATGTAAGCAAGCTATTATGTTTTTGGGAATCCATTCTTTTTTATGATGAATCAAAATTTAACATTCATGCGTCAGATGACCGAGTTATGGTGTGGAGAAAACAAAAAACAAATGCTAACTAAGAATATATGCGGAACTGTGAAGCATGGTGGTGGCGGTGTTGTGGTGTGGGGGTGTATGAGTGCTTCAGGAGTAGGAAATTTGCAATTCATCGAGGGAACTATGGATCGATTTGGATATTATTAAACAAAATGTGTTATCCAGCGCAGAGAAACTATCTCTTGGAACTGGATTTACTACCTCTAAGATTTGCCAAGAGTGGTGCCTTTACCATCTTAAACAACAACTTCATAACCCTCCCCAGTCACCCGATTTAAACCCCATCGAACATTTGTGGGAAGAAATTGACCGACAACTTAAAAAATATGACATAAAAAACAAAGTTGAACTCAAAAGTGCCATTAGCAGCATTTGGTGTAATATTTCTCCAGAAACAACAAAACAACTTGTAGGGGTAATGCCAAAACGTCTAAGAGAGGTGATAAAAGCCAAAGGAGGGCCCACTGATCATTAAATGAATTTTTTTATAAAAGTATTTTGCATTTTTGGAAACATTTTCGTGTGCTAGGGCACCGTACGGAGACTTTTTTGTTCCATGTTTACGGCATTTTTTGAGTTTTTAAGATTTATTATTTAATTTTGTCAGTATTATCATCCTTTTAATATGAATAAATATTAAATAATATTAGTTTTAACACATTTTTAAGTTTTCATTCTTATCATTATGAGTTTTGTGTAACAAATTAAACTTTGATTTGCATTCGTATCCGCGTACGGAGACTTTTTTTACCCACTGTACATCAGAAATCCAGAAGAAGGTAATTATTGTCAATAAAATATGAACCATAATGTTTAGTCACGAGATCAGTTACTCGTTTGAACTCCTTTAGATGTTATTTTTAAAATTAGTGTTTTTTCTTGTTTTCATTTGTGAAATTAAAAACTTTTACAATAATTACTGTCATGAATATTTATAACACAATCTATCAAAATCTGTAGAATTCTGAAATTTTTATTATCAGGTATGTTTAAAAGGTCCAAATGTGTTTAAAGGTTACTTAAAGAATCCACAGAAAACATCTGAAGCTATAGACGAAGACGGCTGGTTGCATACTGGCGATGTCGGTACATGGTTACCGGTAATGTATGACTTATTTACGAATCAATGCACACAATACTTTTTAAATCCCAAATATGAAGGAAATTTCGAAACTGCTAAGCTTTTTTAATTTAAATTTCAGTCATTTACTTTACAACTATGTAAATCTACCTGTAAGTAGGTATCTGTAAGTAGGTAACTTGAAGAAGAAAAAAATATATTTCATTTTGATATAATCTTCTCTATTATTTTATTCCAAGTATAACAAATGACTAAAAAAATTATGAATATTTACCTTTTTTTATCTTTGTGCAATGGGAGGAAATGTGGAAATTAATTGTGGATTAAAATTGTCTCTTAGCACACTTAACTTTGATTGAGCCAAGACCATCCAGTATCAATTCTCTTAAGTGATCTTCTTCTACAAGGATTTTTTCACTAAGATTTCAATTCTTTTACAAAGGCTTCAATTCTTTTACAAAGGTTTCAATTCTTTCATAAAGGTTTCAATTATTTTACAAAGGTTTCAATTATTTTACAAAGGTTTCAATTCTTTTATAAAAGTTTCAGTTCTTTTATAAAGGTTTCAATTCTTTTACAAAGGTTTTAATTCTTTTACAAAGGTCTTCTTTCACTCTATATTTTTTACTCAAGTCATGAAGAACATAAACAAAGTAATTAAACATCGAAATTACCAGGAACACAAAGCAAAATTATATCATTATATAAAATACATAAACAAATAATAAATCTAAGTTAAGTAATAGACGTAGACTAGAAAGAATTGTATTTTTAACAAATTTGATGTGTGATACTGAGCTGTGTGTAATTAACACGTTAATTAACATTTCAAACTTATGTTGAGAAACGTAACTTTAACTCACTATTTTGCTTATAAACGATCAGCTAACGCAGACGTCATAGGTCACATGTGTGGGTATTCGTGATCTTCTTCTTCTTGAAGTGCAAGTACCCACTTGGGATACAAATATAGCACAAGAAAACAATATCTTTATGACTGTTATTAAAGTTATGCTGATGACAACCGAAAAATACGGAAATTAATGTCAGAAAACTGGATCCTACCATGCGATTTTCTGGCAAAAAATAAATGTACTGGTTACGATGAAAAACTACAACACCATCGTTCGATATTTATAGATGCTTAGATATATTTTATGGGATGTATATTCAATCATATTAAGAAAAATGCAACGTATTTAAATGATTTAAAAGTTTCATGGCGGAAGTTTTGCATTTTGGAAGTTTTTGCTAAATGAAATAAATATATTTTGTTATTGGGAACTAAGAATATTTTAATTTTTTTTTGCAGTTTAACAATGTTTATATGCTGTATATAAAGTATTTTTTATAAAAATATTAAAAAAAACTTACACAATTCGGTTTTTACTCTGAAAATCTGTATTTATTATTAGAACGCAAATCACTATTATTTAATTGTAATCAACTAATATATATAAGATATATTTTCACGAGTCTGTGTTCAGTTCACTAATTAATAATGTTCAAATAACGAAAAACTAACACAGAACGTCCCGGAAATTTAAAATAATATTTAATATTTGATCATCAAACAAAACTTTGTAATCAATCTTTCATAGTTTTTCGTAAGTTAGTATTGATTTCAAGAACCCATTATTATATACTATAACGGAAAAAGAATTTTTTACCTTTACGACTTGAGATATCCTATTGAATTTTAAAAATTATTGATTGTTTGTTTCATTAAAGGCTCATTTTAAAAATAAGATCTTCGTATTCTGTTCTCTAACCAAATCGCCATCAAAACGAAGTACGTCTGATCTTATAATCAAGTGCGAAATCACTACGACCGAAGAGTTCTCTAACCGTAAACTTGACCGTGAGCATTTTTCGGAAGAGGGAAAACTTTTAGCTCCTTTTCTAAAAGACAGTGCATTGTTAAATCTGTTAAGTGCTTTTCCATCCGGTATTTTGATCAAGAAGAAAAGGAAAGCTACACTTAATAACAGAAAATGTAATCACGTTTTAAGTTCATAAGACTTTAAAATGTTTTTAAACTGAAAATCTATATTTTACTTTGTCTTTTAGAATGGTACTCTTAAAATAGTGGACCGAAAAAAGCATATATTTAAACTGGCACAAGGAGAGTACATCATGCCAGAAAAAATAGAAACTATTTATTCAGCTAGCCCATATATCTCACAAATACTAGCTCATGGAGACAGTTTACAGGTAAAGACTTATATTGTACTTAAATACTGTACGTAGGATGCCTTTAAAAAATATTTTTGGAATCCTTGTCAAAAATAAAGTTAAAAAAGCATACACATTGGTGGTTGCAAGTGAAAAGATATTTAAGAAAGAAATAAGCAAAAAAAATTTAATTAAAAAATGACGAATAATTACCACTATTGAGGAAAGCAAAAACATCAGAAGCCGTTTGATTTGCCTGAAGAAAAAGAGAGAGGTTGAATGGTGATTATTGGAAATACCACACTCCATCAAGTCTTTTAGCTGGTTTTAAGGTTTTTCCACCCTAATTATTTGGCAAAATTTTATTTGGTCCTCTCTCAAATGTTAGTTAGCGACCCTAAATGAGTATACGTTTTTTTGTTTTACTTTCATCTTGAGAGTAATTTTAAAAATAACATACTATTAAAGGCGGTCATTATGGAACACCATATATTTACTAGTATCTTCAGACGTAATAAATGTACAGCATTTTTCAATAAAAAAATTCCAATAATATTCGTGAATTCAGTTGTTTATTATACCACGCTCTGCATATTTCTATTTAAAATATCAACTAATACAATTATTGTCGCACCAGTGCAACAAAATACTCATATATTCACTAGCATTCATTAATTTCGATAAATGTTCTGTTTTTCCCCTTAATTGAAGCATACGAACAGTTTTAATCCTATGTAACATACACGCAGTTGTTATTTGTAATGTTGTTTCAGTATTGAAAAAAGTAAAAATATCTTTTCGTTACGTTATCCCATACTATGAAACTTTTAAAGAAAAGTGTATTGTATTTAATCCCTGTTATACCGTGCCTGATGCACATTTAACAAAATGTACGTGAGATCAAAATGTCGTTTGGCCAATCCAAGTTATTTCGAAATCGTTTCTTTAAGGCACCTTTATTTTTTAGAGAAACTTTTTTAAATTAATTCCTACACATATTTTTATTTTTCAGAACTATCTTGTAGCAGTTATAATTCCTGAAAAGCATGAAATTTTGACATGGTGTAGAGAAAATTCTATAGATGGAACTTGGACTGAAATCTGTAAAAATAAAGTACGTTCAATTTTTAATACTATGGAGCCGCTTGAATATTACGTTGGCATCTAGTGGGAGAGAGGTTTTGAGTTTTGTTGATTTTTTTAATAAATGGGGGGGGGTATGAGCAATGCTTACGAAAGAGATTAAAATCCTATTATATTCAAAATTTTCTTAAAAGCAAAATAAAAAAAATTAACAAAAAAAATTTTACGTTTAAAAATTTCAAATTTGGAATAAAAGTTGAATTAGAGGATAGAAAATTTTCAAAAAAATGTTTTAAAGAGTTACAGAGTTCAAGAGTTTTGAACACAAAAGGAAAAAGAAAGAGATTTCTCAAGAATATTCTACTCAAAATTTCATAGAATAAATTGCAACCAAAATTCTGCTTTCTACTAAGTTATGTCTTTAATTTGAGTTTAGTCCTAAAATTAGGTTTTTACATTAAAAATCAAAGTTCAAGAAAAAACTAGAAGATGTGTGATTTGCTTATTTTTGCTGACAAGAGATGAGAGGGTGTCCAAAATCGCCAAAAATATGTTCGCATAATATTTGAACAGCCCCTATGACAAAAAAAAGTCATTTTTTAGTCAAAATGAAATTCCTCAATGACGCAAAAACTAGAATTTAGCAATAAGAATACTTATAAAGACCAAAATAAGTTTTCTCGGTAATAAATATTTATTGTAAAATAAAAAGTAATAGTTCATTTATTATTTAAGACTTACTTATACTGGAATAGATTTAAATTAGAAAACAGCGAAGACATTTTTCTTTCAACTTTTTAATTCCATAACTCAACTAAATTGCACCATTCATTGATAATTTTTATGCCACAACTCTCAGTCCCTTATCCTAGTTTAAAGACCTTAATCAACAATTGGGGTATCGATTTTAGACCACTTTTATCACTTATTTTCGAGCTTTTCTTTTGGATAAGTAATTTTACCGGTGACTACCACTTAATATTCTCGAATCAAACGTGCGATCTCTCTCTTTTCTATCTCTCTCTCTTGTGAAATTTCTTACAAGCCTATGCGTAGTGGGATTCATGTATAATTTACCTTCCTTCAAGTAAAAGGTTGAAAAAAATGTTTTTATTGCCATTTTTTTTATAAAAAAATAAATAAATAAATTAGAAAAAAAAAAAACTTTTCCCTATAAGCAGAGCAGTAATTTGCATCATGGAGTTTGTAAGAAATAGGAATTGTCTCAAATGTATCATTTTAAACTAAATGTTGTGTCCTTCTAAAATTGTTCCTTTGTTAAAAACTAAATATTTATTTGTTATTTCCATTTTTAGATTGTAAAAGAGCATATTCTGGACAACATGAAACAAGTTGCCAAAGCAGGCGGACTTTTATCTTTTCAACAGGTATTACATTAAAGTTCAAAACTAAGAGAATTTTAAGATTTGATCGACAATCACGGAATATAGTTTAAAAAAATGGGTTAATAGAGGCCATAAATCCCTTTTACAGATAACATACTGGTCTTATAACGTGATTTAGTACTGAATGTATGACAATTTAAAAGTTCTTGTGGCTACTGTTCCATTTCCTCATTCAAAGTTATTTTCTGGCTCTATGTTTTAGACGAGATATTTGGAGTTCCAACTGCCCTCAACAGAGCGTTCTATAGGGTAAAGGTCTTGATAGTTGGTTAAGCAATCCATACGGCGGATATTTTCGCTTCCCAGAATGTCGTCGATCAGATGAGCTCTATGAGACCACTCAGGATCAATTTCCAACTTTGTAGTAATTATAAGGCTCCAAGATTTTATTCTTTTGTACATAGAGCTCATATGATTGACGGTTTTCTGAAAATTGTAAGTATTTACTGGATATGCCAAATCAGTTGGATCGGCTGGATATGTCTTCAAACCTTAATCCTGTATAGAGTTTCTGTAACGTATCGGTGCTTTACGATGGGATGCTGCCAACTTGAGAAGAAAACCGCTGATACACAGTCACCTAATCTATAACCTCAGCGCCATCTGGTTATCTATTACCAAAATGGTATGTTAACATTACAGCAGTTAGGCTTGTTTGGGCTAACATAAACAAATGCCAAACAGCCAATCATAATTGATACCAGCGATGACATCATTTGCAAGTTGAAAGTCACTATTCCCTACGAAAACCCTCTTTATCTGCAGAACAACAAATAGAAACAGTTGCTGTGCCATTTTAAATTCTAAACTGCTTTATTTCTATCATATTGTAAGACTTTCATATCTGAAGAAAGTTGCAATATTCTCTATTAACACATTTATTTACTTTGATTCTGTCACCACTGTTTCAAACCTTTTTGACTTTTTGGTTAGTGTTGCCAGAATCAGACACATTAATTACAACTGTTGAATAGTTGTTTTATATAAATTATGTCAACTTATTTTCCTATCAAATTTCATTAAAATTAGCTTAGTAGTTCTGGAGATAACAGAAAAATCTATAAATTCTCTTAATTTTGAACAATAATGAACGTTCAAAATTACAAGTTACAACGGAGTAAATGAAGTGATTCTCTGATACTGATTCAAAAAATTTTAATATGGAGAAAAATTCTTGGATCAATCTGTTTCAACTTTTATTTTTAATTTTGATCCAAATTAATCGAATATTTTATTTATTTAGATTGCACAATAAAAAATGTGTAACTTTAGCTGTTGGAAAAGTATTTATATTTCTTACAACTGAACCAATTGCAGACCATTTCTAGAAAAGGAATCTATTAAAATTAATTATTAAGTTACAAAAAAAATTTATTAGTCTGTCAAACAAGTATAAAATTATCTATCTATCAAGCATCTGAAAGTATAAATAAAATTCCGAAAAATAATATCTAAACAAAACCCTTTTAAGAAGAAAACAGTTTTCACTTGTTACCCCTTTTAAAGCAGTAAAGAATTTTTTAACCAATTTATGACTTTTTCTAACGTTAATTTGTAGAAAAGTGTTATTTGTTACGCATGTGCTCATTTTTTTCAGGTAAAAGATATATATATACATCCAGAATTGTTGACAGTGGAAGATGGTCATCTTACTCCAACTCAAAAAACAAAAAGAGACATTGTACGAAAATTCTTTATGAAAGAAATTGATACCATGTATAATATTAAGAATTAGATTTTAAAAAAATCATTTTTTTCGTAGGTAGTTTTAAAGAAAAAAGTACGAGGATGTTTCAATTGTCATGTGCATTTAGTTAAGACTGTTTTTGCATTATTTTTTCATTTTAATTTATTGTTTACTAGTTCATAGCTATACTCAAAAAATTATCTATGTTTTTTATCAATAAAAATAAAACGGTTATACATTATTAGATCACTTTTTTGTTTTCTTTGAATAAACAATCATTATTTTTAGTCTCCACAAGCCTAAACATAAAAAAAGTTTATGAAAACATGAACATCGATTTCAAAGTCATCTGGAGAAAACTCTCCGTATTGGTGGATTTTTTTTTTAAAGTTGAAATATTTTTTAAGTACTTAAAATTACAATTAGTTCCTTATAGAATCCAGTCATCAGCTTTTTCGCTAAGTATTTCGAAGCTCTTTCGCCAGGATAGCAACAGCTCGAGTACCTAAACTCTAATCAAAGATACAACTTTAAAGTAAAGTTCAAGGATTGTAATGTGCAAATCTAATATTAAAATGAATTCAATTTAGCCCCACAGTCTGTTGGGATCGTCTGATGGGATATATATGTCCCGAAAGGGTTAAGCAGATTACTCAGGTCCACAACAAAAATATCTAAGATTTCCTGAAGATCGTAATAACTATTTCATCTCTATAGGAGAACAAAAAATTGTTAACGGAACAACGTTTTAAGATGTCGAAGCCATTAGGAAAACCCCAAGATGAATTGGTGACTTGTCACCCAACCATGGCCAGACACCGAGCCCTATTTTAAGGCTCTATCTTTTAACGGTCTTGGTAGGAATCTTACGAATTTTTAACCCTGGTCATATGAAATGGACAACGCCTGAGCAGGCATTTCTCTCTGTCTCCAAACTTCTAAATCACAATTAACGAGAGGACTTTCAACCACGACAAATTTAACGTGCAAATTGCTGTTGTTAAGTACCGATTTTTTTTATTTTTTTTATAACCGTCGTAGAACAGTCGGCCCAATTTTAAGTTTACGGCTACTAATGTTCAGCTCTGCAGTCTTGTAATTTGGAACCAAATTCAGAAGACAATGGAACTTATTGACCAAGTATTGAGAGAAATTTGCCTTTGTGGAGGACTTTTTTCAAGAACTAACCCGCATTTACGTTACATGGAGAGGAAAACCATGAAAATCTCCTGACGGCAAGAGATTTCTAACCCATGATTCGTATATCAATGAGGATAGTTTGCGTCAGTGCGGTATTCGTATCGACCAGCCATCGCTGGGATTCGAACCCTGTTCACTTGATAGTCNATTGTGCCCCGGGCGCGAGTTAAGCTCGCTACGGCACTGCGCTGGGATTCGAACCCTGTTCACCCCATTGGAAGGTGAACGCTCGATCCCCTGAACCACCACGGCTTATGCCGATTGTTTTGTTTTCCACCTGGATCAAAATCATTACTCCAAGCTCTGCAACCAGAGTTGTGAGCGACGCCTTATTCAATTGCCCAGCGGAGAGCTGGTTTCTTTCATCAAGTCCATAGGTTACTTAAGAATCTTTAAATCACCATAACATATTGAGGAGTAATTAACACTAGATTGCCTAAGGAAGTCATTTTGACTGCTTTTAATTTCAATTAGAAAAACAATGATGTAAATAATGACACAATTTCTTAGAATTTTTTTTATTGTTAATATTTACTAATAACTTGTTATATAACTGTAAATAATATAAAAAAATATTAAAAATTAATTTTAGACAAATTTCTTTGCACATTATTTATTCTTTTACAATCCAGTCATTTTGACTGCTTTTGGGCAATATAGGTATATGCAAAGTTTCAGGGCAATATAGGTATATGCTAAGTTTCAGTCTTTCTAGTGTTAAACCAGCCCTGAAAATTAATTGCCGTACCTTGTATATAGCTTAAAACATGAATTACAATACTTGAGGACAATCCACTCAAGACGTCATTACGTCGCTTTCCAATTTTTTTCTCTTTTCTTCTGACTCAATAAACCCCAGGGTTCTCAAACAATTTATCCTTGATTGGTTCAAAATTACAAGGCTACAGAGTTGAACATTTGTAGTCGTAAATCCTAAAATTGGGTCGGCTGTTCAACGACGGATATAAAATGAAATAAAATAAGTCCTGAGAGCCATGGTGGCTCAGGTGACAGAGAACTTGTCTCCCAGTGAAGTAACCCGGGTTCGAATTCTAGCGATGGCTCGTCAATGCAAATTCTAAACACGACTCTGACAAATCTCAGTGCCGACATAAAATATCCTCAGAGGTAAAAAGAAATTATAGGTTAGAGCAGGGGTTGCCAAACTTTTTTGATCATCGACCCCCACATAATTTTTCGAAATCTCCATCGACCCCCACAGGAGTGATTGTGAGCCCAAGTCAAAATTCCGGAAAATTTCCCGAGCTTAAAAAAAAAAAAAATTCAATTGAAAAATTTGAAAAAAATTTAAACTAGGTTTTTCTAGGAGAAGTAATTAAAATTTACAAATTTGTCTTACTTTCTTGAGTTTATGATTATAACTATTTACTGATAAAAAATGTATCTGGCTCTCCCTTACNGCAGTTTAAAATCGTCGCTCAATTTTTGAAGATTACCTACCTGTATATATTTCCAAGTTTTCTTTTATTTCTAATTGTCACATATCTGAAAAATGCTGATAATCCTTCGACCATTCGACCCCCTGGCTCAGATCGACCCCTGCTTATGTTAAATAGACCCCTGGGGGTCTATATAGACCACTTTGGCGACCTCTGGGTTAGAGGACCCTGCCATTAGGTTAACCATGAGAGGTTTTCCACTTCATATAACGCAAATGCGGGTTACTTCCATTAAAAAGTCCTCCATCAAAGCAAAATTTCTTACAATACTTGATCCAGGAGTTCCCATGTCTTCTAGAATGAGTTTAAAATTACAAGGCCACGGAGTTCAACATTGGTAGCTGTAAACTAAAAAATTAGGTCATATGCTCAATGATGGTTATAAAAATTTTAAAAATAAAAAATAATAATAATTAATAGAATATCATGAGAATTTCATGTCCAATTAATGTATTTAAGTAACCTTAGCATAATTTAATACACTTCTCTAAAAGTATCAGGAATAACTTTTGGAAGTCATTTAATAAAATGCTCTTCAATTCCAATGTTTCTTATGTCTTAAACACCCTTAAGCCTCGTCTTCAAAAAAAATCTGCAAAGAGAAACATTGTGTGTGAACCATCACCACTCATGACAACCTTCGAAATATAATAAAAAATTACAAAAGGAGTAAGGTGTAAGTAAAACCATATCCTTAAAAGTTCTGAAACAAAAACATCCAAGTAGAGAAGAACATTACAGCAGATGGAGGTTACTTCAAAACAAATTAAACGGGTATATAATTATATATCATTTTCAAGAATTATTAAGTCAGACCGTGAAATTAAAAGCCGTATCTTGTACATAAAGATTAAAAACAGATACTATGATATGGTAATGTAGCATCGTAAATAAAAATTATTAAGGGTATTTAGTTGATCTATGAAGAAAAATTTAGGTTCTTGATAAACATCCTTGAATCATCCACACTGACTAGCTATCCTGGCACTGATATTAATGCTTTCTATAAATATTTAAACAGCTACTTTTAATTGTGTTTCTTGTAATTCTTTTTAGTTACATGGTCTTTTATCTTAACAACTTTTTAACAATTTATAAATCTCTAAATAAATTCTGAAAAATATTTTTTTTTTTAAATTATATAAGAAATCAACATATGTTCAAAAATAATTTTATACAAAAATGTTTGAAAATAAAAATTCTTCTAAATTTAAAATAAAGATAATAATGCTGATAATAATACTGGTACACTGATAATAATGCTTTCTATAAATATTTAAACAGCTATTTGTAATTGAGTTTCTTGTAATTCTTTTTAGTTACATGGTCTTTTATCTTAGCAACTTTTTAACAATTTATAAATCTCTAAATAAATTCTGACAAATATTTTTTTTTTTAAAAAAATTACGTAAGAAATCAACATATCTTCAAAAATAATTTTATACAAAAATGCTTGAAAATAAAAATTCTTCTAAATTTAAAATAAATATTTTATATCAGTACTTTTCCATTTGGCTGGCGCAGGCTATTAAATCGCCAAGGCAAACTTACTGAATACAAGTAAATTCAACTTTTTATTTTTAAGTGACAATTTTCTTTTGAAAAAATATACATAAATAGGTAGATAAAGTATCCAAAATTACTTATTCCAGTGAAATAGAAAATTACCTTTACATCATACACAATTTAATCTTATTTTTAAAAAAATTTCAAAACAAAAATTTTTTACAAAAACAAATTACCAATATCTGGCGAAGTGTGTGCTACAAAAATAATAAAATTGACTATTCGACAAACAAAATTTAATTTTACTGAAATAAAACATAATGGTACAAAAACATTGCAGGTTAATATGTTGCCACAAATGTTCTATAAAAAGTATAAATCAAAACCTCTTTGGCAAAATTTAATCAAATAAATAATACATTATCTAATAAACAATGCAAAAGAATCACATCAGTATGAATTAACAACACCTATGGTAATTATTTGTATTTACTCTATCCTTTAAATTCTGTATCTTCTGTTTTAGCCATTTGTTCTTTGGCTTTTTGCTCTGCCTCTTGCTGCATGCTTTCCAATCGTTGAATAGTAACAGATTTCAATGGTATTAGTTTAGGTTTACTTAGGACAAAAGAATGAAACTCTTGTTGGAAAAGCAAACCTGTAGAAGGCAATATCTCTTTTAAATTATCTTTGTCAGTCATCATTTACCTGTAGAATAAGAAAGAGGAATAAATTATAAAAACTGAAAGCAAATCACTCTAAAACTACGATCTACGTTTTCAAAATGAATAATGAAAAAAATTTCAATGTACACTAATCCAAAGAGAAACAATTCATTGTTACAATAATTATTTTAAGAAGCACTGCTAAAATTTTCAATGCAACTTGTTTTAGAAATTAGTTTATTTCGAAGAAGTTATTTATTCATTTAAGTTCTTTAAAAGTTACTTATCATAAACTAAAGCTAGTGTGTGAGAGTAAGATTTCTGTATCCGTACCTAACGCTAAAATGGTCGCCAACTGTTGGCGACAACCGGATAAATTAGCTTAACTGAGAAACTTGGAGCTCGTAATTTTCTTAAGTTTGAGAAATTTAATAACGTATGACTTTTCCCAGTTTAAAGAAATTAATTACTTACAACATCAGCATCCCAATCTACCTAATAATATTTCACTTTAATTATTCTCATTAAACAAAAATTTCATCATTCCAACATTATTCAACATCAAGTATTCAGTTTAGAGCTTTCTGTTTGAATATAATGTAATTTTGATAAAATAAAAGACACATTCACCTAGTTATGCATGTTTAATACAAAGTCACATAATAGCAAGTTAAAAAGAAACCTTTAACAGAACTGCATACAGGCGACCTTTATTTCATCGATATTAAGAAACTGAGATGAATACTCAATAGTTTAATCAATTAAGTTTCAACTTTATTACTTAAGCATTTTAACCAATTTTAACATCACGGATTTCGATATTGTTTGTTTAGGTTAGACCGTTGCCATGAGCAACAGATAACTTAACTTCATTTCACTTCTAGTTAGTTATAAAATCACTTTCTTTTCTACTTTGTAAGCTATAAACTAATACAGTCAGTTAAGAAAAAGAAAAGAAATGATCATCGCTTATGGACTCTAGACACCACAACAGAAATCATTGAACGAGCACAGAAGAGGATTGACATTAATTCGATATTAAAGATTTAATTTAAAAATAAAAACATTTTCGCTGCTTCAATTTATTAAGAATGAGTCTACCAGCCTTTCCATCTCTTACACCTCGAGTTTCTGAACCACACTGGTTTTCTGTTGATCGTCCTTGTGATGATGATTCTGAATTGACACAAATGGAAAGAGAACATCAAAACTGGGTATAGTTAAAAAATTTGAATGCGTTTTCGACAATTTTTCGTGTTGTATACGTTCTTTGTTTCAGTTAGAATCTATATTTTATATAATTGTAGACATTTTTAACATATGTCAGCACATTTTATAATTGTGTTTAATGCATGTAATGGTACTAACTTTGGAACTGCATGCTGAGGTAAAATCCTAGAATAGCCCACTCCTTGGCCACTATTTAAAATCTCATTGAGGGGATGATTATTACTTGGATCAACGTTTTTTTTTATTAAAAAATCAATATAAAATATTATTATTAAAATGAAAAATTACTTACCTTTACTCTGATGAAATAATAATAATAACTCAATAAGAGATCAGACGCATAAATGGCGAAAAAATAAACCTTTTTGCCTCTTTTCCAACGAAATTCTACCTACTTTCGTGTTAATTAACCAAGCAGGTTTAAGAATTTTGGAGCGGACTCCAAAAAGTCTAGGCACAAATTAGTAGGTCATCATATCACCCCAAAATATCTTCCAGAAACCTAGATTGGCGAAATTTCCAAAAATCGCCACGGATTGGGATATTCTAGAATCCACCCCATCCTTGATTGTGTTGCAAATATTTAAAGTTTCTAAAAACTAGCATTTATCTTTTTTACAAAAAGTAAAGAAATTTTTACAACTTGGAAACAGGAGTATCCGTATCGGTACGTGCAACAAAGTTTTTGTAACTTCCGAACAGTAGCACACTAGAACTAGAAGGAAGCAAAAAAACAATAGAACCAATTCAAAGGGGCTTGACACATAGCCACAACATGTTTTTTTTTAATTTTTTGCATGTACAAAAACCATTTGGTGAATATTATTGAAGCAAACAGGTATCAATATTTAAAGATACAAAACAATTCTGAAAAATTTTATCCAAAGACCTGTGGCCATTTCTTAAAACCAGGGTTGGGTTTTTGACGTCAATAAGTGGTTTTTGACATGACAAGGGTATAATACTGGTTTAAACCGTCAAAAATGTCTAAAACTAAAGTTTGCCAAGAAAATATATAAACTTCAAAAGTACCAACAGTTGCCATGCATTAAATTGAAATTTAATTATACTAGTATAGGTAATCAGCAGGTTTTAAAATATTTTTTATATAAAATTAAGGTAAAATAACAGATTTAAAATCTCAGAAATTTATATTCAAATGCATGTGCAGAAAANTTTTGACAATGAGGTTTTTGACGTGACGGTTTAAACCATGGTTTAAACTGTCAAAAACCTGCCAACCCTGCTTAAAACTGTTTTTTTTTTTCGATAACTTTTTTTAAGTATAGAATTTTCTTTATATGTCTAGTATCCTATCCTAGTAGGTAATTGTAATTACTGAATTTCTATATTTTGTTACAAAAAAGTTTATCTTTTGACATTGTTATACATTTATGCAATATGTATGATAACATATGAGTTCATTTTGCATTATAAGCCCTCTCTTTTTTTATGTTTTGTTGTTATGTGTAATTATTTGTACAAAAGTGGCTACCAAAGAGTCTTAAGCTCTTCCATTTTGTCACTTTAATATTAAAATACTTGATAAATTTTATTTTTAGTAATTGTCCTGACGGAACATAACTCGTATAACTCACCTTCTTTCACTTTGTGAATAATTTAAACATTTTAATGATTATTGGGGAGATTTCCATATTGTGATCTGTGTGGCACAATAATCAACAAGTCTTGGCAACTTCTGGGCAGCTGCCTACAAGAAACTAAAACAAAAACATCGCAGAAAGAGACAAACTTGAAAGGTTTAACTTGTAGCCATCCCTGGGCAAATATAGAAATTTTTGTTTGTTTTTTTAGGAAAATTTTTTTTTTCGAATTTAAAATCTATTTGCCACTTTGGCGATTGTAGTTGGTGCGACAGATTACGATATGCAGATATCCCCAACTTGTAGTTCAAACTTAACTATCTTTCTTTAAACTTGTAGTTCAAAGTTTTTAGCTCACTCACAATTTGGATTAAGTGTTTGCATTTATAGATGTGAGAAAAGGAGTTATCGACAATGTCAACCTCCATCTATCAAAAGGTACCATAAGATAGAATCGAGTTAACGTGTCTTATGTCTTCCACTACAATTATTAAATAGAAATTCACTAGTATTAATAAATTTTTATTTAATAATTGTAGTGGTAGTTACACCACATCACTCCCCCACAAGATTTTTTGTCAGGGATTCATTACAGTCTTTGTTCCCCGGATTTTAAGAGCTGTAGGGAGAGCTGTATTAAGTTTGCAGTTGTGTGCATGGATGCTCCTGTGTTGCTATTAGCAGTCGAGTGCATGCAGGATCCCGTTGTGTATGATAGAGACTGAGTAGCAACAGCGTGATGAGGACAATGACACAGTCACCAATAGCAAGTCAACTCTTCAATATGGACCGTCTGTCAAAGTAGGCGTGTCAATCGACAATGTCAACCTTCATCTATCGAAATGTACCTTAAGATTAGAATTGAGTTTACATGTTTTATATACTAGTGAATTGGTATATAATAATTGTAGTGGTAGCTACACTACATATGTATTGATGTTTGTTGGATATTACAAACTTTTTTTTACACCAATCGCACTGAGACAGTAGATAAAGCACATTCTTTGCTAGTTGTAATAATCTCAAATTAAAGGAACAATTACCAAATGGGGATGCGTTGAATATTTTATTTTACTATCGGAAAAATGGTTGGCTGTCTTTCAAACACATTATTTTGGGCAAGGTTATTATTAGCAACAGAAAGATATCTTACAAAAGAATAGTCATTTTTGTGGGACCCCATATACATTGTGCAAATGAGACAAATCTTCCTGTTATATACAATTGCAGTTTTAAGTTCTTAATTTTCGGAAATAGAACAGTGGTACGTTTTAAATAAGTATCAAACTTAAAAATGTGATACAATAATAAAAAGGTGTCAAAAATGTTTTCCTTTTTTCTTTGTCTGTATTGTTTTGGTTTTAGCAATTTTAATATTTTGGTGATTCTAAAATTATTATATTAAGTTTTAAAAATATCAAAATTGCTAAAAATTTTATGATCCCTGCTGCAGGTCCCGTGACCCCAATTGGAATCAGAACCCACTCTTTAAGAGACTCTGGTTTAATCAGTAGATGTTGTTCGTTTATCATCTGTCACATTATTAGTATTATTTTAAAACGATTTTAATAGGTATTTATTTATATAAATTGTTTTTCAGTAATATAAATATGCTAAAATGGACATTAAAAAGAGTCATTTATATTTTTGTCATTCTAATATTAAGTACTTTTTTGTATCTTATTTGCTTAATATGTTATCTTTATGTCTTATTAACTACTCTATAACATGGTTAGAAATGTAAATATTTTTTCTTCTTTATTTTTTTAAAACAGCTTACTGCTATTGCGGAGAAAGATAAAGACATGGTCCCTATTGGAAAAACAGCTTCTGAGGTATACCTCCTAGTTATTCTTTAATTTGATCTAATTCTGTGATTTAAAAGAAATCTTTGATTTAAACCAAAGGATTTTTTTGAAGAAATCACTGATTCATAAATTTATATTACTCTTAATCATTCTTTAATTTGTTCTTATTTTATTATTTAAAAATAAATCGTTGAGTCAGAAATTTATGAAGTAATATCTGGAGTGATTGTATTCTTGGTTTTTCATATCGTTCTTCGAAGTGTAAAAACAAGAAGCTAAGCATGTGATTTTTTCCTCAAAAATTGCAAGTATCGCATTATATCTCAAGGCTATTGGTTCACATACTTCTCCAAATCAAAAACATATAATCCGACTAAATTTTGAAACTTTTGCTTTGTCCTGTTAATGAGATGTTTGCATACATGTGATTCTTCCGCCAGTTTGATTCTTTTGGTTTGGCAGATTTTCACTATTTTGAATATTTGGAACTGTGTCGGAATCTGCTAATATCGTGGTTCTTGTTCACACGATTTTAAAATTTACTTGATCGTTTACATCGACTTTAGTATTTACTTGATTAAAAAGTTATGTCTTAGGCAGTTTTTTCACTACAGCGCGAGAATCTAGCATATTTTTTTCGTTTCTCGCATTAAAAAATGATTACCACGAGAAATTTGCGCATTCTATAGGGTGACCTGGGGTAATTCCTGATCAAAAAATGCAAACATCTATTTTGTGAAAAAAATATTCAAGATAGAATTTTAATATTTACTGGAAGTTTGAGGGTTTATGAGAGGAATCATATGCTACCTTCTTTTGTTTGAAAATCCAATTAGAATTTAAAGGATTTTAAATTTTTAGTGATCAGGAATTACCCCTTATCTTGATCATTTATGGGGTAATTCCTGATCACTTTTGGGGTAATTACTGGTCACCAGTTTTTGTTGTAAAGGAGCTGTTTAAAAATTATTATACAATGGTAATTAAAAAATAAGATATCAAGATCAAACAAATAAACAAAAATATATGTTTAAGCAGCTAAAAAAATGATTTATTTAAAAACAATAATAAAGATTAACACTTTAAATTTTCCAAAAATCTTTGCATCATGCCATACATTTTAGGCAATCAGCCAACTCATTCTCATGTTCTGCTGGAATATATGAAAGAGTTCCCACATGGGTTACTTTTGGTGGACTTTTTAACTTCATTAAGTGAAAGTGTAAAATTAAGTTAGGTGTGTCAACAGCTCTGACAGCAGCTCTCACACTGAAATTTTCATTTTCAGTCATTATAAGAAATTCACTGATTTTGCTTTCTAAAAGCTTAGTATCCTTTTTAGGCTTATAATTTCTCACCATATTTATATTAAGTTAATTTATAAACTTAATTATTCTAACTAGTGATGTAACGAATAGTGATGGGGCCGTATACCGAATATTCGGCCAAATTTTAGGCCGAATACCGAATATTCGGTGACCGAATACTTACTTTTTAAAAATTTCTCTTTTGATTGTAATTAAAGTAATTTTCAAATTTTAAATTAAAAATGAAATAAATATTAACAAAATTGCTTTTTTAATCTTTGTATATTTAAAAAAATGATTTATTTGATTGATTTTTTGTAATAATTTAAATATCTTGATGCCAATAACAAGGCAATATGGCTTTTATAAATCTAAATAATTAATAATAGCATATTTTATTTAATCTCAGAAAATTAAGAACTAATTAAATCTCAGAAAATTAATAACTTTTTAAAAAGTTTCACTNATCTCAACAGTAGGCCCACACTACGTGATCATTATTTACCCCAGAAACAGAGTGATCGTGAATTACCCCGGGTCACCCTACATCAATTTCAAAATTCGCGAATTTCTCGCATTTTCGAAAAAAGCTTAGAGTAACGCCATTTAGAATAAAATCCGTTTCACTTTTCTCCCTGGATCATTCATTATTTTCAACATCTGCCCCATTATCTAGCTTCCCTATTTAACAGTATTGTTCAAAACCTTTTCGAACAACAGAACACAACCACAGAACCCCTTTCAGAGCACATTTTTCTGCAACCACGTGTTTACCGTAAGTATTTACCGCAATACGGTAAGTATTTTAGGTTTCTTCATGTAAGAGGTTAAAATTTTTTATGTGCTAATGTAAGATGGACAAATACCTTGTAAAGGCAAAATCTTCTATGATGATGCACCAAAAATATTCAATTCTTTAAAAAATAGAAGACGTTAAAAATGTATTATAATTAAGGAAATAATTTTTTTTTCAAGAGTGTTTGTGTTTTGTTAGTTTTTAGAAATCTCACTTAAGTTTTTGAAATCTCACCCTGTTTTTGAGAAAGGGTGAGAAATTCTCACCCATTTTTTTTTCTATGATGAAAACACTGTCTTAGGATTCTTATTCACTCAACTTAAAAATTGTACATCACACTTCCTATCCATTCATTCGATTTAAAAATCCAATAGCGTGATTTGGATTTACGCATTTTTAAAATCCATTATCCCGATTTGCATTCACGCGTTTTTAAAATCCATTATCCCGTTTTGTATTCACGCAGTTGTAATATCAAACATGGATTTTGGTATTTATAAGTTATCTAAAAATTAAGCATTGGAATTTGTATTCACGTGATCTAAAACTTTTGCATCATGATCCGTATTTACGCGATTTAAGAATTCAATATTGCAATATGTATTTACGCTTTTTTGAAATCCATTATCTTGATTCCTATTCCCACGATTTTAAAATAAAATATCGAAAATCTTGTAAGAAGCAAGTTTCTCTTGAATTAGTTACTATAAAGGTGTGATATTACTTCTATCAAATTTTTGGTAGTTATTACTACTGATTTCTCCATAGTTTTTAAATCCAATATTTTTTATACGATATTATTTATTACAACAACCTAACTTCCAAACGAAACACGCATTTGAGAAGTGATTTAGACGTCGATCTTTATTTTGAGAATTACTACTCAGTTTTTCTTGATTTTTAATTATTTTTTTATTACGATAATTATTTATGAAACGCAAAGAAGGAAATAATTTGTGCGACTCTTCATCCAAATGAAATTCGAGAATATCACCAATAATATTAGAATAAAAAAATTATTACAAGTTCAATACTGAAAATAATGCATTTTTTCCATTATATTTTGAGTAGGAAAAAAACAGTTTATGTTTTGAAAGCATTTTTTATTTCACAATTCCATTCTCTATCTTTTAAATGAGAATTTTAAATTTGTTTTTTGTGCTACCAAGAATGAACTTTCTTAAGCTTTGCATAGGGGCTCCCTCATTACATAAACTTTATCGGATGACACATCTCAACTCTAGTGTTCCAGAACTCGCTACTTTACCTAATTGTTTATGTTACAGAACCTATTGAAATTCAACATTAAAGAAACATGTTCTTACTTTCTTGGCAACAAAAGAGTAAGAAAAAACATATTTTGATATTTAACCAGTATTCTCCAGAAGCATTTTTGAAAGCGCGCCCTATCTGCTTTTTGATCCCTGATCCCTATAAATGCACCATCTTTGCTTTTTTGTATAAATTAGTCACCATCCCTTAAAAACACTGCCTTTTATTTCATTTTTTCAGGAAAAAGTTGTTTTCTTAACCACCTAATTTTTTTTAAGGCCACTCTTCATTTATTTAGTTATTAAAAATTATTATTTAATTTAATTTCTTTATATTCTTTATATTTATTCTTAAATCATACCATTATTTTTTTTAATCAATATCTTTTATTTAAAAGTGCCCCCATTGAATGCGTCTATTTTCTCATAATTTTTAGTTGAAAAAAAATTATGCTTAGAGATTGTCTTTTAGCATGCCTTTATTTTTTATGAACTACAAATTTTTCTCTTCTTTTGATAATGTTTGAGAATTACTTCTTGAAATATATACATACGACAGTATAGGAAGGTAATTTAAAAATTGTTGAGGAACAAATTCAATTTATTACATAATATTACACAATTTTATAAATTTTTGCGGTATTAAATGAGTGCCTTTTTCTGTGAGGAAGCGACCTGTCCTTTTTTGAACACTCTGATTTAACTTAATTGGGTATTATAAAGAGTGGGAATTATAATTTATTCCTGGGATGTTATAATGATTCCTGATTTCTTAATAATTTTGTATATTTTACTTACTTAGTATCATCTGTGAATTATATTACATTTTTGATTAACTTAATTTGTTTGTTAGTTAGTTTTTTTTTTTTTTTTTTTTTTTTTTTTTTTTTTTTTTTTTTTTTTTTGTAAAAAATATATGCTTAGAAAATAGTTGACAATATCTGACAGATTATTTATTGCAAATAATTTTTTGTACCTTTTTAATTTAGCATTTTGAGGAAGATGATGATGAAGAGGAGGATGATGATAATGATGATGATGAAAGTGAGAGTAATGAAGAAGATGATGAAGAATTAGATGCTGAAATGAATTATGATCAGGACACTGAAGTAATTTGAAGATTTTGTGATAGCTTTGTTGCAGTAAGAAATTAATTTATTAAATTTTTAATTTACATTTTGTGTATCTTGTATTTTGAAAGAAAGTACTTATCTTGTTAAAAAAGATTTTAGAATTATTTTTTGAATTTGAATTTTCTTGAGAATATTTAATGTTTATTACAAATAAAATATAGTTTTTATCACACTTTGGGTTGACTTAAGAACAAAATTCATACTTTGCTTTTTGTGACTGTTGTAATACCTGCTCCTTCATTAAAATGGTATAAATCTTTTTCTCCATGAATTGATATTACAGCAAGCATAAGTCATTCTATGGAAAATGTGTATAATTTTTAAATTGCAGTTAATTTTTTTAGATTGTTAAATGTCTTGTTTTAGATAATGCAGTCTAATTACAAATATCAGATTAAATGTTTTTCACCCTATTTTTGTGTGGTAATATTTGTTACAAAAAGAAATTATTTGTGTGCAAAAATGGCTTATTTAGGCACTAACTTTGTAACTAATCTAAACTTCACATTTGTCACAAATTTTTTCTATACAAATAACTCCATTTAATGATGTTTACTTTTTAGTAAGTATGTGCAAAATAAATTCAAGTTAGTCTTGAATGCTTATTGCGGAAGAATTAAGGGAGCAAATATATAACATGAATTTGGTAACAAAATGTATCATACCATGGAAAGAATTGCTACAAAAGTGTAATTATGATATAAAGCATATTTAAACAATAAAAAGAACAAAGAGTACCATAAATTGTTTATAAAATAAAACTTTTAATGGTAGAGTTAGACAAGTTTTTTTCTGAACTGAAATTCATTCACTAATTCATTTCTGATGGTCTCTAGTGTGTTGCACTTAATTTTAACTAAATTTAATAATAAATTAATTAAAATTAATAATAATTAAATTTTACTTTACCTAATAATGAAACATCGGATATTGTTCTTTTTTTACAAATGCTCAATTTGTGAACATGTGGCAGGTTACAAAGTCCTACTATAAATCTTATATTCTTTATATTTTTTTAAAACTTTAAAAAATATCCTATATTACCAAAATAGTCCTATAAATTCTATTTTTTGCCCTTTAAATCCTACACAGCAATGTCGTTACGCTAAAATTACAAATTTTAACATCCTATATTGTATGAAGAATTTGTAAAATTTACATTGCGCTAAAGGTGAGTGCAATCTATAATGTAAATGATGATGACAAAGCAATTATTCTGGAAATTCATTGATTATTTTTGGAAGAAGGTTGATTCAGCCTTACAGTAGGTCAATAAAATGGGCACCAAGTATGCTTGGAGACTAAACACGGGTTTCGTGTTCAGCTGACCACTCAACTGTAACATCTCATGCACACCTCCCAGAACGCAGGATCAAGAAAACTGGGTTGGGCACAGTAGTCCTTAGCCTCATATGGCCTGTCATGCAGTGGTCCCCATCCCCCCCCCCAAACTATTCGTTTTATTTAGTGTAAAAATTCCCCCCAAGCTTTAAGTGGGCGCATCATGCGTACACCTCCGCCTCCCCCCCCCCTGGTGGCGACTTTACACATTGTCGACTCCCGGGCACCTCCACTCGCCGCGGTTTTATTTGTCAACTGTTTCACCGCCTTATCTAGTAACCCTCACTCAGAGGCAACCCTACGCTCGCCGCAGTACAGCACTCACAAAAGTCATAAACGAATCTTCGCTCTCATGGATATTTTTAAAAGTTGCTTGTTGAATTAAGTTAAAATTTTATCCTCGTTTAAGACTAGAAAAATTCAAATAACGAGATCAAAATACTTCGTCCATCTATAAAGAAAAAGTTACATACACACAATTATTTCAGTTAATTACATACATATTTCGGTTAAAAAAATTTTCAAATAGAAACTATTCTTGTAAATTAAATAAAAATCTGGAGTAATAAAATATTTATATCCTCAGAATAATCAATTTCTTTTGAATATTTAAATTAATAAACAAAGTTTAAAAAAATAATCCCCTATATAAATCATCAAATTATTAAGTGTACATATTTTTGAAGATAAAAGTATTAAAAAAAATTTACGCAGTTTGAAAAATAATTATTTTTATTTCCTTCATTTTTACCATGTGTTTTCAATTGTTTCTATTTTGGAAAAAATATGTATTCTTCAAAATGCTTACAATATCTTAAAAAAATTGCATATATTTTATACTGAACAACTTTTGATTGACAATATTTTCTTCATAAGAGAGTCCTTAAAAAAATTTGAAAATATTTTCATTAAATTTGTTCAAATATTTTCTGTAAAATGCGTGCTATTATGAAAACAAGGAGAAAAAATATTTTTAGTAAAGCCATGACATAAAGAAACAAATCTATGACATATTCACTACTATTTTCGTATAGTTAATTTATTTTTTATAACATCAAATCATATTTATTAAAACTTAAAGTTGTGGCTGCTCAACTTTTTTTAATGTTTCTTAAATTTGTCAGGGAAAATTCCGATATTTTCCATTTTTCTTGCTTCTATCACTATTATTTGTATATATCTGAAATTACTCACCTTCGTTTTAATTGTTTCCTAATTAATTTTATCATATATTTTGCTATATATATTTATCCTTTCATTCTATGCTTCATTAATTTCATAACTTATCCATCTTGTAACTTTTTATTCATAATTTTATAACAACTTTAGCTCATTAGATTCTATAACTCAACAATTGGTATATATATTTTATAATTTCTTTATTCAATTTTTGGGCTTCTAAATAAGATATGGAAAAAATACTATGAAAATTATTACATTTATTGTCAATCTAAAATTAGGCCTTTTTTCCTCCTAAGTGCGAAAACACATTTACTAACTTAATGTAACGTAATTTAACACGATTCATCTTTTTTAATAAGAACGATTCAGAGAAAAGCAGGATCAGTAAAAGTGAAATGTGTATTTTAATTTATATTCTGCTTCAAAAATGAGACAAAAGAGACACAGAAAACTTTTCTGTTATTATTTAATAGTATTCATTAGTCTTTAAAATTCCAAAAGAATTTTTAAGTTGCTGGAATCATACAATAGTCTCATTTGTAACAACTTGTTTTTTAATTTTTTTTCACACAATAGCTTTTATTGTATGTAATTTGCTTTAAAAGTTCAAACATTTATTCTTAGATTGTCATGCAGTCTGTGTGTCTGAAAACTGTATGACCTATTTTATTTTATTTGTTCCTTACAGAATGGTAATAATTGTTTCTTATTTGGTAATAAAAATCTTACTTTTGCTGAGATAACTGATCGCAAGAGTTTTGTTTTATTATCATAACATCGATTAATTTTTTTGAGAAAAGTGTAAGTCCTCAGCCTTTCAACCATATTGCTTTAAAACTACTTTCTTTATTTAAAGTAAGTTATTAAATTTTAAAATTGTTAAGATTCTCTTATTTGACTCAATGTCTTGTCTTTAATGAATCAGAAATAAATAAACAGATTGTCCTTATATGATATGAGTTATGATATGAGAATGTCAAAGTTGATGCTACTTAATCAAAATTGTGTTCACCTCATAAATATACTTTAACTGCTACAAATTTTTAAGTCCTGGCCACCAAAGCTGTGGAGTTGGCTAATACGTATGAAGGAATTTATCGTTTAGGACATAACATTTACAAAAAAGTGTCAAATCTAAGTACAATTGTTTGGAAGCAAATATTATTCGCACTGCAAATCATTACATCAAATTTAATCATAGATATCAATGTCAGAAAAGTAAAAAAGAATAAATTCATGTATAAAGCTGACAGCAACAATCTCCTCATCATTACACGTATATAAAAAGAAAATGCTTAAAACTCATAAATTGTGTAGTTACTTAAATTAAAGGTTTTAAAAACTAAACAATAAGGTACAAAACCCTGCTGCATTATTGAATATTGCGTCCACATGCTTGATAAAGACACCATAAATTATTTGCAATAAATTTATAAAAATAATTATAAAGCAATATTCTACTAATATATCCTACACCCACAAAGAAAACTTTATCCTAAAAAGGATATAAAAAAGTAAGAAATAAATATGTGTTTCAGGAAGTCCGTATAAAAACAGAATGATAATACACAAAAACTTTTAAAGCTGCTAAATTTATTCACACCTCATGTTCACTCATGAGTTTTTTAAATCGTATGTCGCAAGTGAAACATGCTCGAATTAATATGCGAAGATTTTCGCGAGAAAATTTGAAACCCGACTTGGCGAATTTCAAAATACGGTGCCAAAGAAGTGCCCGGGAGTCGACAATGTGTAAAGTCGCCCCCTGGTGGGGACCCCTGCTGTCATGCCACATAGTTTAGTTTTAGCATTAATTGGCACTTTGACTTGAATAATGTAAGACCTCACATCACTTAAAAGTATTTCTGCAAGAATAATTAGTGCAACCTATACTTGTATTGAACTATAGAGTCAAATTACTTATTTTATTTACTTTAAACACTTGAAAAATTCAACTTAATAAATTAAAATTTTGACATTATTCTTGTCAGGCATGTATTGTGTTTTTATTATTGTTCTGTTTAGTCCACTTGTGTTATGGAATTGTATTTTAAAAAAATTTGTCCAATAACAATTTTAATATATACTTAAATATATGTCATAAAATACCAAACATACAATACAAATTTTGTTTTATTTTATTTCATATTTTGTTTTATTTCCAGATGTTTCACTGAAAGAGAATTAAAGGAAAACAAATGATGTTTAGATTTCAGTTGTTCATATCATCCTGTTTCATCACTCTTACTTTCAAAGACAAGTTTTTGTTTCTTTGCATTGTATATATAACATTGTTTTAAAAATATGAGATCGTGTGTTTTTATTTATGAAATTGAATAAAGTCTATAGTTGTCAATTATTTCTTGATAAGTTCATTGAATTTTTCAACATCCATCCACTGTTGTAATTCTTCTATTGTTTTACTCCAGAACGTTTGCTGAAGCTTAACATTATAAGACTGTTTACTTGATTGTAAAATTGTTTTATCTTCTAAATAATTTCCACCATTTCCTTCTATATCTGGACTTAAAGCAACGTAAGTAGCAGTATCTGCTCCATCTTTTGCTGTCTGTAAATAAAAAGTTTCATGTTATTTTATTTTGTAAAGGAAATTAAATTAAAAAGAAAAAAAAACTACTGCAACACATTAATTACATGAAAAACTTGAAATAAATGATGAAGCTTTTCTTTCTTTCTTTTTTGAGTAGACACCCTGATTTAAAGTGGGTTATACTGTTATATTATTGATTCATTACTTTATCTAGAAACTCTATTAAAAGAATACAGTGAACATCTGAAGTTAGTAATTATATTATCTAATGTATATTTTCACACATTTCTAAACATAAATGATTTGAAAATTATTCATCAATTGGCTAATTTACAAGCTGCAAATATCTTAGACTAGTAGTTTATTAAAAAATTATTTTACTGCCTCAGCTTTTAGATTAAGTATGTAAAAGTTAATAACACAGTATCAATACTTTCATCTTTGTCTTTACTGCACACGCATAAGTATGACGTTTAACTCTTTCATAAAAATTCATATGTAAAAAATTAAATTTATTTAAGAACCTAGTGTGCCCTTTTGCATATCTGCAAAACTAAGTTTGAATCGGAATTTCTCTGTGTTCCTCTTTAGTTTAACAATGAAAACTGCTTCACTCAACTGCAAAGGTGTTTGTCTTAGTAAGGGATAAGAGTTGACCACCGGTCTGTGCTAGTTTCAACATTAAAGAATATGCTGTTTCCCCTTGTGTGTCTTCATTAGTTTGGCTTGGCCCCCACTGCCTCCAGCAAGAGGTATTTTGTTATATTTTAGCATTATTGCAATTTGAAGCTTCAATCATTTAATTTCTGTTTTTATTTCATTTGTGATGATTTTCTGTTTATTATTGCAAAGATTCTATTTTTAACATTTATGTTGGGTATCAGAAAACATACAGTTTCACAGATATGTAAAGCTGTGTTTTGCAGATATGCCAATTTACAAAAAATTTTAACTGGCTTTTTCTATCTTTTTCCTGTATTCCTTGACAAATCCTGCATGTGAAAATAATAATTATTTTTAACTTAAAAAATGTGAAGTGATAGATGCTAAAAAATAGTGATAGACCTAATGCTAAAAAATCAACTCCATGATAAATTACCCTTTTGTTCAATTAGAGCTACTATTAAAATCTCAATTTATTATAAGATTCAAAGAATTTAAGAAAGCTTAATTTTTTCAATATTCATTACAATTTTTTAAGGAAAAAAAAAGCACAAATGTTTATAAATTAACTTTTTACTGCAAATCTCGATACATTTTTCTTTTTAAAAAATTTTTCAATTATATTTACCTGCATCAATCAAACAGTATAATTCCTAAATATTGTTTCTGCCTAAAGACTACAAATTTCTTAAAGATAGCATCATAATGTATAGAAAAATCTTATTATTCACATGGAAATAGTATTAGTATCACCAAAATATGCTCTCCCGCACAATTTTATAACATTGTTTTTTTAACCTAAAGCCCTTCATTTTTTAAACTTCAGAGGATAATTTGTATAATTTTTCATAGCTTAAGTGTGTAAATTATGTTTTCATTAAAAAAAGGCATAATCTAATGACCCAAGTTTTAATTCAAGTAACTTATCATTCTAAATAATTTGCAGTTTTGGAAATGATTCTACGCATTTTTAGAATGACCTAAATTGTTTTATTGAATATTTCATTAAATTTGAAAGCAATTTTTAAGAAGTTTACCTTTAAAAATAAAGCTCCTATGAAGGGAAGTATTAAAGCTGATGTCATCAAGTCAGTGTTAACTACCCCTGGATGAACACAATTAACATCCACATTTATTTTATTTGTTTGTAGCTTCTGATGCAACGAATATGTGAACAATACTTGAGCCAGTTTCGATTGAATATATGCCTTGTGCTTAGAATAATATTTCCTGAAAAAAAATAGTTGTCTAAGTTATTAATAATGTTAGTATTTGATGGCATTTCAAATTATTTATTTTTTTATCTCTATTTAAGCATTAAAACCTTACCAAAAGACAATAAGCTATAAAAAAAAATGTACTAGAGTATACTGAAGTTACCATTTCATTTACATTATGATGATACAGAAACTTCATACCACTCAATTTTAATGGTACTCTAATTTTAAAAAAATTTAATTATTAGCGATTTTTTTTACTTTTGAACACAGTTAAAAATGGTTACAGAACTTGAAATTGTGTTTCAAACAATAGACGTAACTCAAAATGTTTATTTAAGGAAATGAACATAGTTCAAAATACCCTTAAATAAAACTGGATATTGCACAAAATGTGCTTTTTCAATGTTGAACAATAAAACTTCTTTTAGATGAAAAAAAACCTTAATTTTAAATGTAAAAAAATGAACGAGATCAGTTTTTTACTTCCAAAGGTCAGAAGTTTCATGAAAGAAGAGTCATCGAACTGCCTCAAAAAAATGGAAAGAGACCGTAGATCAAAAGGGAAATATATTTTTATACCTTAAAAAAATACTTTTAAGCAAAAAAAAAAACTCTCTGAATGAGTAGTTTAATCCAAATCAGCTAGAAACTGTTACTTATCAAATGAAATCATTTTATGTTTAGAGATAAATATTTGGATATAATTATCATTTTTTATTATATTTTAACATCAAATTCAATAAATAAAAAAAAATTAAATAATGGTGTTAAAATTATAATAGTTTAATGAACTTATTTTTGAAATAACACTATCCCAAGTATACTCGTTTATTCACATGAAATATGTATATGTTAAAAAAAGAAACTACTGCACATATAAAACATTACCATTCTTTGAAGTTCAATAGATCATTATTTCCTACATAATGAATGCAAGAAGTACAATTGACTATTCTTGAATGCTTTTCATGAGTCCCACTCTTGGAAAGTAGAGGTAGTAAAAGCATTGTTAAAAGGCTATGTGACAAATAATTGACAGCAAAATGCTTTTCATACCCGTCCTCTGTCGTTTCCTCTTTAACAAACATGATACCAGCTGAAAAAGACACAGAAGAAGTGTAAAAAGAATATTGTATCAATATTTCAATTACAACTAGCTAATCGAGAGGAAGTATTTTGATTTCAATTTTGGCTATTTTCAAGAGATATTGTCAAAGTTCTCAATGCATTGAATTTTAGTAATACATAATTTGAAATCTGTCCGGCAGCCTTTAAATCACACAAACCACCATAAGAATGAGTTCAGGACATTTAAACATAGTATGCAACAGAAATATTTAAATTATTTTCATCTCTGCTTTGAGATAAGATAGAAACTCACTGCAATGCTCCATTACTTGCTGTACTACTTCCTTACGCACCTCTCGAGCAGTAACTCGAGTATCTTATAATATACATGATATTATTCGAAAGAGGCAAGCTCCGTCACCAATAATTGATATGACAAAAAGCGGCACCATAGTTTACGTTTAAAAATTCGGCAGCCATTTTGGAAATGATCTAAATCTTCGTAACTAAACTAGCTGCGTAATCCACTTTCATTCTACTCTTGTTGGTAAAAATAAAATCTGCATTGTCCATTGCTGTTAGTTACAAAAAAAAAATTTTCTCGTCATGTGATTTAGTACAGTGAAACCTGCAGAAGAGACCACCTCAGTGTAGCGACTACCTCTATTTACGACCACTTTTGGGTGGCACGGAATTTTTTCCATAGACTTTATGTTGAAGGAAAAAAATCTTCCGGAGAGACCATTAAAACGTCTCCCAGCGACCGGGAAAACATCTGATCCAAATACGGAAAAGGAAACAAAAAAAATATCAGCAACAAAAAAAAATTTAACGAAACATATAAGTAGAATAAAATGTATTCTAAATATTTGGGTGAAAATATTTAGAAAGAACTCTTGTTGACGATACAACCTTATAATGCAGTCAGAATGCACTAAAGACGATGCTATCAATAATATATTTTTTGAGTTGAAAGTTAAATTAGGAAAGAAAAAGTTTTTTAGAAAAAACAAGCATCTCAAACAAAACCTCTTCTCATCTTTTAAAGCTTTACTAATTTTTATGATATAAAATTAAAGGCAAACTAAAACAAAAACATAATTGTTTTTTTTTTAAATGGCTTTATCATTCATAATTGGTAAATTTGTTTTTGCACATAATTATATAAGTTGGGATCATTTTTATAGACGCTAAATTTTATTCTTAGATCCATATTTTCATGACGCCAACAGAAGAGGCATTTCCGCGCCAAGAAAATGACATTGACTAAAATTGAAATCGTTAGCGAAAAATCCTGCATCTTCGCTAACATTTTTGAAGTCGATGGTGGTAATCTCTAAGAACGACCAACTTCCATCAATGACTATTTTACTGTGGAACGGAGAGAGGTCGGTTTCAAGAGGTTTCACTGTATTTCTTATTGATTTTAAAATAAAAGAATTTCTTACCATTGTTTATTAATAAATGCAAAGAAGTTTTTGTTAATAAATATTTTTCAGCAAATTGCTTTACTGACTTCAATGATGCTAAATCCAAATGCCATACTTCCACTAAAAAATAATAACAACATTTGTAAAATGACATTTTACTTTCATATCAGGCTTAGTGCTAAAAAAAAATCTTTCTCAAGTTTAACCGTTTTATTAAGAATCGCTTACCTTCGCATTTCATAAATTTCCTTTGCAAAGTAGTTTGCAAAATATTTCTTTTCTCTTCAGGGGAAGAAGAACCTGTAAAATAAAACATTTAATTTCTATTAAAAAAAACATTGCGAAACGCATTTTTAAATCAAAAATATTACTTGTGTACAAAGGCGGGTGACAACGTGGTATCGGCTGGGATAAAACCTCGACTCTTTGACTTAGTATCTTTGATGGATGCTTAAGAGGACGCCATAACTGAAGGAGAAACTTTTCCTCGCTAATTCTCTTTCACCTCCATTACATATTTAAAATTTAAAAGAAACTAAAAGCGAGTTCAGTGAAACCTAGAGTAAGTTACGAAGTTTCAATTGCTGAAGAAAAAACCCCATCAAAATGCTTGTGGGGAGTGAGTTATAGACAATGTCAACCTTCATCGATGAAAAGGTACCACTGGTCACGCCCGGGTCACCAATGTGGGGCTAGTAGTTATAGACAATGCCAACTTCCATCTATGAAAAAGCACCCCAACATAGAATCGAGTTAACATGTCTTATGTACTAGTGAATTGGTATTATATTTTTGTAGTGGTAGATACTCTACAGTACTCCCCCACCAGAATCTTAACTGTGATAGAATTCGATGAACGGATACCACTAGTTGATTCATTGCTGTTTTGTGAGAAGCCCGGAGAGCTGTATTAAGATCACCGTACTTTTTGAGTGCTAATCGTGAGATCTGTATTAAGTTCACGGTCGTGGTCGCTCCTGTGTTGCCTTTAGCAGTCGAGTGTATACGTTGTACGTTATGTGCGATCGAAACACTGAGTAGCAACAGAACGAGGAGGTGGATAATGTCGCAGTCACAAGTAGCAAGTTAACTGTTCAGTGTGAACCATCCATCGAAGTAAGCGTGTTCGAATCGTAGTGGCGTTTCTGTCAAGGTAGGCGTGCTCATATCACTTCCGGGTCACCAATGTGGGGAGTGAGTTATAGACAATGTCAACCATCATCTATGAAAAGGTACCCCTGGTCACGTCCGAGTCTCCAATGTGGGGTTAGTAGTTATAGACAATGCCAACTTTCATCTATGAAAAGGTATCCCAACATAGAATCGAGTTAACATGTCTTATATACTAGTGAATTGGTATTATATGCTAACAAATTTTTGAATTATTCTCCCATAATTTATTTTCATTTTAATATTTCGGAAATATCTTTTCAGTATTTTAGACTTATGGCTTACCCCTTAGGTTTGCCTGAACTTACTTTTTATGTACTTTAAGTTGTAAGTTAACTTAAATGAGAGAGTTTGAAATGAAAATTTTCTTCCGTGGTATAGCGTCCAATAAGACGGCCTAGGTTCGAATTTCGACGATGGCTGGTCAACTTTTTCTGTATAAGCCAAGCACAGATCAAACATGGGTAACAGTTCTCTTACCAAAAGGTTAATCGCAGGCAATTTTTCGAAGTTTTCCTCACCATTTAGCGAAAATGCTAGTTAATTCAATGCAGAAAGTCATCTATGGGGGCAAGAGCGCTCGATCCACTAAGTTCCCTTGTAATTCCGAGTGAATTTAAATTTACGGATTGAAAAATTGGATTTCAATGCTTATGGATTTCAATATTTGTAGCCGCGAATCCGAAATGGATTGGCTGTACAACGATATTTTAGAATAAACCGATAAAACAATAACTCAATTTTCATTTTCTTTTTTTTCTCTTTCTTTTCTTAGTAAAACTAGCTATTGAATGGACAGGAATCAATTCTTGCATTTTAAGTTATTTCTATCTTATAGCAATAAAAATTATTGACTGATTTTACGTCAGTCTATCTATTGTTTTATATTCTAAACCAGCGGATCTCGTAAGTCCCGAGGAATCCTAGGGTTCCGCGGAAAAGTTACGGGGGTTCTGAAAGCTAGTTTTTTTTCTTTTTTCTTTTTTTTCTTTTTCTTTTTTTTTAAACCCAGTAATAATTATTTTTATATCAAATCAATAATCATATTTTTCTTTTAATATTTCGGTCGCTTATAGGAACTTGTTTAAGTAAAATGTCAGAAAAAGGTAGCAAAATTAAAAAAGAAGAAAAAAACTAATCACAACATATTGAATAAAGTATAAAAAGAAAAGAATATTAGAAAGAAGAAGTATAAAAAGAAGAATGCATTTATAAAAAATTCAATAAGTATTTCTCATCGAGTTTTTCAGCTCACTTTTTAGTGGTTCAATCAAATCTAAAAGCTCTTGCAACATTATATAGTTGCTTCTTTCTTCAAGAACGAATGTTCTTTTTTTTTTATCGAAACATGTCACCTAGTCTAGAATTTCAATAAGACTACGAAACTATAACCCTTTTTTTAATAACTCTATGATAGATATCGTAAAAGATAGCACGAATTAAACCCCGATAATACATATATGAATTATTTGTTTAAAGCAGAAATCTTTGCCTAATGCACATTCCAGCGGTGCGCCCAACGTCAGTGCTTATCGTTTAAAAAGTACGTTTTTTGAGTTTTATTGATATTTTTCTTTAAGAAAAATAATTTAAAAAAACATTGCAAGTTGAAAAAAATTTTACTGCACTTACCTATTATTACGTTATATCCACATTGTAATAAATTATGAACAATTTCCAGTCCGATACCTCTACTTCCACCTGTGACAAGTGCCCATTTATCGTCTTGTTTTGGAAAATCTATAATAACAAAAAGAAAAATTTAAGGAATTACTTATGAGTTTGTATTTTTAAAATTCAGTTGAAAAGAATCAGTAATTTATTAAGTGAAATTATATAATAAAAATAAACATGTTTAAGTAAGTATAATGTATTTTGTTTTTTTCCCGAAGTTTTATACTTACCGAAATTCCAACAAAATATTCTTAAACAAAACATTTCACTTTTTATACAACAACGTATTTTACTTTTCAACTTTTTATTATTTTTAACATGAAGAATATTTTAATTTCATAAGTGATCAGTCGTCTATTTAGTATTCAAGTGCTCTAAGACTTCATTAATGAATTTATTTCAAAATCATATTTATTCATCATGAAATATTTCTCAAGAGACAAGTATTTGTCTGTTTAAAAATATATTTACATAATAGAATAATAGTAAAAGATTAAAGTCATAGTGTTCTTTAGATTTTTATTGGGGATGCACGTTTGTCTGGGCTATTGTTTTTTTTTCTTTTTTTTTTCTTGGCTATTTGTCTGTTTATTAGGGATTTGAATGATATTTGCTTGGCTATTGTCCCTAATAAAATATCTGAAAATATCTTCAACAATATCAAATAAGAAAGAGTTAACTATTTATTGGTTTTTCATCATTGAGAAATGGATTGCCTTGCTATGCATTTTTCAATGCTTAATTCTTCATTTAAGAATTCTCTTGTCTTCTGGGTTGAATTCAAAATCACAAAACAAAAGAGTAAACAAATTGGTAAGCGTAAAACCAATATTGATGGTTATTTAAATAAATTTAGATTCTCTATGAGTGATATTTTTTCTGCCTTCAATAAGTATACATCTAAACACACTCCGCAGCTTTTTTCCAAATTTTTTCTTTCCTTTTTGTAATTTACTTTCTTATAACTTTTTTTTTTTTCTTACCGTAACTTAGTCAATCTAAAAAAGCACAGATATATTCACAGATAAACTAACTAAGCATATCTGAAAATACTTTTATAACCTGCCGGAGATTTAAAAAAAAGAAAGGGAAAAAATCTCTGTAATTTTTCTCTTTGTTATTTTAATAATGTTTACTAGAATGAAAATTCCCTCTAAGCTTGGCGCGAAGGAACCTGGCAAGGTCAATGACATTCCAACTAAACATGATTCTTCTCTGATAGCGACCGAAGCCTGATAATCATCTTTTTTCGAAGCATTAAATGTAACGGTCCAGATTTACAATCAAAAAATAAAGTGAAGTTCACTGTCTTATTTGATAATAGATGTTTCATTATAAGTGCAAATTATTAGTTTTTATGCCAGAACTATATGTTCCAAAAAAAATTTGTATGCAAAAACAACAAACTTAGCGATTTTAAGATTGAATAATTATCTTTTTTTGAATATGGGAAAGAAAAAAAGTTTTAGTTTTTGTATTTTGTGGTATTAGGAATGCATAAACTAAGATACTTCTTTTACCAAAAACAAAATTTCGTGAATAATTCTATTCTACACATAATACTTCTCTTGGTTTATTTCTGTGTCAAATATATTCAACTTAAAAAAATAATGTGACATAAAAAAACTGTGCTGAGATTTTTGGAAAATAGCACTGTTTAATTATTTATTTTGTTTAATTTTCATTAAAAACATTATCTCATTATATTAACTTGACTTATTTTATATAATCGTATTAAAAAATGGGTTTTTCAAAAGTTAATCAATTTTCTTCCGGCAGTCATAGATTTATACATTGCAAAATTTATAATATGACGATACATTATACAATATATCGTCCAGACACATGAAAAATATGCGCATGGAAAATAATGAACATGAAAAATAACACACATGAAAAATAACATAGATTTCAACGTATCTCAAAATTCAATATTCTAAAATTCAACTGTATTTTGAAACATTGCATTTAAATTTAATCAACCATTGTTTCGCTTACAGTTTAAAATATTTTATTAAGTTAAAACTTCTAAAAAAGTTTTAAAAAAATGCGTTTGTAATTTTTATGGATTTTTTTTTCTCCTTACAATAAATGAATTAAAACAAATCGAATTTGAAAGAATTTTAAAAAAATAAGCGAACGAGACTTACCGTCCAATTTAAGCCTCTTAATTCTGCCGCATTTTCTGAGATAAAATTCCCAAATAACATATTTTGTAGCGATGACATAGGACGACAAGGCCCACCAGATTTGTTTTAGGAAATGATTTACTTCCGTGAACATATTATGTAGCTTTAGGTATGAAAACTAGGATGATGTGAGGAGAGTTCACGGTCACTTATTTATCAGCATGCTAGAAAGAAGAAGAAAAAAGAAACAGGAACGGAACAGGTTTTTTTTTTCTTTTCTCTCCAGCTGTGTTAGTAGTTAGTAGTTGTTTATAAAAACAAATGCTACCAGAAATGTAATATAATGTAATTAATTTTTTTTTTTTTCGGTGGGGGAATTCTAAAAAGCGTACCTTATTTTTATCTCCTCCGAAGGCGCCAAATGTAATTATCTCAAAGGGAGGGGAGCAATTCAGAAAAAATATTCATTGGAATATTTCAAAAATCATGCATAACTATATATTTTTTTCCCTTTTGGATTTCTGGAAAACGTTTTTTAGAAATTCAAAAAGAAAGGGATAGGAAAATTCACCATGGAAATTTCCCCAGAACATCGTTAATAATTTCACTGAAGCTTGTAAACCAATGACGCTTGACAAAAAAATTGCATTTTTACATATTAAATTTTAAAACATAACAGAAACCTAATAAGAATCAAGATTTATATAAACTCTGCAAATTAAATAGGTCTGGGTACAAAAAAAAACTATAAGATTTAGTTTTTTTAATAATTTTTAACAATCTAATAATTTTTTTTTCTTGACTATATCTTCCAGAATAGAAAAAAAAAGTTTGTTTACATTTAAAAACAAATTGTACTCTCACAGTTTAAGAACTGAAGCAGATTTAATATGGTGTGGAACAAGCAATATTTTAAAATTACTTAACCTAAAAAATTAATAACATTTAGAAGCAAAATATTATTTTTATGGATTTACAGGGAATGCAAATGTTAATTCTGACATCCTCCCTCCTCCCCCACCACTTGAGGAATCCTATGATCTTCTATCTCTTGTGTTCAATTGATTTTTAGGAAAGTTAATTCACACACACAAAGTTAATAACATCACCACACAATTAAACTCTAAAAAATTATTGAGTGTCTAAAAATTTAGACTATTACACTTTTAATTACTTTTCCTATATTATGTGTGCACTGCCATGAACAAACTATGGTTTGTTATGTTAGTGAAGGCGCCTTGGAAATGCGCCTTCAACAACAAAACGTTGAAAAAGTACAATTTTTTTCCCCACGAAAAGCAAGAAAGGAAATTTAAGTGCAACCAGGAGCAGAAAGTACAATTTTTTCTTTTAAATGTCCTTACCTCATAAAACATTCGTAAATATCTTCGTTGTTGGACATAAAACATCTTCTAAAAAAAATTTGGGAATTTATGGCATAATATTTTGATTTAACGTAATAATTTGGAAAATAGGATATTTTCATTAAGATTAATCCACCTTGGTTTATCCCTATTATATAGAGGTCAATCATATAAGGTCATTTATGGTCAATAATCATTTATGGTCAATCATTAATAATCATTTATGTTGAATTGTTTGCCTCAAAATTGTCAAACACGTAGATTAAATGTAATTTATCGACTTATCATATTTTTTAAACAGTTTTATATCTGAAATTTAGATACTTCGTTATCCAATTAATTCATATTTGCGAAGTTTTACTGTTTGTCAAATTTGAATAAACTTTGTCAAATTGAATTTGTAGAGGTGATTCGATTTTATAGCTCTTTTTACCTACATTTTTCTTTTTATTACCTAAATTACTTTTCATTACAGTTTTAATTGTTTACAATACAAACTGTTTACTTTCTGTTAAATTGAAACAAAATTTATTTTTATTTCCTGTATTGTTTATACAGTGAGCCAAAAAAAAAAAAAGAAAGAAAGAAAGCCGGACAACACTGAAAAACTTAAGATCTAAGGATTGGATTTTCACGTTCCACGATTCTTTAAGGTATCTTTAAAACTAGAGGGAATGACCTCAAATACGAGAAAGTACGTTTTTGTGTCTGATTTCATAACTTAAAATATCGTCTACACTTATTAGTTAGCATATTTGAGGTCATCCCCCCAAGCATGAAGTCTTAGAACGTGAAAATCCGATCATTAGATCAATTTTTTTCTTCCGCTTACTGTACAATTTTGGTATAAAATAATAGGAATAAGCGTATATAAAATTCCATAAAGATACCGCTGTTATCCTGATAAATAAAACATGAATCAGAATCTGAATTAATATTCATTTCTGATTAATACCCTACAATAAATAAACAATATTTAATAATGCGTGCTTGATTGTTTGCCAAATTAAATTCCAAATTTTTGTTGTTGCACTTGACAGAATTTGTGATTAGCATCAGTGCCGTAAAGGTGGCGCATTGATGCTGCCGTAAAAGTAGCGCATTGATGCTGCTGCACAAGCTTAGATGCTATTACACACTTATGCTTAAATGTTCTTCAGATGCTGCTACACAGACTAAGGATAAAAATAAACTACTATAACGATTAAAAAAAAAGATGGTGATGAATTTTGTTTAACTAAATTTTATAATAGAGGTGAATGAGTTTTGTTTCTGGGAAAACCAAAAAATAATTAGATAGCGATTATCAGGGTTGGTGAGCGAGGGCGAACAGGGAACTCTGCTCTCAAGCGAGTTAAGAAATAGCGTGTAAGATACAGAATAAAAAACATAGATTTTTAAAAAATTAATTCGAATATAAAACCGTTCTTCCAGTGTATAATATATTTAATTTCGTTGTGACGCATGCCTGTTGCTCACAAACAAATTAATTTAGACATATACAAGTCAGTGAAACAGATAGATGATAAAAGAAAACAAATGCCACTGGATTATTTATTTTTTATTCATGTAAAAAAGGCAGACGATAATTTCATTTCATCCATGAAAAGTTAAATTACAAGTTATTTTCAAAATATGTTATAATTATTTTTGAAATATGTTATAAAGATATCGGATCGATTTTTTTTCCTTGTACATTTAGAAGATATTAAAATTTAGTATGTATTTATTATGTATTATAGAAAGTTGATGGTTCGACAATCAAAGATACTTATGCACTTATTTATTTTATTTATTCATTTTGTTTGGAAAAAAAAGAAAAAAGAACAGTTTGCAAACGATTATATAAAAATTCTCTTTTTTATTTTTCGAGTGGCAACCGATTTAGTTGTTATCATTATTTATAAAAATATTAATTTAAATGACATTTTTACGAATTTAAAATGAAGTTAGAAGTCAGTATATATTATTAAATCAACTTCTCAAATCAATCAATAGCAATAAATAATTTCCCTACTATATTAATTTAAGATCTAAGCTCATATTCTGTTTTTGTATATTTGTTATTCTAATGTTCTTAAAACAATAACGCATTACTAAAATCAACGCACGTTTTAAAATTGTCGTTGGAAATTGAATTGTTATGTATTTTTACTTAATACCCTTTTTTTTCTTTGCATTTAAATGCTTTTAGTCAATAAAGTGATTGGTCCCATGAGGCTGTTATTTACAAAATGATTCCCATGATAAAGTCTCTGCTCGTCGAATATTTGACACTTTAATTCTTTTCTAGTTCTCGTGTAATGTTTTAAATCATTTCCTTTTTCATCACTGAATATTTAATTTTTTCTTTATGATACGTAGTTCTTATTACACAATCATTATAAAAAGAAAAATTTGATTCTTTTTAACATTTTTCGCATTTTAATTATTCAAAACATTTTTATATATTGATTTTAATCTGCAAAGTAAATTCGTTTTTCAATAAAATATACCATTTTTTTAAAAAATTTTAAACTGAGTAAAAGTCAAATTTATCCCCATTAAATATAAAATGACGCATGCTATTTTTAGGATGTATTTAGAACAAGTGCATATTTCTCATTATGCTATTAAAAAATTTTATTATAAAATATTTATTTCAGAAAACTATCGCGTTTGATCAAAAGAATAATTCCATTACTCATCGCCAGCTTTTGGAAGGGAACAATACAAATCATGGTTCAAAAGAAAATTTTGAAGTTTTTTGTCGGAAACAATGGAGCTCAGTCGCAGCTAAATATACTTTTCTTACTTCTCAACAAATTCGGAAAAGAATTGCAGATATGTGGAAAAAGATGTCTCAAGATTCACAAGACTCTAAAAAGTGAGTTTGAATACTTTTTAAAAACAATAATTGTGAGAAGTATGCCACTCTACAATTAGTTTGCTATAAGATATAAATACGTTTTGTTTTATTGTCAGAGCCGTCACTAGGCTTTGAGGGGTCTTATAGTAACTACTATATTCTCTGTCTCGAAGGAAGAGGAGGTAGGAAAACGAATCAGTCAGAACAGCGGTTGCAAATGATGTTCCGCGAAGCTCTGGGGTTCCATGAAAGAGTAAAAGGGGTTCCGAGTGTTAGGATTTTTTTTAAACAGTTTCTTAACATTTTTTATTCTGTTATTACATTTAGATCCAGATCCGATCAATAATCCATTATTTATTACTTTGTTTGCCTTTATGAAATTATATAAAATAAAATGCCAAAATGAGAGAAATGAGTTTTATTTAAAAATACTATCTATAATTTCTCTAACAACAATTATGGAAAGGACATGCACTTTTTAAATCAAAATAAAATATCTGAATTCTCTAATAAAAATATGTTTCCCGAATTACCATTTTCAACTTTATATCAGTTATTTTTTTCATTCTATAACAATATAAAAACAAATTTTTAACTTAATTAAAGAACAAGGATTCTGCGACTTCAATTGTCAAACATATTGTTTAATACAAGATTATTAATGATAAAACGATGAAAATTTCTTATTCTTTTGAAATACAAAAACAGTCAAAAATCAAAAGGAAGTAGTCTTTTAATTTTTATTACGTATATAATTGTTCTTATTTATAAAGTCGGGTTTTGCGGGAGGAATGGTGATTATTTAGGGTTCCATGACCGAAAAAATTTGGAAACTGTTGATTTTGAACACAATAAAAATAAATTTATTTGATTTTTTTTTAAATTTATTTTTTAAAATGAAAATTTTTTAAAGAATTTTTTTATTATTTATTTATTTATTTTATCATTAATATATCAGGCGCAGGACTTTTAGAAATGAGGAATTTTGTGTTGACGGAAATTATTGAAGAAATTATCGAATAATATTTAAACATATCTTATTTTCTAATTCTATGATTTTCATCCAACATGAATAGTTTCTATAAATAAGTGTAGACCACTACTTTTAGATGTCAGATGTCATGCCTAAGTTATCACATTCTAAGTCGCGCTTCCAACCTTTACCTTAAGCAACTTTTAAAAGGCGTTAAACTTTACTGAGCTTATTTAACAGGTCTAGGCACCTGTTTACCAAATTTGATTAAAATTCAAAGTAATAAAAAAATGAGGATATAGTTAAATATAAGTTCCCCTTTAAACGAAATTATCCATATGAAAACTTGCTTTTGAGAATTGCTTGTTTATATTATTCTATTGAATTTTATACATATAACGAACAAACATTACTTAATACATTTCAACTATCAGGTGTGCAAAATCTAAAGCAAATCGAAAATTTTACGGAGAAAAAGAGGTGAAAAGTGTAAAGGATACAACTAAGACTCAATCTGGAAAAGGTAGAGTTCTGGTTCCTTTGAAAATAGATTTTTTTCGATCACCAAAAAAAGGAGTTTTAAAGAGGTATTTATTTTCATTTATTGTACTACTTAGCTTGTAAAATTAAAATATTCATGTAAGATGTTATTCTTAGAAATATTGTTTTCTATTTTAAAAAATAAGAATAATAATTAAAAATAATAATAATTAATAATAATCGAACCATTAAATAAATAATCCGAAGAAACTGAAGTGGTAAGATATTACTTGATTGAAAACTTCATTCGCTTCAGAAATATAACAATTGGAAATGACAGCCGATATGTTTCAGAAGCTCAAAATTTAAATTTTAGACTCAAGGAGTACGATAGATGAGTCCGTTATCAAGAAATTCAAAAAATCATCAATTGCTGAACATTCTTGGAATCTTGGCATAAATTCAATTTCGACACTGCCAAAATTATTTCCACAGCCATCACATCAGCTCATCTTGATACCATGGAATCTTATTTTATTCATATAAATGCTGATTCCTTTCTTAACGACATTAGCTCCTCACCAGGCCTCTATAGCGCGTGGAAATGCGTTTCACCCTGATTTGGGCCTCTCGGCCACTTTAGTTTTTTTAGTTCTGTTTTTTATCTTCGTCCCGCAGTGGACTAATCGTAAAGACATGGTTCTCAGTAGAACACCGGAGTCAAACATATTTGCTGCGGTGAGTAAGCTGGTAGGTGACCACTTTGATCATTAGCCTACGTAGGGACCGAGGATGCGAGGTATCGGTCCGCGTTAAACTGTTCTACACTAAAGTGCTCGACTTCGCGCAAGTAGTCAGGCTACCAATGTGGAGGAGCCATCCCCTCTGCAGAGGATCAAAATTTTGATGACATGTCTTCGGATCATCCTCGGGGATGTTTCCCAGACCGTCGCCAATAGCCCATTGTACAGCTCTAGTGAGACGTAAATAAGATACCTGCTTACCTACCGTTTTATCTTTTCACTCTCGGCTACTGTTTCTTTTCTAGTTTTGGTTTTCACCTTTATTTTTCCTTGGCAGCTTTAAGTTTTATATGTCAGATCACTTCTGTTTCTTCTCATTGCAAGTCTTGAAAATGGGCGTCTGTTTTTGAGCGCTTGAAACATGTCAACTGTAATTTCCAATTTGTATAGTTTGAAGCGAATGAAGCTTTTAATCAAGTAATTAATAGAACTAGCTGCACGAGAAATATGACATTAGAGATAAGTATCCAATGTATTTTTACCATAAAGTTTTATAGGGAGTACTGTACCGTAATGACCATCTTTAATACATACTTGAAGGAAAAAATATGTACACCTCTTGGTATTCGCAAATTAATAAATATGTAAGCGAGGAAAAAGCAAGAATCCTGTTGAAATTTAACGAGTCACTACTGAAGTAGGTAACGAATCACTGAAAACATCTAAGCCTATTTGATTGCTACGCGAGACACAGAAAAATTGTAAAACGATTACTAGAAACACAAGGCGGTAAGAATGGTTTAGATATTTTTTAATTTTACCATCATCATAAATGATTCAACGAAATTCGATATCGTCTTATCTTATTTTTGCTGACCAGCAGGCAAGGAAGTCTAAAATTATCAAGTTTATAATATTTGAATAATTTTGTATAATAAAAGTAATAAAAATTTTGTATAATAAAAAATAAAAGTTTTTCCAGAATAAGGCTTGATGGTGTGGGTTAGCTAGAAACAAGGATTACTCTTACTGAGAGTGGAAGGGGAAGAGTTCGAATTTGGCCAAATTAAAAAAAGTTCTCACAGTTTTCAAACTGTCTTAAGTCGGTATAAAATTACTAACATAATTCCTAATTTTAAAATTCAATAGTTTAGTTACTAACAAGGTTCTTTGAGAAAATGTTTGTCGTACGTAGTGAAAAATATTCTTTAAATTATTTTTTATACCAATTATACAACTCAAAGAAATTATTCTTTTTTACTTCAAAAAGTATCGAAATCTCGTACCTGAAAATATGATTGAACTCCTTTGTTGTTCAAACTGAATTGAGGCAAATTGGTTTTATGTTTATATGATATTAGTTCACCTTAAAATTTAATTCATACATGCTATTCGATTTTAAGGACTGAGATGTTTCAGTGACTGCGGCCAGGGCTGGACTGCGGCAGCCAGACCTCTTAAACTCTCGGCTACCCCGACCGAAATAGTATGCTGTTGTTGTTGTTGTTGTTGTTAATTTACGTCGCACTAGAGCTGCACAATGGGCTATTGGCGACGGTTTGGGAAACATCCCTGAGGATGATCCGAAGACATGCCATCACAATTTTGATCCTCTGTGGAGGGGATGGCACCCCCGCTTCGGTAGCCCGACGACCTGCGCGCGAAGTCGAGCACTTTACGGTAGCACAGTTTAACGAGGACCAATACCGCACACCCTCGGTCCCTACGCAGACTGATCCAAGTGATCACCCACCCGCACACTGAACGTAGCCAGTGATGCTTGACTTCGGTGATCTACTGGGAACCGTGTCTTAACGATCAGTCCACTGCGGGACCGAAATAGTATGCAACCGATAAAACATTAATTTACACATACCAATGCAGCATTGTGTGCTTTATAGAAAACGGCTTTTAAACCTTTAAGGAATAAAAGAAGAGATAACACAAATCAAAGCAGGAAAAAAGCGGGAGCTCCCTGGATGAGAAAGAATTGCGGTGTCATCCCCTATGCAGAGGTTTAAAATTGTGATAGCATGTCTTCAGATCATCATCAGGCTGTTTCCCAGGCAGTCGCTAATAGTCCATTGTGCAGCTCTAGTGCGACGTAAACTACAACTACATTTTCATCTTTTGTATTGTATAAATTGCTTATATGTTAGCAAAAAAAAAAGAGAAAAGAAAAAAATGTATTGTTGTTGTTGTTAATATTGTTGTTGTTGTTGTTGAAATACAAAATTTGAGAGAAATCGATCGATTAGTTCTTGAGAAATCAAAATTTAAACAAGTCGTAATTTTAAAATTCGATTTCTCAAAAACTATTTGACAAATTTGGCTTAAATTTTATATATTTTACCATATAAAATTACATTCTTCAAAATGATTTTTAAAAAAATTGTATTTCTACAATTCAAAAATTTTATTTTAAGATTTCTTTAAATAAAATAATAAATGCTTACTGTAAAATATTTTTTACGTGGAAATCTTTGGACAAACGAAATTTATTATTGTGTGTAAAGATTTTTCACTTCGCTTAAAAAAATCTTGACATATACGCAAAAAGTTACATTAACATTAAAGGGTCCCAAACTTTCGATCGCTCTACTGACCATACTATTGGGACCATATTTCCCAAATTGCAGCTTCTCTCTATATTTTAGAAGTCAAAAATCCATATCCGTCGAAAAAAAGGTATGTTTATTCAGAGAAATTGCATTTTTGTGTCTGATTTCGTAACTTAAAATTTTGTAGCATCACTAATTAATTAACTACTCTTCACTAATTAACTTGATGTCACCTTCTTGAATCATTAAGATTGAGTTCAAGAACGTGAAGATCCGATCATAAGTTTTCAGGATAGTCCAGGTAGTTTTTCGCACTGTACATATTCAACGCATTTTACTTTAAAATTCAGTTTTGTGTTCAAAAATAAATTATAGCATTTATAATTTACCCTTACATAGTAATGGATATTTAACTTACCCAAACGCACTGGAAAATATTAAATTAATGATATTAAAATAAAATAAAAAACACTTAGAAGAAAAACTGTTCACTATATATATTGTTAATAAAAACTTAAGTCTTCTTCCGAATTTCTTCACTAGTTCGATGGTAAATGTAAACTCGAATAAAGTATTATAATTAAAGTTTTTTCACTTTTAATTTCAAATTAAGTTTGTATTTTTATCTCGTTGTATTTTGAGATTTATTTTTTCAACTCGTTAAAAGTGAAGCGTTTGCGAGATCGATTACTCGCCAAATATAAACCCACGTGGTTAGGCAATTTTCTTTCTTTCTTTTTGTTAGTGTTATTTGTTTATTTATTATTTTTGTGGTTAACGTAAACAAGACAATTTGGGGTTTGTGTCAGAAGTTTAATCTAAATAACTACGGACAAAAGTAAGTTTTAAAAAACATTAATCTGATAATAACGTTCGTTGAAAGTAGTATCATTATCTGTGTAAACTATTATAGAACTTTACTGATTCACATGTTTGGGTATGACTTCAGTAACAATTTTAGAAATATAGTAATAGATTTTTTCTTTAAATTACAAAATGGCCATGTGTTAAAAAGTTTTGTGTAAGTATGAAATTTCTGTTCAAACACGAATAACTTCAATCCAAATATTAAAGATATTCAGACTTTACTCAACGGTTATTCGAATTATAAAAATTTTAATCCGAATTTCTATATTTAAAAAAAAAAAGCATTTTCATTGAAAGTTTCTCTATTTCTTCCAGCGTGTATAGATTCATAATAATAGTACAAATATATTTTTGTGTTTAATATGGTTTCATGAGTTTTGTCCAAAAGTAACCCAAAAATTGGGAAATTTCTTTAANCGAATATTTCAAGTCGTTAGTAGATGGAAAATTAACATTGACCACGAAGAATTTGACTAAAATAATATACATTGCAGTAAGAGAAAAGTCAAATAATGAGTGTCGGTATACTATAAGAAGTGAGCGTCGATTGTGCAACCTACTAAAAGAACGCACTTGTTCAGTGCGCAAAATAAAATTTAAAAAAAACGGACCACCCTGAATAACTTTTGATCTAAAGATCGGATCGTCACTTTTTACGACTCAATCTTACTGGTTCGTGGGAGTTACCTCAAATATAAATATGCTAATTAGTTCAGATACAAAAACGTAATTTCTCTGAATAAACATACCTTTTTTTTCTCGAGGGATTCGGATTTCTTACCCCCGAAATATAGAGGGGAGCCATAATCTGAGAAATATGATTCCAATAATTTGATCAGGAAAGTGGTTCAAAGTTTGAATCCTTTGATGAATGATGAGCGAATGAAAGATGATGAGCGAATTGAAAAAAATTTCCCCACACTTATAAAATTCATTTAGCCAAAGATAGTTCCACGCAAAAAATAGTTTTTAGCAAATATTTATGACTATTTTACTTTTATAATTGTCAAAAACATTTTTGAATTGTAAGGTATACAATTTTTTACGTCATTTCATTTTTAATTTTTTACGATAATTTCATTTTTCATTTTTTTCGTCATTTTTTACGATAAATATATCCGTCATTACGTCATTTCAAATATACATATAATTTTACATAGCAAAATACAAAATTTGAGAGAAATCGATCGATTCGCTTGAGAAATCAAAATTTAAACAAGCCGTAATTTTAAAATTCGATTTCTCAAGAACTATTTGACAAATTTGGCTTAAATTTTATATATTTTACCATGTAAAATTACATTCTTTAAAATGATTTTTAAAAAAAAATCATTTCTACAATTCAAAAATTTTATTTTAAGATTTTTTTAAATAAAATAATAAAAAAAATGCTTACTGTAAAATATTTTTTACGTGGAAATCTTTGCATAATTTTATAATTGTGTGTAAAGATTTTTCACTTCGCTTTAAAAGTTCTTGAGATATACGTAAAAAGTTAAATTTGCATTAAGGGGTCCCAAACTTTCGATCGCTCTCCTGACCATACTATTTTGACCATATTTCCCAAATTGCAGCTTCTCTCTATAATTTAGAAGTCAAAAATCCAGATCCGTCGAAAAAAAGGTATGTGGAGAGAAATGGTATTTTTGTGTCTGATTTCGTAACTTAAAATTTTGTACCATCACAAATTAATTAGCTAGTCTTCACTAATTAATTTGATGTCACCTTTTGAACCATTAAGATTGAGTTCAAGAACGTGAAGATCCGATCATAAATTATTCAGGGTAGTCCAGGTAGTTTTTCGCACTGTACGTATTCAACGCATTTTACTTTAAAATTCAGTTTTGTTTTCGAAAATAAATTTTAATATATTTCTAATTTACCCTTACATAGCAATAAATTTAATACATTTATAATTTACCCTTACATAGCACTGAAGATTTATCTCACCCAAACGCACTGGAAAATATTAAATTAATGATATTAAAATTAAAAAAAACACTTAGAAGAAAAACTGTTCACAATATATATTGTTAATAAAAACTTAAGGCTTCTTCTGAATTTCTTTACTAGTTTGATGATAAATGTAAACTCGAATAAAATATTATAATTAAAGTTTTTTCACTTTTAATTTCAAATTAAGTTTGTATTTTTATCTCGTAGTATTTTGAGATTTCCTTTTTAAACTCATTAAAAACGAAGCGTTTGCGTGATCATTACTCGCCAAATATAAACCCACGTGGTGAGGCAATTTTCTTTCTTTCTCCTTGTTAGTATTATTTGTTTATTTATTATTTTTTGTGGTTAACGTAAACAAGACAATTTGGGGTTTGTGTCAGAAGTTTAATCTAAATAACTACGGACAAAAGTAAGTTTTAAAAAACATTAATCTGATAATAACGTTCGTTGAAAGTAGTATCATTATCTGTGTAAACTATTATAGAACTTTACAGATTCATATGTTTGGGTATGACTTCAGTAACAATTTTAGAAATATAGTAATAGATTTTTTTCTTTAAATTACAAAATGGCCATACGTTAAAAAGTTTTGCGTAAGTATGAAATTTCTGTTCAAACACGAATAACTTCAATCCAATTATTAAAGATATTCAGACTTTACTCAACGATTATTCGAATTATAAAAATTTTAATCCGAATTTCTATATATATATAAAAAATTTAAAAAACGCATTTTTATTGAAAGTTTCTTTTTCTCTATTTCTTCCAGTGTGTACAGATTCATAATAATAGTTCAAATATATTTTTGTGTTTAATATGGTTTCATGAGTTTTATCAAAAAGGTAACCTAAAAATTGAGAAATTTCTTTAAGAATTTCTGTTTTTCATTTGTATTATTTTTAAACTTTTCGAGTTTTTGCTCTATAGATTAATTTTTTTATATTATAATTATATCTAGAACAATTGTTTTTAAATACTTTATAATGCTTTATTTTTCGAAATTGTCAAATAAATACGTAGTTAAATCTAAACGCTAAAAATTAGGTGAAGCTGCTTTATTGGAGTTAAAAACGGAGAACTGGTGAATGTTAAAACAGTAATCTAGTATTTTAAAGACTGATCATATTTGTAATTTTTTTCCATGTAAATTTGGATGATGTATAGGAGAAAAATGCTATTTCAAGTTTATGCATTTTTTATTAAAAAAATATATACTATATACAAATATATATATAAACATATATATTACAAATTCATATATATATACACATTTATAGATTATTTTTATTTACAATAAATATGTGAATTTTCAGTTTGTCATTTTTCCTGACACATGAATGAAAAGCCTTATTAAAACTATGTAAATTATTTTCATTTCGATATTCGTAGTTTCCGTTAAATACCATTAAGACTGGATGCGTTGCAAAGTGCACTGCTTAAGTTAATAAAATAAAATCTACGAAATTTAAAAGCTATATTTCCCAAGCGAATCCAAAGAGATAAATTAATTATATTTTTGTAACATCTAACGAAAAACGTTAGATATTTCTTCTTCATAAGTTCTGTGCAGGAAATTGGTGATTGAAAACCTTGATTGATAATAAAAAGGAGAGCTATCAACATTTCATTTAGGGAACAATTGTATAATTTGCAATACAATTTCGATATAGCACAAGTTGAAATGTGAGAACTCGAAAGAGGTCGAAATTTCGATAACCGATAAGGCATGAGGGGAAAGGTAGTATTGGGTGGTGTTAGAGGTCTATTATGAAAGTGGGCCGTGTCCATATCGCCGACAATCACTTCACCGACAGCTCATTTCGCTGACCCATCATTTATCCGACACCATCATTCCACCAATAAAATCAATATAATTTTGTCGAATTATTTTTTTTACAATTTTCTTAATTAGTTTAATTTTTACAAGTATCACCCTTGAACCGAATTGCCAGAACTATTCTTTTCAATAAAAACATTTTCCAAGAGGAACTATAATTAATCCTTTTTTAAAATAATTTTTAGATAAGGATATTTTAAAAATCAAAAATTGAAACATATTTTATTACAAACTTAGAACATCATAAATGTGCTTATACTTAATCTCAGGAATAACTGAAGTATCGAAAAAGTAAATTTTTTTAATAACATATCGCAATATCAAATCACTTTAAGTGTCAAATAATTTCAAAAAGATTCTCAGTCCGGCTAAATAAGCTACTAGCGAAGAGATCATGTAAGCGAAATGAGCTGTAGGCGAAATGCGCTGTCGGCGAAGTTATTGCGTCAGTGATATAAGCTGTCGGTGAAGTTATTGTGTCGGCGATATGATCTGTCCGAGAATTGATTGTCGGCGATGTGAACCAAATCCATAAAAGTAATACTGTTTATGCTTTTTTCGTTGGAGGTGTATCAATAGTGGAATTATTTTCTCATTTTTAGCCCCGTTGAAAAACGAAGTATTTAGAATTTTTATTTCATTTTATTAGTTCTAGTTTTGTATCTGTTTATTTGTTTATGCTGGAAAGTGGTCGAAATTCGATGGAGAATGGACCTCTAGCAATGAATTCTGTTAGTAGCATTAAGGAAACGATTAAACTTGTACTGCAATCTATCACATGATTGCAGTAAAATATGAGCATTCTGGTTAGTTGGAAAGTGTTTAGACTCCTGACTAACAATATATTGTGCTTGTAGTAGTCATGAAACCATAGAAATTTATTTTATCGTCGGTTTACAAGCCTTCAGATAAGTATTCTAATTTTTGATTGCCGATAAATTCTGTTTTGTATCTAATAAAAATTATTGCAAATACTGCTGGTAACGACCCAAGAACGATCGAGTTTTGAATTATTACTGGACACGAAGCTTCAGCTGAAATTTGAGGTCTCTAGCCAGTCTGAAAGTGGTTATTATTTCGATTACAAGTTTCCACAATCACAGACACAAAAACAAGTTGGTAAAACTATGGATAATTATTCAAACCGGTACGTAGGTGGATGAAATATAAAGAGATTTTTTTAATGGTAGCAGACGATTTTTTATTTTATTGTTTTGGCAACAATAGAATATTATCTATAATAATTGTTTCGCAGTGTTTAGTTCTAAGTTCAAGTTATAAGTTTATTTCAAGTTCTTTTTTTAGTAACTTGAATCATGAGTGAGAGTAACGTTTTCAATGCAGTTGCATAATAATACATTTTTAAAACGAGAAAATGTTAAAATTATTAAAATTTTGTACAGATTACAGACACAGTTCGGCCCTGTCGAGGTCTTAAGCAAGTTATTTAAACATGGCAGTGAAGAATTAGTAAAATTGTTTCATGCTCTTCGACCAATAATAAAACGTACGACAGCGAAAATTGACAAAATTCGTGACCTTACTGATAATGACTGACAAAGTAAAGTTCGAGAAATTAATGCTATAACAGAGATGAGCAATAATTGAAGATTACAAAGCATGATTCATGACGATATAAAATATCGAAAAATCTCAGTGAGGTGGATATCTAGAATTTTGAACACAAATCAAAAACAGACAAGAAAAGACAATTGTCAAAGATTATACATATATAGGCTAATCTTGGCCCTATATAATATAGGACCAATATTAAAAACTCTAGACATCCCAATATTGGTCCCTCCGTGCATATTTATATAGGACCCACATTGATCCAATATTGAGGTCAACTGGGGCCACGGTAAAATTGTTGCTAGGGCTGCCACCGTGATTCAAAAAAATTATAAAACGTTCGAAAAAGTGTGTAGAAGTTAAGGAAACTACGTAGAAAAATAACATTTTTGAAAGCAGTATTTTAATGTTTTGTTACTAAAAAAGTTCATTAATATTTGATCCACCCTTGTACCACGTCTAAGGTGTTTATAGAACAGGGGTTTCCAACTTACATGAGGCCGGGGGCCACAATTAAAAACACAAAACAAATGGCGGGCTGCAACTTTATCAAAATTTATGTAGGACTCTTTTATGTTTGAAGCAACATTAAATATTACTGTCAGATTTTTACCAAGTTGTACAAAAGTATTGAATTACAAATTAAAATAAGAAGTAGATTTTTAAAAATATTTAATTGCATATTAAAAAATTCGAGCTACAATAACTTTAATGTGCACCCATGTATTAAACAATTAATGTGCAACAGATATCTAATTGTCAAGATGTAAGACTTTAAAAAGGTTGGTATTAAAACTTACATAGTAGCATACAAAATGTTCAATGACAAAATTGAGGTTTATCTGCTGCAACCACCAGAGAATATATACTATTTACATTTTAAATTTAAAATTTACAAATGTGTGTGTAAATATTTTCGTCCAAAATGAGTGGTTTCAAAAAGTTAAATCGGAGAATTTTTTCGAGAAAATTTCTGATACACGCATGCTAAATTATCTTCACAAAATAAAAAAGAAATAAAAAGAAGCAACATACACGATTATTTTTGTATTTGAATAAATATTTTCTTGGATGCAAAATCTGAGAAATAATTTTTTTTGCACCGTTGGTAATTTCACAGAAACGAAGAAATGAGGCTTTTTGTGAACAAAAAAAAAGTATTTTAAATCCATCAGGATTTTTTAAGAAAACTGTCCGCAAAAAATAGCTACTAATATATTTTAGTTTTCGGGCCACAAAAAAAAGTCTTCGCGGGCCACCAGTTGGTAANGGCCCCCGGGCCGCCAGTTGGAAACCACTGATATAGAACAATCAAAACTAAAAATAATGGATCCAATATTCTGCAAAAGAAATAAAGTTAAATTATCAGGAAAAAACCAGAACATTTGGATTTTTTTTCCTAAATTTGAAATTTTAATTCTCGTGCGACAGCAGTAATGCGGATCACTGCTATGCGTAATGCGGAGTAATGTAGTGATTTCGTTCTTAGACAAACATACCTTACTTATAACAAACATTAGATTTATACCTTAAACAAACATGTAAGCTTTAACAAAAGGAGAAAAAAAAGCAGCTGTTAATATTTTTATTTTTGGAGTGGGCCTATTAATTGACAAAACATTTTTATTTATATAAATTTTGTTATTTCCTTGATGACATCCATCGAGGTGAATGCAGTTTATAGTTTGAAATCAATTGTTAAACTTGATTTTTATTTCAAAATTTCAGATCTACGCACAGAAAAGAATCGACAGAAAACGATCGGCGAGTTAGTTTCAACAACGAAACAGAAGTTCATTATCGTACTGCAAGTGAAGCTAGCAGCACAAGCACATTACATAGTAAAATTAAAATAACATGTAAATCCACAAAGACATTAAAAACAGGATTCAAGTCCACTGAAAATAATCGCTCATACGGTCACTCCACTTTTGAATATGGCAGCCAAAGCAAAAAATTGGAATTACAAAACAAATTCAATATGCTTTTGAATGGTAATTGTTCTTGGAGTTATAAGTCTCTGAAAGTGATTAACAACCATGAAACAAATGGTGAACCAAACAAATCCCTCATTAAAAACGTTCAAGTAACACAACAAAATAAAACTAACGATTCTAGCAATAGTACTTCTGATAACAGAGATGCTACTGATAACAAAGATGCTAATGCAGAAAAATACAGACCTGGATATGGTAGTACGAAAAGAAAGTTTTTTGATCTAGATGATAATTTACCAGAAGTAAAACACTTTGCAGCAGAAAACACTTATGATTTTGATGAATTTGACAAAACTAAAACTATAAAAAAACCTAGAAAAAGAGCCATTAAGAAAAAGGAGAAAAATGGGGATGCACACCAGACCAAACCAAAAAAAGTTAGGCCTTCACGTACTAAGAAAAAAGTGGATTATCTCGAATGGAATTCACATTCTGAATTAAGTGCGAGCGAAGATGACTACAGAATAAAGTCCAAACCAAAAGAACAAGTTAATCCGTCATATTTGGAAACAGAAAACATGCATAGTAAATTTCGGTTCGAACAAGAAGTAGGTGCAATTGAAAATAAACAAATAAAACTGCAGCCTGGTGATGAAGTAAGTCCAATATCTTTGTTGAGTGGAACATATAATGCTGATGAGGAATCAGAGTGTAGTGATGATGAATTCGATTTCCAAACAAGATTCTCTAATAAAAGTGCTAATGTACCAATTGAAAATGAACAAATAAAACTACAGCCTGGTGATAAAGTAAGTCCAACATCTTTGTTGAGTGGATCAAACAATGTTGATGAGAAATCAGAGTGTAGTGATAATGAATTTGTTTTCCAAACAAGATTCTCCAATAAAAATACTAATAAGCTAATTAAAAATGAACAAATAAAACTACAGCCTGGTGATAAAGTAAGTCCAGTATCTTTGTTGAGTGGAGCAAACAATGCTGATGAGGAATCAGAGTGCAGTGATGATGGATTTGTTTTTCAAACGAGATTCTCTGATAAAAATGCCAATGTGGTTGATATCACTAATAGTATTGAAAGCAACTCCATAGAAGCTTCTGAAACAAAAAATGCACCTTTGATTTCGAAGGCAGTAAATAAAAAAGAAGCATCAAAAGAAATGACTGTACTTCGATTCCCAAATGAAATTTCATCTGTAGATTGCAGTCCTCAGGATATCCACATAAATAAATTACAAGAGTCAAATTGTAGTTCAGAAGGTATAAACTCTTCCTTAAGTCCTCCAGAGCTAATAACAGATCAGTTAGACTTAAATATGAAGACAAGAGAAGTTGAAAATGAACTACACAATAATGAGCAATTTATAAGTTTACAAGATCAACTAGATGAGAAATGCAACAAAATTGATCAAGAGATAAGAGAGATGTATGATAAGTTAGAACAAGACATATTTCAAGGTAATAAAACTAAATCAATTAGTTCCGCAGATAACTCTAAACTGGAGAAAACTGATAGTAATTTTAAGCTTAAAAGACCCAAAATGGATGCAAATTGTGAGAAATATAAACTTGCTAAGGAAAAGGATTATGTAAAAGCTAATGCTTCGAAATTGATCGACACAAAATCAGAAAAATTGAATTTGTTTAAATTAAATAAGAAAGAGAACACGAAATATGATAAACAATCTAATGATAACAAATCTATCAACCTGTTAAACTGGAACGAAACTCAATATTCGATTAAAAAAACTGATAAGAATCCTTTTGACCCTATTGAGTCAACTCCCAACATAAACACGCATGAAAATTTAATTAAAACCAAAAGACATTCGAAGATATTTACTCAAAGCAATAATGATGAATTCACATCGGATGAAGATTATCAGTTGATTGAAAATGAAATAAATACCTCAATACCATCATCCAATTCATCTGAAATATGCAGTCCTGAATTATGTCCAAACAATACTTTAACTAAATGGAGTAGTAATTTAGGCAATATTTCAAAAAGGTTGAAAGAAAATCTTTCAAATTCAGAGAACCAAAGAAATATTCGGAATAATTCGATGGAAGTTCAAAATAATAACAACCAATATGGAAAAAATAATAGCGAGATCAAAAGTGACAAAATTAGTTTAAAACTGGAAAACAAATTCAGTGCAGAAAATAATCTAAAAGGGATAAACACTAAAAGTATTAAACACAATGCATCAACAAAAACATTAAACAATGGGGAGACATCTGCAGTGTTTCAAAAAGTTTTATTTTCAAAAGTCAAAAGCAAAGAAAATGAAAATAAGCAGCAAAATTACAAATCAGTTACAGCTAAAGAAGATAAAGTATCAAAACCAAAGACTTGGGAAGATCTTGAATCTAAATTGCTAATGGAACTCGACAGCAACTCTGATCATGAGGTGTATCCTCAAAAAGATAATTCCTTTACTACTCCACAAAGAAATAGTAATGTGGCGGAACAGAAAAGATACAGTGATTTTGAGGAAGAAAAAAAGGAATTAAAAATTAGAAACCTTGAAATTTCCCAATACAAAAAGTCAAAAAGGGCCATTACATCAAATAAAAACCAGCTTCACACGAAGGAACACGTCTCAAATCAGGTTTCAGTATTAGAGTCTCCAAGCGTTAGCATACTAAACAAAACAATAGAAGCCATGAACAGAAGTACAGCAGCATATTTTTCTAAAAATGAAGTAAGTACATTTTTAGAACTTATTTAATAAAAACAGAAAAGGGAGGGGTTGATTCAGAATTTTACCATTTAAGATTTATTAGAATGCCAGAAAGAACTTAAATCATAATCAATTAATCTAAAAAATTAAGCTTTAATCTCTGAAGATGTATACGTATATGGGGGCCCTAACCCAACTCTGTAGATTATGATTTTACTCAGTTTTTACACATTATTTACTCAAGAATCAAATGCACATGGTCTGACACAACAAATGGAACCAAAGCATTGATTTAACCCTTTGACAGAATTTTTACTAAACATATTTTTCTATCATTTTGTAATCTTCCAAACAAAAATTTTTCAAATTTGCACTGATTTGTAATTATTTAAATCTAAGAGAAATAGTTACTCATCATTGAAATTTCTTTATTTTTGCAAAATCAATTATTGAATAAAAATAAACATTTTAAAAATGTTTGAGTATGAATAAAGATTTTTTTTAAAAACCATTTTGTGTGAATTTTATATTTCAGTACAAATATAATTCTGATAATTTAAGATTTTTTCAGTAACCCTTAGATTGTTTTCTATAACTAAATACAAAAATATACAGTACCCTTCCAAATTATTAGGGACACTTAAAATTTCTAAAAAATTTTCATTTCTCAAAGTATCATAACTTTTTCAAAAATGAATAAAATTTTCATAAAAATTTCAGGATATCATGTTCGGGTCTTTTACTTTCACCTAAAAATTACTAATTTAATTTATCTCAATTTTTTGCAAAAATTTTCACATTTGAGCAAAGCAATTTTTTTTTAAAAAAAATGTCAAGTTTGACAAGTTGCTACTTTGTAACAAAATTTTTTATATAAAAATTATTATTTATGCATTAAAGTACAANTTTGCAAAAATTTTCACATTTGAACAAAGCAATTTTTTTTTTAAAAAAATGTCAAGTTTGACAAGTTGCTACTTTGTAACAAAATTTTTTATATAAAAATTATTATTTATGCATTAAAGTACAAGTCATTAACTTTAAAACACGCTAAAGTAAATGACTTTACGTTTTTTTTTTGTGACCGAGATAATGAGATTTTGAAAAATTTTTGTCATTTATAGTGAAAACGAAATTATTGTGAATTCGAAAGTTATTTAGTATTTATTCTTCAGCTTAAAGAGATCAATATATTGACTATTTTCTGTTGAAAATTTGTTAGCTATTAATTATTTATTTGTTACGTAAGGTTCGCACAATAATTTCGTTTTCACTATAAATGACAAAAAATTTTCAAAATCTCATATCTCGGTCCAAAAAAAAAAGTAGTCATTTACTTTAGCCCGTTTTAAAGCTAATGACTTGTACTTTAATGTGTAAATAATAATTTTTATGCGAAAAATTTTGTTACAAAGTAGCAACTTGTCATATTTGACATTTTTGTAAAAAAAAAATTGCTTTGTTCAAATGTGCAATTTTTTGCAAAAAATTGAGAAAAATTAAATTAGTAATTTTTAGGTGAAAGTAGATGACCTGAACATGATATCCTGAAATTTTTATGAAAATTGATTCATTTTTAAAAAAGTTATGACGCTTTGAAGAATGACAATTTCTTAGAAATTTTAAGTGCCCCTAATAATTTGGAAGGGTACTGTATATTTGTAATTACGCACGTTAAGTGGGACACCAGTGTCCCACCTGCGTCAAAGGGCTAATAAAATAGAAAATGGAAGGGTTTATCTAGAATTTTGGAAATATTCCTGTTGAAGGATTATTAAAATACTACGATAGAACTGACATCAAAGTTAGTTTTAAAAAATTAGACTTTAAAATTTGAAAATATTTATACATAGGGTGGCCCTAACTAAACGAGGCAGTTTTTTATTTCAATGAGTTTTTACATATTACTTATTCAAGAATCCAATGCACATGGTCTGACACAAAAAATAGAACCAAAAAATTGAATTAAGGAAAAATTAGATTGAAGTAATTTTTCTTTTGTAATCTTCATAAAAATTATTTTTTTAAACAACACGGTTACTATACGATGGCCCATATGTTTAAAGCATATGTAGCATTAATGCAGCACTCGGCTCAAGGCTCCAACTCCACTTTAACAGGTCCTGACTTTAGTGGCCAAGTATAGAATTAAATTTGGAATGTGATAGCAATAAAAAATTTTTTTTTTAATTATAATATCTTTTAACTTAAAAGATATTTATTTGTTTGTCTTTTCCAATTATTTGCATTTGCTTACACCAGGGGGCAAAAATCCCATCAGTTGACAAGTTGATATTGGTTGTTGTTTATAAATCCACTAGCCAATATTAGCAAGCCTGCTTGGTGAAACCAATCGAATTTAATGTAGAGGGTGCATTTCTTGTTTTTCAACTCCATCTATGGCCAAGAATGACTTCAGCCACACACATTCCATTTATAGGGACGTACCCATTCATACATCCACAGATCGTAATTTTGAGTTGAAGAAGAGAACGATCCATCTCCAATTCAGTAACCCCAGAAGTATTGATTTGTTATGGGAACACGGAGGACTTTGAGACCCGACAGATTTAAAGTGCACCAGTCACCATTTACTTACACGAGTGTTCAACCAACGGGTATTTTGAACATGGGCCCAACGACCAACCAACCAACCAGGCTATCCCATTCAGTTAATAATGGTCTTTATTGAAACAGGAAGTAAATTTTCCCATTTGCAGGAATAGATCTACTTAATGAAACAAAACTATTGAAGGAAAGTACTAATATTTAAAAATAAATCAGTATTACAATAAAAATATATATTCACATCCTTATCTTTAATCAATACACGTTTTCTCTGTTCCTGGAAGTTTACTCCCCATCTCACCTATCATAAAATTGAATAGCCCGTTTCCATAGTAATTGACAGCAACATGTCTGATGGCAGGGAAAGGTTGCATGACAATAAGTCAGTAGAGTACTTCTAGTTTATTGAATGCTCAATTTATTTTATAGCCTTGATTTATCCCTGTATCAAAGACGGATTGGAGAATGCAACTGATTTCATCATCATGTGAGTCTCATACTTTATTTGCACTGACCAGTTGGTTTCCCTTCAAAGTAGTACTTACTTGTGAATGACATTTGAGTCTGGATGTCATGCTTAAGTCCACTCAACTGTGCAGTGCAAACGAGGTATGAATGCAAAAGGGCAACTCAACTTTAAAGCTTTTACAAGTAAATTTTTTAGAGTTTGTCACTAAACAATAGTTTTTCAGTGATAGAAGAATCTAGGAATTAGCTGTACTGTTCAATGGCATAAATAGCTCAATAACATCAAAATGAAACAATACAGCTGTCCTCTTTAGCATTTATTTCTTAGCCTGTTTTGAATCTCTACAAATGAGATGATTTTTTTTATTTCATCAAGTGATTCATTTATATCATTTTAAAAGAACATTTTTTTTCATTTACTAATTATTCATAACAAATTATTCATTCTTGCATTAAGATTTATAATTATACATATTAATATGAAATTGAATGTATGCTATCAGGGTTTTAGGATAAAGAGCTATTTGCAAGTTTAAAAATATTTGATTACATTTTTGTTACCCTCCGAATTCAATAATAATAATATCACTTGATTTAACATTGTCCTCTTTTTTTTCAACTGTTGTATAGATATTTGTAAAAAAAAAATTTTAAATATTGAAACTGAAAAAAAGAAAGTGAGACTTGGAAAACTTTAATCAAATAACAAACTACTTTAAAATAACTAAAACTTTTCAAAAATTATTCAAAATTCTTCTAAATTGCATATGCAATATAAATCTGACGATCCAATAACAGCAACTGGTTTGATAATTCTTACTTTTAACATTTTAGAATGGTTCTTTTTGCAACTGGTCAGAAACTAGTGATGTTGATATACAAGATACAGAATACAGTTATTCAATACTTTCAACAACTATTCATACTTCTGGCAAAAAGCTTAATTTAACAAAGAAAAGAAGTAGATATATAAAAAAGACAAATGATGACATCAAGAGAAATAATTTAAAGTCAATTGAAGAAAACACTCCACTGAATAAAAAAATTTTCAGCAGGACAACAAAACAAGTTATAACATCCAACTGTAAAGCAACAAAGAATTTAAATTCAACTTCAGAAACATCAGTTCGAGAGAAAAAAGCTTCCAAGAAAGTGGACATTGCAAAAAAAGCAACTAAAAATAGAAACAAAATTGAAAGTTTTTCATTGATCTTGAGAAATACTCGCAGAGTACAAGATGATTTAGAAGAGAATATATCAATTTCAGATAATCAAGATGACTCCAGAGAAGATATAAGTAAAATGGAACAAGACAATTCGGATTCAAAATATTACCCTAAACAACAATACAGCTCAAGAAAACGCAAGAACGTCTCAGATTCAAATAAAAAACATACGAGCAACAAAAAACAAAATGTATCTGTTTTGAAAGAAAAACAATCAACATTTTTTTATAATTCAGCAAATGAAGACGAGGCTTTATTCAGCAAAGACTTTTTTGCAAATGGTTCTCAATCAGAGAGGAACAGTACAAATCAGTTAAAAAATAATGAAACAATAAAGCAACTCAGCCCAAAAGAAGAATACATAAAATATTTAAAACATCTTTTTCAAAATGATACTGTTCGAAAAACAAATACTACTGGAGAAATTTGTAATATTGACCAAGACATGTGTCAGATCAAATCAGATGATGGAAAATTCTTGATGAAAGAAGACGATTTATTTTCCATCTCTTCAGATGATTTTGAAAAAGACGAAACTGTTTGCTGTTTTGAAGTAAGTTTGTTCATTTCATTTAATCCTTTGCTTTCAAATAATCGTTTCTTAAACCTTAACAAGTTGTAAATTCAAAATTATGAGATTCTCGGAAGTGAAAGTTTTCGTTCAGTTGGGAGGTTTACCACATTCACAAATATACACTATAATCTTGTAAAAGCAAAGTAAAAACATGTTCTACGATCTTGTACATAAGTGTAGTGGAGCTGGAAGATTGTTATTAAGTGATGCGAAAAATAGTTAAAAAAAACTTGAATAAACATATTAGTAATCTTTATTTTTTAGGCTAACTATATTTTTTTATTAAAAACATTTTAGTATTATCAGCACCCAATACTAACAAATTTAAAGCTAATTTTGTAAATGTATTGAGTTTGAAAGCAATTGTGCTAGATTAAGACAATTTTTTCACCCGTAGGGCTTGATATTTCTATTTTTAAAGAGAAGTTATGATATTTTAATCCTTTATAGCTGTTTTTAGAAATAGAAATCCACAAAGTGAAAAAAATTTTATTAATAAATAATACTTAAATATATATGGACACAACACCAACCAACCAACTTAAATATATAACTTCCTTTATAAATTCATTTTAAGTAAGAATAAGTAAAAATAAATAAGCAAAGTTAAAATATTAAGAATTGATCTTCAGTAAATAGTGAGAAAAATTATAGAGGTAACAATAAATAAAAATGAGGAAACTTACTAAAAAAATACTTCAATAACTTCAGATGATTTGATCAAACATTATCTCTCACAATTTTAGATTTTAACTCCCCCCAAGCAGGGTTCGTTGATTTAAATCATGATTTAAATCATGATTTAAATCAAATGATTTTTTTAAAAAAATCATTGATTTAAATCAACTATTTTTTTTTATCTATATATATTGATTTTAAAAGTTAAAAAACAGTGTTTTAAATTTTAGATACTTTTATTATTTTCTTTTCTTAGTATTAAAATTTAATTTAAATAAATTGCTGCATTAATTAATTTTAGTTAACAAAATTACTTTCTTGGTGTGTGTTAAATTCCAACACATTTGAAATTACATTTTTAAAAATCTTTTGATTCTTGAGATTGAAAGTACAGATTTACATGAATTTTTTCAAAAAATAATACAAATAATGTTAATTATAATTCTACCTTTTGAATGAAAAAGCGTGAATTAAAATCTACATCATATTTTATTGGTGGAAAATGTATATTTCTGAAGCTTGAGGTTATATTAAAAAGAAATTACCCTAATATGCCAAAAACAGAAAAAGAAAAAAAAAGGGCTGATGAATTCAGATTTTTTTTTTCCTAATATAGTGTCATTCTTCCCTTTCAAACTCTTTCGAAGTCTATTTGATGCAGTAGGGTTATTAACTGGTATTTTTTTCTCATAATATGTTTACAGTATCTTTGACATTATCTGATTTTCTATAAAGAAATTTTGTGAAAAAAAATTCCAATGAATACATAGATTTTCTAATTTTTTTTTAGCTTAACTTATCTATTTTGATATAGAATTAAAAATGAATATTTTAATATAAAAATATATAGATTAAATATTTATTTATTTTTTGATGAATGACTACATTTATAAACACAGTCTGCTACATTTATTTTGTCATTTTAAAAATCAAGAGAAAAAAAAAGAAATCACAATTTTAAATTAAAGTTATGGTTTGCTAACTGAAACTTTGTTTTAATAGTTAAAGCACAGGGGTCTGTCCAAGCCGGTACCTTTACAAATTCAACTTTAGGAAAAATGATAGAATAATCACACAAAATACTTTTTCTTAAAATTTTATTTTTGTGTCTCGTAAGAAACAATAAATCCATACTTTTACTATATTTGTGTTGATTTTTTAATATAATTTTTAATTTTCACAAAATAGGTACCTCTCAGAAAAACCCAAACAGACCCCTGAAGTATTCTTTAAATTCTCTATTTCATCTAGTCTTTAAATTTTAATCATGCATTTGTTTCAAAATGGTTGCTATGCATTCAAAGCCATGTATTATAATGAAAAATTATTTTAGTTAGAGCTTCTAAAATATTGTTACAATATAGTTTTAATATTAAGTTAATTTGATTAAACATTTATAATTTTTTTTTAATCATAAATAAAAGTTCTTACAGCGTATTTGAATAAAAATCAAAAAAATCTGATTCTTTTGATTTTTTTTAAAAAAATCAAAAAAATCACGAACCCTGCCCCCAAGTGAGGAAACTTGTATTCTGGGTAAAGTTTTCTAGCATTACAATACTGATTCTAAGGTGCTTCGCTACAATAAAATTTATGATTTATAACGCCAAGTGATTTTGTTGTAAAAAGATTATTTGCTTGTATAGCTGCTTCTGACATGTCTGCCACTAAATTCTCCATTCAATCAATCAGGCGTAGTAGTTGTACCTCTCATAAGTAAAAATAGATTCATAATATGAGGGAACTGTTCAAGGCATTAAAAAAAGGAATTTCATTTTTTTTTTAAACCCTGTCTTAAAACATTTCAGAGAGGGAATGTCTAGAAGACTATTATTTCAAAACACAAAATTTAGTTTATATAAAATGTTGAATACTATATTTAATTTTTGTCTCACATGAAAATAATTTTTGTATCATTAATTAATAGCAAAATCATGAAAAGCGGTTAGAACGTTAATTATTTGGGCAGTTTTTCTTAAATATAAAATAGGCATCTTGAGATTTAGGTTTTTCACATGAGGCTACTTTTTTTTAAAAAATCAATAATAAACGTATTTTTTAAGTTCTTTTGAAAAGAACATGCTGCGGTAAATACTAATTAAGAATAATATTGCTCACTAAGAAAAATATTTGAAATATTCTAAATTTGTTTCAGTAATACTTATAAAATGTATTTTGTTTTTCATATTTAGGCATCTGGTCTTTTCAATGATGTGCTTAATGAAGATTAAAATGCAAGAGAGAGTTGTGGACCAGCTAATTTAAATATCAATTGCTATATTGATGAATTCTGTCATAGAAAAGCTCTCCAATTTATTACAACTTTTTTTTATTAATATGATACATAAGAGCAATGTAGAGTATGAACTAAAATATTTACATCATATTGGGACTTGATAAAAAATATGTACTATTTCTTGGAAGAACAAAAGCCAGAGAATCCCATAATTGCGGCCATGTCTGGATCACCATAGTCATCAGTTGATTCAGTAGCTTTTCTTTTCTTCTCCTTCCTTTTTTCTCTTCGATATTCTCTCAATTTTTCTTCCTAAAAAAAAAAAAAGGAAAAATAAGCTATTTTTCTTGAAATTTTTAATTTATTTAATATATAAGTTATTTCAGAATTGTCATTTATGAATGACCAATAAATGTATTTTGATATGTTTTTTTATATATTTAAATAAAGTTTTCCTATAAAATGGAATTTTTATTATAGTAAAAATAATAATTCACAGGTATATAGGTACAAAAAGAGCAACAATTAGTTGGTTACAGCAAGATTGCAAGCAAAAATTCTCAACTTTCTCCAAACAAAAATATTTTTTACTTTTTCTTCGCCCAGTAATTATATAATCCCCTGTACAGATGAATAGATTTAGAAAGAGTAACACAATTAGTTGAAGCAGGAATTGTTTGTGCCTACCTTGGTAAAACAGATTTTTATACAAAATTTTCAGTGCAAAAATGAATACACAAAAAAATATTTACCTCATCCTTTAATTCTTGAAGTCTCTGTTCAAAATCATATTCTTTTTGTTTTTCTTCTCTCTTTCTTTTATTCATTTCCATTCTTTGCTTTACTTGATCAAGAGTTGATCTTTCTACTCGCATTGACATGCCAAGATTTCTCTGATCTAAATGCAAAGATATTTTAATACAACTTAATTGTTGAATTTCTTGCATGATTATAATTACTTTTAAATACTCAATAGCTAAATTTAACACTTATAGATTTGATAGTGTTGTAAATGTTACCTAGAATAATTGTGAAAAAAATTTATGGATAAATAACAATGATGCATATAACAGATTGGTATAAAAATTATAATATGTAAAAAAAAAGCATATAAAATAGTCTCTTATTTTTCAAAAACAGGCAAGGTTTTTAATACAAATGTCAATATACAGCATTAGTGAAAATTTTTTGTAAAAAATAAATAGGCAAATCAAATGTACAGCTTCACTCTGCAATTTGTAAAAGGAAAATACTGTAAAATGGGACATAAAAATTATATTTATTCTTTATAAATTTTGCGAATTCTCGATAGATCCTAATAATTGCATAGTTTTTGTAGGACATAGCTGCAACTGAAAATGTGAACACACATGATGCTTCACAAACTCAGTTTTGCGGCAACAAATTGGATTTTATTTGGTACCCTGTTTAAACAGTGTCCATTCTGGAGAGATGTTAATAACTGTATCTAATATGGATCTCAAGGAAAAATATGAAATAATTCATTTTTCAACTGATGGATGGTGTTTTTTTTTTCGTGAGAAGAAGACCTTGTGAAATTTACAGAGTCTGTAAATCACCCTTACCATAAAATCATTCTACCTCAAGTAAGAATAATTATGCCAGAAAAAAATAATTGAAAAAGACATTTACTAAATTAAAAAGACTAGATAGTTAGAAATGTTGGGCAAGGAAGAAAATAAAAGTTTCCAAAAATCTTCCAGTTTATTAATAGCATTAAAAGATTAAACTGAACATAAGTTTGAGGTACAATTATATGCATATTTTTAATATTTAACTAAGTCTAACTTTAGGCAATTCAAAGAAAAAAAATAGTGTTTGGTAGAGAAACTTTTTTTTTTATCAATCTGACAAAGTGGTTTGAAAATTAAAGAATTGATTGAAGCTTAGGTCTGTACAATTAATGCTCAAAATAAATTTAAATGTCTAATTAACTTTGTTATTCTGAAATAATAACTGATTAAATTACACTCAATTCAGAAATTATATTTATATTTGGCTTCAAGATTTTATTAAATATTAAAATAAATTGTAATGGTAGTACTATATTTGCTACTTGATTTTTAGAAGTAACAAACACACTTGACAAAGATAAAAAATATTTTGAATTAAAATGATGCTTAAATAAGAAATTATGCTCCTTACGTTTTTTTCCATTTATATGATCTAAGAAATTTATAGAATCCTTCACAACACAGTCACAGACATTGCAGTAATATCTATAAATAAAGGGAAAACCAAAGTTATTCAAAATTATAAGATATTAAAAAATAAGCATACTTGACAAGAAAGACGATTTGAATGCCTTTGATGATTAATATTACACAATTTTGTTATACAGTTAAGAGGCCTTTAATAAAAAAATGTTGCCCTTTCTCATATGGCTTTCCAAAGGTACCAGCTTTGCAATGCTCACCAGGGCAGTAACCTTTCTTTTATTAGTTATAAAATACTTTATGAAAGTTAGTAGAATATGCTATAGAACAGCAATGGATTCGGAAAAAACAGTCGAGAGGTTAAGTCTAATAGACTTTGTCAGAATTTTACAGCAAGTTCACGAAACTTTATTTTTCATCTATGTACAATGAATTAGAGTTAGTTATCAAATTTTTTTTAACCTAAATAATTTCATATTTATTAGCAACTACAACATTGTATTTCAAGGCAATTAGCTTGTTCTAATAATTTCTATGAATCAATGTATACATTCTATGAATTGCAAATCAATAGTTATTTGATGAGAGCTAAGAACTGGAGAATTGAAAAAATATCACAGAAATAGTGAATGCATCATCAGTGAAATTACATCTAACCCTACTCTGATTAGGACTTGTTCAATTTTTAATAGCTTATAACCTTTAAATTAGAATTTTTTTTATATATTTTTAAGTTGACTTTTTGAATTCTCATGGTTAATTTTATAAAATTAAGCGAATTTTCAGAGGTTTCATGACATGATGCGTATTCATTGTTGGTCCAGCAATTTTTAAGATTTCATTTTCTCCAAATCAGTAGAAGTTTTCCAGTCCAAAGAATATAATTTTTACTAATTTTTTTTTCCATAAAGAACCTTAAAATAACTATTTTTCCTCACAGCAGCTATTTCATTCACATGTAGAAAGATATGGAGACCTGGTGAGGAATGTTTGAATAATTAAAATTATTCTTTGTTGACAGGTAGTTGTATTAAACTGTAGGTTGTGTTTGCTTCATTTGTCACAGCCTCTGTTCACTCAATCTAATTTGAGAGTTGTTTGCTTTTGAGCTGATATGATTGCATATTTCAACAATATTTTAACAAAATTGAAATAAGAATAAATTTTATGTTTCTGAAAATGTTATTCACAGGGTTGGCAGGTTTTTGACGGTTTAAACCATGGTATAAACCGTCACGTCAAAAACCTCACTGTCAAAAATGTCGAAAATGTCAAAANGCATATTTCAACAATATTTTAACAAAATTGAAATAAGAATAAATTTTAAGTTTCTGAAAATGTTATTCAGAAACTTAAAAACGATTAAATAGCTTATGTTTTGATAAATGGTCAGAAAATGTAGTAACCATATCAAAGGGGGGGGGGAATTTATCTGCAAAACTATTAGCAATACTCATCATTTGATAACATCCAATACTTAAAACATTTTAAATAAGAAAACAAGAATTAAGCTGGAAATAAGAAAGGAAAACAAATTTTATACCCTCCAGTTTGAGAAGCAGGAGTTGTCTTTGTAATTACAGTTGTTTTTCCAAGCTTTGATTCTAAATCAACCTAAGCGAAAATAAATATATATTAAATAAGCTATTTAGGATACATTAGATTTACAACTAGATTAGAACATAAAAACTAAACAATAAAATTATGTAAATCAAGAAAAAAAATTTTTTGTCATTAATTCTTTCAAAAACAAATTGTGACAGAAGTAAGATATTAAATACTGAGAATAATAAGATTATAACATTAACTCTTTGATTGTCAATTTTGAACACAAAAGAAAACTTTGAACAAAATTTCCCACATGATACAGTAGTTGCAGTAAGATCCAAAATAAATATTATTGATATTTTAATATAAGGAGTAAAATTGCAAAAGATAAGACATAGTTAAAAAAAAAAAAATTTAAACACATAAGATATGTTCTTAATCGTCACTTTAATTTTATAAACTAATAATGTGAGCCGCAATGGCTCAGGGGATAGAGTGTTCGCCTTCCAATGAGGTGAACCATGTCCGAAACCCAGCAATGGCTGGTTGATATGAATTCTGCATCCCGCCTGCATCAACCACATTGCTGACATGAAATATCCTCAGTGGTAGACAGATCATGGGTTAGAGTCCCTTTGCTGTCAAGCTAACCGTGGGAGGTTCTCATGGTCTTCCTCTCCATGAAACACAAATGAGGGTTAGTCCCATCAAAAAAGTCCTCCACGAAGGCAAATTTCTTATAATACTTGATCCAGGAGTTGCCTTATTTTCTGGATAGGGTTCAAAATTACAAGGCTACGTAGTTGAACATTAGTAGCCGTAAGCCCAAAAATTGGATTGGCTGTTCAACAACGATTATATAAAAAAAACTAATAATGTGGTAAAATAACACAAAGGATTAATTTTGAATTTTTATAGATACAAATAATGTGATAGCAAAACAATAGCAATTATATGCTTAAGTAACAAAGGAAATGCACACACCCTATAATCTCTTGGTTTTAAGAATTCTCGACGAACAGGAGGCTGTTTATCTGATTTCCAATCAAAATCAAATTCATCTTCCTCTAGTTTTTCTTGGGCTAATTTTTCATATTCCTCTCTATCCCACTTCCTTCGGTAATCATCAGGTCTCTAAAAATTAAAAACAAATTGATTTTAGAATAATTTTATAAAACATCAATAAAGATTGAAAATATTGTAATCATCATATTGTAAAACAATAGATGTTAAACAAATTTTAGTGTCTAATATTTCAGAGAAAAAAAAAAATTAACCAATATTGATACTCATGTTTTTAAAATAATATAACTAAAACTAAGATAGAATTTTTTTTGTGATATTTTTAAAAAAGAATATTTAAAAGGAATTTAAATATGAATATTATTACTAAATGAATTAAAAAACTATTACATTTAAAAAATTATATTCAAATTAAATTTAATTGCTTTAAATAAATTGTACAATATTTGCAGTTGCAATTTCATAGTTCTCTAAGTCAAGAACTTTAGAAATTGTAAGGAACCAATTCGGGGAATAGAAGAAATAAAAAAATAAGGAAAAAGATAACAAAAATTGTAGATATAATTTCATAAAAAAAAATTTTCAATTAAATAAAAAAATTTTAGATATAATTTCATAAAAAATTTTTTTCAATTAAATAAAAAAAATTAAAATAATTAATACATAACAAATGAAATATGAGAAATGTTGCCTTTTTTTTTCCTTTCAGAAATACAGTGCTTCGTTTAATAGTAAAAAAACAACAATTTTTTCTGATCAAGCGCTAATAGCTACAATTATGCAATTAATTTAATAAAAAAGTCACATTTTTAAAGTTTCATTCTTTAAGACCTATTCTGCAAATATTTTTTAAATTTTGTACTTTGTCACTTAAAAAGACATAGTATAAAATAATATAAAATATTTTAAATATTACAATATAAAAATTTTTGAACATTACTAAGAAGTTATAAATATTAATAAAAAATTCTTCAAATTTCATGACTCCCAGGAATTTCATTTCAAATGAACAAATTTAATAATTGTATACAAAAGCTTTTTAATTTGTCCAAATAGTTTTGAGATATAGAAAAACATGTAAAAAATGAAATAAACATTTTAAAGCTCAAACTTTTTATTTTACTTTTTAGTAATATTATGGGGAATATATTTTTATGGTTGAAAATTCAAATCTTTCAGCAAAAGAAAATTAATGAAAACTAATAATTAATTTAAGGTTATCGCTCGTCAGTGAGGTTTTTATTTGCATGTATATAAAAATGAAAAAAGCTCAAAATGCGAGTTTAAAAAATAGACACATATTGAAACATACATTTACGAAAATGAACAAAGCATTTGATTTATCTTTTCAAATTTCCTTTATGAGTATTTTTTAATTTTGTTTAAAAAAAATAAACTAATGAAGCTTGATACCTTCTTAAAGTGACATTGCTCATTTGCATAAAACACAAAATACATTTTATTAAATAAGTCTTCCTTAAATAGATATCAAAAGTCAACAGTTATCTTTATGGAAAGACATAGTCTCAAAAAATTACATCGATGATATATGTAGACATGACCCCAAAATGTGGGACTTTGCCCTGTAATGATTATGCTTAGTATTTGAGTAAGTAAGGAAAAGTAACGATGTAACTCCATGTTTGGTTATTAAATTTAGATTGACAACTAAAAAGGTGCATTTTTGCTGACTATTTTTGGAAACACGGATTTAAAGCTGTGTCCATTTTCATAAATATGTATTTTGAGCTTTGTCCAGATTTAAAAATTTCTCTTCACATTCACTATTAAATATTATGAATCAATTTATCATGAAAAAAAATTAGAAATGAAATAATTACACAAATAAAAAAATAAATAAGATAGATAAAAGTATCAAACTCTTACACTGGTAGACGCCATATTTTATATTTCTACAGTTCTGTAAAAATGGTTCTTCGATGAGATATCTATTAAAAAAGTTCACAAAAATGAATTATATAAGTTAATAAGACATACAAAAGAACACATATTTTGTACTTTTCGGTTAGCTAGGCGCAAGCAAAAAAGTCACAAATCCATGTAGACCACTTTAAACTTTCATTTTATATTTACACATAATATATAATTACCATATATTCCTTGAGCCCAACTTACCAAAAACTATACATATTTTTATTATACAGTAAAAAATAGCAAATATAGCTATGCTCAATTTATAGAATAGAAATGAACAAATTTAAGAAACTTTAAACACATTGTCTGTACCCAAACATTTTTTAATTTTATTTTATCCAGTTAATACCATTCTCTTCGTAAAAATAAAAAAAGATTTTTTCCTGAAAAGTGCTCAACCTTCACTTAACATAAAGTCTATTTTGTGATACTAAGCAATGCAAACCTTAATACTTTACTTTTTATTGTGACAATGCAGCTCCTCGACTGGGTATTTATAGTTTCTTGAAATGTTTTTTATTCTGGAATTGATATATTTTAAATTTCAATGTTTATTTTTAAAAATTAAATAAGCTATATTATTTCCAGCACTATAAGCAAGACAAACAATAGTTACATGCTTTAAAAGAGTAAATACGCATTTATAAATATGGGTATTTACCAGACTCACATGTATAGGAATGATTCCTTATCTTACTATGCATCAAAAAGTTACCTAATTTTATAACCAGCTGATAATATAACCAGACAACAACACAAGAAACGAAAAAAAAAAAAAATCTGAGAGAGAGAGAGCAACTTAAAGGGTTCAACTCTTACCCAATCACAAGCAAACCATTTTTTAAGTACAAAAACCCTTTGACGCTTATAATTCGCGCAAATTTTACCGACACAAAAATATCCGAACCAAATGTTTCATAGATATATGATTGGGTTTGGAATTTTTGATAATGAGACACTTCAAAAACTAAAGATTAAGAAACTGTCACCTCTATTTCCACTGATCGGTATAATTTACTTTAGCTTGTAAATAAAAAAAAGTACTATAACGTACGTTTAATACAGATTAAATTCTAGGCAGTCGTGAAAAATTTTTTAGCATCTTTTAGGAAAATGTAATCCCTTGTTTATTATTTAAAAATCGTTTATTATAATTTCATAAATTGAAAAAAATATTATTATAGAATGCATTTTCTCTAGTTTAAATTTTTTAAGGTACTGAGAATTTTTAAAAGATGAAAACATTATTTTGACTATCTATTTTAATTACTTGGTACTGGCAGAAGATGCACCGAAAATGTTATAAATTTCAGAGCTCTTTTCTGAAGAGATTGAATTCCAATCCCGAATAATAAAGTTAAAGAATAAATAACATTTATAATCAGAAATAAATTTGCACGAAAACGAAATATAAAATATATTATTTTCTTATGACCAAATTCACAAACACAAAAACAATAACAATTGTAATCGTATTCAGTTCAGTTCTAATCTTTAGGAACGTTGCCATACCAGAAAATAAAAAAGCGAAGAGTGCTAGTTCAAAATCGTTCCTACTGCATGTGATACACGCAGCTCTGATCTCCATCAATGGATGGGTGATCGTGTAAAGCTAAGGGTGGTGGCGCTAGTGGTAAAATTGCTCTTTTAAAACTTCCGGGTTAGTGCTTCCGATATATTTTTACGCCGCAGATTGAAAAAACTCGCCATCATATTATTGCATCATATCTTTTGCAGTATTTCACATGTACCGAGTTCTTTCTTTCAGCCTTTAAACTTCAGCATTATCATATTAATATTATAATCACTAGAATATTTTCTAATTAAGCTAACTTAAAAAGATATTCTTAGCGACATTTTATTTAAATGTAGCCAAATAAGGGATAAAACACAAAACATGGCAAACCTTAAGAATTATTCACAATGAGATATTAACTTTCCAAAATTTTTTTTGGCCTTACGACCTCTGAGAATCAATACATTTCCAAAATCTCTTATGAATGGTACAATTATGTTTAGATTTGAACCCAAATTACAATAACAAAACTGCATAGAATATTAGGCTTGTTCACGTATCGCCTCGTAGTCATAACATAAGCGGAGGGATACACCGGAAATTTTCTAAATTTCTTCCGGTTTAAGGACGTTTGTTATTGTTTACATTAGAGCACCCATCCATAAAAGAGCTGAATCCAAGTGAGTTTTTCGGAGGGTTTTCCTGTTTACGAAAATATTTCACTAACCAGCAGAATCTCACTCTCTTTCGACAGTAATCGAATTTGTAGAAATTACATACAGTGAGAATAGTCCTTTATTTGGCAATCTTCCTCTACTGAGGGGACGAGATTCCTGGATAAAACAAATAAGCCACATTTTAAATGTATAACACCTGAGGCAAAACTGAATATAAAATTATATATACCATCTCGGTGCCCCAGTGGACTAATTGTAAGACACGGTTCTCAGTAGAATACCGAAATTACGTATCACTGGCTGCAGTCAGTGTTCGTTAAGATGACCACTTTAATCAGCCTATGACGGGACCAAGGGTGTGTAGAAACAGTTCTACCGTAAAATGCACGACTTTGTGTAAGTAATTGGGCTAGCAAGTCAGAGGAGCCATCCCTTCTGCAAAAGATCGGAATTGTTATGGCGTGCCTTCGAATCAATCTTAGGGATGTTTCCCAAGACCCTCGCAAACATGGGCTTAGCGTGAAAGAAATGTTTAAGAAACATGATAGTTTTTGTCTTTTTAAAATTTTTTTCAAAAATTATTTTTATTTTTTAGAATATATTTATTAAAACTCTAAAATAAATATACACAGAGAAAATTTTATAACTCTCTCTAAGTTTAGAAGGACTTTCCTGCGTTTAACAGAGTAGTTAATATCCAATAATTTATTGCCAATATACTAATATTGGCAATAAACAACCTTTCGTGAGAAATTGCGGATTTTGCGGATTCTGTAGTGTATTCATATCATATTGTGAAATCATGGAAAGTCTGAATTTCATGTTTTATTTTCTTAAAATTAGAGAAAGCTATGGCTAAATAAACGGATCACCCAGGATAATTTTTGATCTTAAGATCGGATATTCACGTTCTAGGACGCAGTCTTAATAACTCAAAGGGAACTCCTCAAACATGCTAATTAATTAGTGCAGACGCTATTTTAAGTTGCGAAATCAGACGCAAAAATGTACTTTCTGCGAATAAACATACCGTTTTTTTTACGTATTTAGATTTTTATCCCCCAAATGATGATGGCAGTCTCAACCTAAGAAAACTGGTTCATATACTTTGGTAAGGTAAGCAAAATAAATAAATAATAACAATAATAACTTTTAGGTACTATTTGTTATTTTTTCATTTAATAGTCGAAAAAATTTTGAATTTTAAGGTATAAAAATTTTTTTTTACATTATTTTGAAGATTGTAATTTTACAAGACAAAATACAAAATTTGAGCGAAATCGGTCGAATAGTTCCAGAGAAATCAAATATTAGTTGCAAAACATTTTTAAAATTCGATTTCTCAAGAACTGTTCTACCAATTTTGCACAAACTTTGTATCTTCCCACTCAAAATTACATTCTTTAAAATGATGGAAATATTTGTTTACCCTACAATTCAATATTTTTTCGACTAATATTTAAAAAAAAAAAATATTTACTGAACATTAGTTATTTCATGGAATTATCGTTGGACAAATAAATTTCATAATTGTGTGCAAAATTTTTTCAATTCGTTTAAATTTTTATCAAGATGTGGCGAAATACGCAAAAAATAAAATTAACATTGGGGGGTTCTAACTTTGGATCGCTCTTCTAGCCAAAGAAAGGTAGGGAGTCACAATTTGAGACTACCCATTATATTTTGGGAGTCAGAGATTCAAATCCATCATAAGAAAAGGCATGTCGCAGAATACACAACTAGAATGGGGCAAAAACTTTTTACAGCTTCATTTTGAATGTAAATATTTGTCTCCTAGTGGCCTTCGTAGGTGATCTCCGACATCAGGAAAGATGTTTAACTGGCGTAACGAATGTGACGTAACGAATTCTGATTTTCGTATTGAGCGGCTTCCAGGAGCTTCCAGCCATCAGTTTTGCGTGGTGGCGAGTATTATGGTTACGAAAGTAATTTCGAATAGGGGAGTGAGTTAAATAGTTTTCTCTTGATCATTACATTTATTGGCTTGAAAATCTTTGCTCCTCCGTTTTTTCTTTCTTTTTTTTTTTGTTGAAAATCCTAGAGGCAGTGTTAGTAATTCATCTTTCCGTCTTTTCTGGCAAAACAGCTTCTCCTTGTTTGTGTGTCTCCGTGGTGTTTCCTTCACGTGCAGGTCGTTGGGCTACCAAAGCAGGAGTACCATCCTTTCTGCAGAGGATCAAAATTGTGATGGCATTTCTTCGGATCATCCTCAAGGGATGTTTCCCAGACCGTCGCCAATAGCCCATCGTGCAGCTCTAGTGTGACGTAAATGAACTACAACCATGGTGTTTCTTCACTTAATCTTTACCTCCTCTGAAATATCTTTATGTGAACATTGCGGAAAATAATAAAGGATAATTCTGAATATCTTTTGATCTAATGAGCGGATCCTTATGTTCTAAGACTCAAACTTAATGGTTCGAGGGTTGACAAAAAATATAGTAATTAATTATCACAGACGATATTTTAAGGTTATCAAATTATACATAAAAACATACTTTCTCTGAATTAACATCGTTTTTTATCGACGGACATGTATTCTTAATAAGTCTCCAGGTGGCGAATAAACAAGCAAATCTAGTAAACCAATCGACTCCTTCATTTCTCCAATGCACCCCTGTAATTAGAAATATACTCCCCTTTGCTACCATAGTAGCAGTTAGCCCCAGCTTTACAGTCTGACGGATTTCTCTTCAAACAGTACGTTTGAGGAAATGACATCAACAAACCTTAATTTATAAAAATGTACAATATCGGGGCATTTTTTTTCGAGGAAGAATAGTAAACTAAGCACGTTAAAAATCTCAGGAAAAATTTACATTACGCTGAAATGATATTAACAAGTCATTAATTTTAATTGTGCTCAAACTTTTGAAATTAAATATAAAGAAAATTTTTCTAGAAATATAATCACACACATAAAATAAAATAAATCGCTTACTTACATTATTTTGCTTTATAACTACACCTAAACTTTTTATAGCTGAAAATTTCGATACTCTCTCCAAAGCAAAATGCTGGTTGGGCGGTTTTTCGGTTCAAATATATCCAGATTTTTTTTCCGAATTGAAACAAGAGTTTAATTTTCCTTGGATTAATTCAGTATTTGAAAAATTTGGTAACAGTTTACAGTCAATGGCTCCTCTTGTATTTGGCAATGAAAATAAACCAATGTATATGTATGCAAATAAACCGAGAACCAATCACATAATGGAAAACAAAAATTTCGATTACCCGAAGGTGACGTCATTAAAAACAAAGTCAGGGTATAATATCAGAAACGAAGTTTCAGCAAAACTGAACGAAAGTTATCACCAAACCAAGGGGCCACCGATTCAACACCGAAACCTTCCGTTGAAGATAATATAATATAATTAATTTAATAATCTTATTACAAATATTGTAGAGTCCCTTACGAAAATTTAAGGTATATTTAAGGTTGATTTGAGGTATCGAGGTTGTTTTGAGGTATATTTGAGATATATTTGAGGTTGCTGAGAAAACAGCAATAAAAATTATACCTCGTAAAGGTTGTAATTAAGGTATACGAGGTTGTTTTATAGCTTGTTTTGAGGTTGTTTAAAATTCACTTCAAATCAACCAGACTGATAAGGTGATTTTTAAGGTATACGAGGTTGTTTTGTAACAACCAAAAGTGTAAAACGAGACACCACAGGTTGATAAATATATACCTCTACAAGCATAAAATTAGATACCTGAGGTTGAAACATATATACCTCTGGAGGTATATTTAAGGTATATTTGAGGTATTCATTTGCACCCTTTTCAACCTAACGACGTATTTAAATAACAACCTCCTTTATACCTTTAAAATATGCCTCGTTTATACCTCATTTATACCTCGATTTTTTCATAAGGGGTGGCGCAAATATTCTATACTCCATAAACTAAAACCACAGTTATTTTAACACCCAGAAAAATTAACGTAACAATGAAATTTAAAACAGAAAACTAGCTAGTGAAATCTCATTTAAATTAAAAGTTTTATTTTCTACAATTACACAATTAGTAAATTGGAGACAAACATTCTGTCTCCCAAAATAGTGGAATAAAAGGTTCCGTAATATTGATGAAGTAATGTAAAGGACAGTATTCTTCACAACCAGGAAACTTCAAAACGTGTGGAGTTTGAAAAATGTTTTCCGGTTCTGTTGAATTCAAGTACACGAGTCTCACAAAGTGAGAAGAATCTGGACTGCTGTAAAGTTCGAATATAAGAGTAGCAGCAAACGGTACAGACTTCGGATAGAGATCGTAAGCTTCTAAAATCACAGCTATATTTGCATCATGCTGAAATTTAAAAATAATAATTATTATTATCACTGTCTATGAATGAATTGGAAAAGTGTGAAAAATTGTTATGCTAAGAGCTTAACTGTGGAGTTGGTGTTCGACTCCGAACTTTTCTAAGAATTCGATTACGACTCCAATTCCGGTTTACTTTTCATCAAAATTTTCACCCAATTCCTTATGATTTTTTTTATTATTATATTATAAGTACAAAGAAAATATTAACTTCAATTAGCGATTAGAGTTAAAGACATTTTTTAAAGTTACTTTTTATATTATATCATAATAGTTAAATAAATAAACTTAACAAAATAGTGAAATTGTACAAACCATTATCGATGGTTGACCGCGTTAAGGTAAACACAGGTGGCGTTAGGGTTTAATTTTCGTCTTATAATTTCCAGGTAACTTCTTCCGATTTAGTTTCACATTATTTAGTCACTCAAACAAACTAGTGGGATATCAATGGTCCAGGGCTTAACTGCAAGAAGTAGGTCCCAGATTTTTTTAAAAAAAATTCTTTTTAATATTATCTAGAGTGAAAACACAATGTGCAGTTAAAAGAAAAACTTTCTCTGTAAAAAAAAGTTATAGGGGAGAGTCGGGTAGCCCCGCCCAGCGGGTACCCCCGCCCACAGTCAATTTCATATGTATAGAATATTTTTTCAAGTCAATGGGCCATCGGACATTAATTGTTGTATTAAAAAAAGATTATTTTCAAAGTTTCAAGTATTTATGCAGCTGTTAACATGGTAAACAATAGTTTTGAAAATATGTTGAATACAGTAGTCATGAAATTAAGAAAAATTGGTTGAATGTTTCGATTAAACTTCATTTTAATACTAAAAAAATAATTTTTTCTATACATACAGCATTAAAGTATGTAGTCTTAAGTTTAATTTGCACAAAGAAAGAAGTTTATATGTGAAAAATTGTTCGAGTAATTACAAATTTACAAAAAAATTGGATTTCGGGTAGCCCCGCTCACATGAATGTCGGGTATCACCGCCCAATTTTATTTCGTCGATAAATGTACGGTTGCAAAGATTATTATTTTATTGCTTCAAATTTGAATGTTATATGCATTTTTAACAACAAATATATGTTTTAATATTATATGAAACATAAATTTATATATTTAAAAATGAAAAATTAAATATTTTTAAAATGTAATTGATATATCCAAATTAAATTTAATATCAAGAAATCATAAATATTATGATAAGCTATTTGCTTACTTATTTATTTTCACTTATTTGTGAACGAATCAATCTACAGAAGCATTTGAATGCAATCAAAATACAAAGTGAATTTGTAATTTTATAAGAAGTATTTTATATTAAGTTTATAAGAAGAGATCAACCAAATAAGTTTATATTGAAAAACAACTATTGTTATTAATTATTGTTACTTAAATTAAATTATTTTCGTTAAATATTTAATATAAATATATATTAATATTATAATATATTAATATACATTAATAATGATAAAAAGTATGACATTTGTTGTTATTAAATGATAGAATTCACTAAAAGTATATAAATATGTAATAAATAAAATAATTTTGTGATAAAAATGATAAATGAGGTTTATCTATTGTCAATACATTGGTCATTCTCATTTACACCTGAAAAAATAGCCAAAAAACACAATTTTTGTAACTGGGCGGGGCTACCCGACACATTTTGAAAAGAGCTGAAAAACATGTTTTTTTAAATTTCTATTTTTTTAAGTTTAACTATTCTTTTTTTGGTTTATTCTTTTTGCATTATTTAATTGGATGATAAAACAATAGAAACATACAAAAATGTTGATTATTACTCAGTATTATACAGAAATGTAAGCAATACTCCTTAAGTGAGCGGGGCTACCCGACTCTCCCCTAAATCCGTCTTGAAAGGGTAAAATATTCACAACTTAAAAAACACATCAAATGCGGATTTCAAAATAAGATATTGTTGGATTATTTTACAAATTTGCTTGTTTCAGATGAACATCGTGAGTAAAAATATTAAAATTAGAGAAAGTAAATAGTAGTAAAGTAAAGAAAAATATTAAAGTAAAGTGAAGAAAAATATTAAAGTTAGAAAATTATTATCTAACTTACTGATGAATACATCTGAAATTTCTGTCCGGGCAGATCCCCACTTATTTTTTTCAGTACCAAATCTCTTATTTTCTTTAACAAAGGTCCTGAAATACGAAACAGATTAAAAGTTGCAGACTGTTACCAAATTAAATTTTTATTTTATTTTAATCAGTATTATTCTATTTATAGAGCATCTGCAGAATATAAAAAGGGCAAATTCTAAAATGTAATACACGTGGAATGAAACCTTTCAGTGTTAAGATTGCAGTTTCTGTATTCAATTCAAAATGAAATTAACTGAAATTTTTAATTTTCGTTTATTTTAACCATAGAATACTTTGTAAATTTCTTGGATAAAAATTTATGTTCTTATTCTCATTACCATACGTTGAAGTCACAATCTTTTATTTTCAACCATCTCCACAAAAGTTGGTTATTAATTTCCAAGATTGATCTAATAACTCCTCAAAATATTATGTGAATTACATACACATTTAATATTGCGATCGAAATGGGCTACAGGTTGCGTAGATTAGAATTGTTAAATAAGAAAAATATATGAAAGGGGAAAATATTGTAGTGCATTCCCATACAACTGAAAAGAGGAGGAGAGGGAAGGGGGTCAGGTCAAGACATGGAACCAGTTTTCTCCCCAGGTGGCGTATTCGAGCGTTGCGATCGTGAATATTTTAAAGTAACCTTCACCTGATGTAATTTACTTGGTCGCAAAAGTTTTCGAGACAACTTCTTAAGTCCTTGGGAATGCCCTTCAATTTTGACGTTTAAAAAGGGATGTCCCTCCAGCATCAGAATTATAGAACATTCCTAAAGAAGACTTTGAAAGTTGTTTCTGAAACTCGTGCAGTCGAATACAGATGTCATTTTATCAGATAGAATTTACTTCAAAACATATTAAATGGATATGTAAGCATGCAATTCATTTAATGTTCTCGCTGTTATTAAATCAACCCTGGAAATTAATAGCCGTAAAAATATGTTATTGTGTATCTGTTTGCAATTCTATTGGCGATCGCAACGCTCGAATACGCCATCTGGAGAGAGACCTGTTTCATGCCTTTGGCCCTTCACTCTCCTCCTCTTATCAGTTGTATAGGAATGTACTACGATATTTGCCTTTTTTTTAAATATTTTTCCTTTTTATTTAGTAAAAATATTTTTTAAAATTTCCGTGATGCTTTTCTTTAGAAGTATGTTTAATGTAGTTTTCAGTTCCATATAGTTTTCCAACTTAAAAAATTTCAATCTATATGAAAATCAAAACAGAAACTAACGTACTTCCTTCCTCCATGACTCTCTACAAGCTAAAGCATGCTAAAGCATGCTAAGTGTTGCCATAGGTAGAGAGTTCTGCTCTACGCCACCTGCAGCCCATTTCAATCGCCAATACTTTCAGAGTTCTCAATTCTTTTCGAAAAATAATTCTGGCAACGTTCTTAAGGAATTACTAAATTAATGCATTCATAAACGTTTAAAGGAAGTATTTTACCAGCTCGGAGCCGTTGCATAAGAGGAGAGTTAAAAGCCCAGTAAAATGCCGCATTTGAGATTCTTGTCAATTCATCCCAATATGGCTCTACCCAATCCGGTATTGTAAGGTTATATCGTTTCTATAATAAAAAATTGAATCAGCATGAAACAAGAAAAATATTTATGGCTTTGCATAAGAATTGAGTAAAAATGATAAATTTTGTGTATTCAGAGAGTTTTAGCGATACAGTATTGGGTATTGTATTTAGGGTGCAATTCAGTGGGCAATAGATCAGTAACAGATCACATCTTTAACAGTTTAAAATCCTCGAACTAGCAATAAAATCTTGAATTTTTTATTCGTATTCCTTAAATATTTTTTCTACTCACTTTCGTAATTTCAAGTTTCTAATTCGTATAGTTTATGCGCAGAATAAAATTTAACATTGAGCAAACAGAAAGAAAAAGTGTGAAAAATTCACAAAAAAAGGACTCGTGCTAAGATCATAAGCAAAAGTTGCCCCTTTGCAAGTCAAATTTTTACTCTGTAGTTGCGCTCTGCAAAGCAACTCGCATGGTATTTTTTACTACAAGTTTAGCAGTTAATAATTCTCGAAGTAACTATCGATTTTTAATTTTCTTTTATTTCATCGCGTACTCCTTGTACATTTTTATACACACCTATGTAATTTCAAGTTTGTAAGTTATACAATTTTCGCTCAGCAAAATAAAATGTAACGTCAATTTGAAAGCCCAAAACAACAACGGTGGCCCATAATTAATCATAATTAATTTATCCATCATTAACCATAATTAATGGCCCGTAACAGGTGGTTTTAATATCGAGAGATATGTTTTAATAAGATGGATCCACATTTAAAGATAAATTTAATTAATAATTTGTTAATTTTGCGAAGTTGTTAAGTTTGCCAAGTTTATCAACTGTTAATTTTGTAATTTAGAGCAAATTTAAATATTTCTGAAATGAAACTTTCTACAAAATCAATCTTTGGTCAGTTGGTAGAAGTGTTTCGGACACAGGCGATTTCAAGAAGGCAGTATAAATCATGATTTTTATCTTGTATTTTATTATTGTGTCTAAAATCTTGTCAAACGCATTGACTGATTTTCTAACTAAAGTCTCCCTTAAATTAATACATATGATGTAATTAAAGGAAGTATTATAATACTTCTTGAAGGTGACATTTGTACACTAAACTATCACTCAGCATTGTTTCCAAATAGATACTTTACTAGTTTCGTACATTTTATCTAGATACACCAAAATATACAAATAAACACTCTTTTAGACAAATCTAAAATATTTCGTAATCATTATATTATACTAAACCCTTTATTTATATTTAGAAAATAAAAACTTTTTTTAAACCTTTACAATTTTCAAAACACAAATACGTTTAAAAGATCCCAGAAACATTTTTATTTAGTTGCCAAACAGTAAAATGCCTCAGGAACAATAGCTTACATTTTTATGTCCTTATTTCAAGCAGTTTATTCAGCTTTTACTCTTAAATATCAGTCTTTTATCTGATTTATCTATAGTCTATCTGATTTATCTTTAATCTATAGTCTTTAATCTGACTTTTATTAAGCAGGCGACATTACAATACAATTTACCTCACATCGTTTGATGACGTTGAAAACGGTTCCATTAAGATCATAACACGTTTCATAAACGTAATTAAAAAAACTTTTTTATTTAGTGCTTAAAGAAAATCTTGAAATATTTTTACTTGATTCCTAAAACGTAAAAATGTTTTCCTTACCGGAACATATGTTAAAATCTTTCATTTATGTTTTCGAAACGTATCATACACATTACGGAACAATTTTAAGAATATCAAATGAGTTAAGGTAAATGGTATTATAAAGTCGTCTGTTTATTAAAAATCGAACTATAATATTAAGAGAAAAAAATGCTTCAAGGTAGATGGTATTAAACATCGTCTGCTCAATAAAAATCGAATTATACTATATGTACTATTATGTCACAAAATAACAAATATCAAAAGATTAAGTCTTAAACCAAATCAAACAATTAAAAAAAAGATCCAGGAATTTTCGAAATTGAAAGCTTTTTTTAAATTTTTTGAGAACTGTAATTACTTCCTGCAAAATGCAGTCATGGAAAAGAAGTGATGAAAGGCAGTCAGTGATGGGCATCCCACTGTAGTACGTCAGATTTTGAAACATTTCCTGAAAGAAAAAATTGTAAAAATATATTGAAGAAAAAAATTTAATAAACATGAAATTTCAAGTTTCTTAAAAAGTACATAAATAAAATTTATAGCAAGAAAGTAACTTAAAAAAAATCGTTAATTATTATTATTTTTATTATTATTTTTATTATTTTTATTTACTATTATTTAAAATTAATCATTATTTTTATTTACTTATTTATTTACTTTCTTAATTCAGTTTCTCAGGAACTATTCGACAGATTTGGCTCAAATTCCGTATTTTGCTATTTAATATTCCATTCTTTAAAATGATGCAAAAAATTTTACACTTTGCAATTCAAAATTGTTTCGACTATTAATATAAATATAATAATCAGTATTTGTTAAGAGTACGTACGTTTTGCATGAAATTATCGATAGATAACGAATTTTATAATTGTGTGCAAAATATTTTTCAATTCGTTTAAAAAGTTCTCGAGATATGGTGAAATACGCAAAAAGTAAAATTAACATTAAGGGGCCCAAACTTTGACAGCTTTCCTGAATAAACCATTGGATATTTCTCAGATTGTGTCTAATCTCCTACATTTTGAGGGTCAAAAATCCGAATAAAAAAAAAAAGGCATGTTTATTCTGAGGAAGTAAGTTTGTGTCTGATTTCGTAACTTAAAATGTCGTGTAGGCTCTGGGCTTGACACTGGCCATGATCGTAGAATAAGGCAAAGTAGTGTAGTGCTGCCATCTGTCGAGGAGTGAGATAGTAGTGTTCTCACAGTCACCAAAGTTGAGAAGTATGAAAGAGAGATGTTAGTCTGGAGCCTTTTTAGGATACCTTAAGCACCATGGAAACGGTGTACAGACCGGCCAAGGTGAATTAGGTATTTTTATATAGTAGACACCGTAACCTCACTTATTGATTTTCTAAAAATATTGACTGTTAGATTTATATCTCGATAAAAAATTGAGCGAAAGCAACGTACCTTATGATCAGCCAAGAACTTCTTTGCAGCGGGAGAGTTTTCAATGCGTTTCAATTCTACTGTGGCTCTTGGACAAAAGCTGTCAGTATCCATATACTTCAAATAAAACCATTTCAGTAATTTTTAAAAAGATATTTCGAAAAGTATATAAAAGGAATTTTAAGTATATAAAAAATACTAAGAGAGTTCAGTAGAGAATAACTTTTATGCACATTTTTAAAATCTTTGTAAAAAATGGAAGCTGAAAAAGTGATCACGCTAGATTAATATTTAATCGAGCTAAAAAGAACGCTCTCGTAATCCAAGAAATCACTAGTGAGGATGGTGAGGATGAAATCATGAAAACCCAGAGATTGCTGGAGGAAATTGAGAGCAGATGAAAGGTGGTTATTAGAATCATCCCTTAGATACAGCAAGCTATCAAACTGGTTTTTATGTTTTCTCTCTTCCTCACAAATGAATCGACAGATTTGGATTTTCTCACTTTCCTTTTTCCTAACTTAAATATTTATGTTTGATACCTAATGTATTTTTTTTTTAATTCCATTTTTGACGAAGATTATATGAATCTATACTTTAGGAATTCTATAAATTCCCCTCGAAAATGCCCTATCTAAAACTAACTATACGACTCATGTACTTTGTAAACCTTCGAAATGAAGAACTCTCCTCTCCCTGGTTTGTCAGAATCTCAATTCAGTGGCCAACACCACGAAAAATCGCACTGCTTAAAAAAGTCACTATTTCTGCAACCGATTTGCATGTACAAGTTTCATTTACCCCCCTCAGTTTGAAATGTCGATAATTGCTTAAGAAAATATGAATTTCTCGACATAAATCAAGTATATTTTTTGCTGTATTTTATTTGAAACCGGTTTTATACGAAATTAATATTCTGAAAACGTAGCATAACTATCCAATACAGAAAGAATAAAATGTAGACACATAATTCAATAGTTCTTAATCCTGAAGAGAATTAAAATTGGCTTGTGTTAGTTTTAAATGCTCAACTACTCGAAAAGTGTGCCAATAAAAAAAAGTTTGGAAACGGCTAAATATCTCAAGAAATAGACATCGAATTCAAAAAGTGAAAATAATCACTTCTAATATTTTTTTTAAAAGCTATTAAATAATACCAAACTTGATCCTTTACCCCCATCTCCAGGGAGCTGTTGGGGACAACTTTGAAATCTTAATTGTGAACTCCTATTTTTATTGCAGATTAGGATTCTCCAGAAAAAAGTAACATAATTTAAGGTGCAGATGTATGCGTTTTGTTTCACAGATGGTGCTGTAACCGAAAAAAATTAAATGGAATACAAGCTGTTTAAGCTGGCGAATCTCGAGACCCATCAAATTAATAAGAATATAAAAATAGACACGGTGAAATATTTTTTCCAAAAATAAATATGCCAAAATGTTTTTAGCTGTATTTTTATTTATTTTCAATCGGTAATATCGCTGTAACAGAGAAAAATTAAATAGGATACAGGCTGTTTAAAATGGCGGATCTCGAGGGCCATCAGATTAAGAAGTTAAAATAGACAAGTTGAAATATTTTTTCAAAAAAACAAAATACCGAAACATTTTTAGTTTTATATATTTCTATTTTCAATCGCCTCTGGAAGCAAAATGCATAAACACGGTCACAAAAGCCGGTAACTGCTAAACTACTCCAAATTTTAACAGTATTACTCTTGGAAATTCGATGAAACGGTGCGTAGGGGGTTTGTGATAATAATACTTCTAAAGTATTCTCATAAATTTAATAAATCGCATAAATTTCAAAGAGTACAAATAAAAACGGAACAGCATAATGACTTTCGATTTATTTGTCGGATTATCACGCACTAAATTGCAATCTTATTAATTCGAGGAACTTACTTTAAATACTTAAATTTGTACAGATAAGATATTAATTAAGGTACAAAAATGTATTTTATCTAGATAAAAATATCTATTTTCCAAAAGCTTTGGAATTTTGACTCTCAGAATACTCATAGCCGCAATCAGGAAAATATGATTCTATATATATTCAGGAAGTGATTTACAGGAAATGATTTTTGAAGTTGAACAATAAGTGAAAATTTTGTTTGATTTGCTGTTGCAGTTACTGACATATGTTGAAATACACAAAAAATGAAATAGGGACTCTAAATTTCACCCGCCGATCCGAATAAACTTTTAAGACAACATTTTCAAGATAGTGGCTACAGCCCGACACATTTTGGGGATCAAGAATCCGAATCCCTCAGAACAAAAGGCCGAGAAAGTACTTTTTTGTCTGTTTTCGTAACTTAAAATATGATATACACCAGACCATTAAAGAGATAAGATTTCATCTCAGAACTTGGAAATCTGATCAATAGACCAAAAGTTATCATAGTGTTCTGTTTATTTACTTATTTTGTGTACTGTATAAATAAGTTATATTGGCATAAGTTTTTCCGTTCATATCTTCTGTGCAGCAAAGGGTTTATCGGTAAAAGTTTCAGACTAAAATCGCATAATGTTATACCTTATCAATCAGATCTGGAATGTAATGCACTGGTATGGGTTGCCAGTTGAGATTCTTATCAATTTTTGAGTCATCATCGGGAGGATAAAAACCGGCAAGATTTGACATGGCACTTAAAATGCAACGATTATAACTCGAACTGATGACTTTGATCTGAAAAGAATAATTGATCAACGTTGAATTAATTGAATAAATATGTGAATTGATAAATGAATAATCCCAAGAAACAGATGCGGTGAGATATGACCTGTTAAAAAACTTCATTCACTTCAAAAATATATAAATAGCAAATAACAGTCAGCATGTTTTAAGCGCTATGAAAATAGCGCCCTTTTTCAAGACTCGCCAAACGTGAATCAGAAGAAACAAAACTAATCTGAAATACAAAACGTTAAGTTGCCAACGAAAAATGGAAACACAAAGATGAGGAACAGAACTAGAAAAAGGCAATATTAGACTAGATCGGCTATCGTGGTTTTTTTAAAGTTCTGTTCCTCACTTGTGTTGTTCCATTTTTCGTTGGCAACTTTACATTTTTATTTCAAATCACTTTTGTTTCTTCTCATTCATGTCTGGGCAAGCCTTGAAAATGTGTGCATATTTTTGTAGCGCTTGAAACATGTCAACTGTAATTTTCTATTTATATATTCGTGGAACATATTATTTTCGTAGTCAGTGTAATCGCAAATTAAAATAATTATAAATCAAACAGCACGATGTTGCTTAATACTTGTACAGTGTTAATTTTCAAGATTATCAGGCATCTACAGTTTGTTTTTGAATGAAATAGTTGCTTAATTTGAAAAAAGAAAAATGTTCATTTGAAGATTTTATTTCAATAATCTTGAGTTCAACTTACTTCTCTTGAATTGCCAGTCATGAAGTTTCTATACATGTATCGAAGAAATTTTCCTAGTCCATAGTGCTGTTTTTCCCCAAGCTTGAACCATTAAAAAAAAGTACATAACATAAAATTGCACATAAATATAGATTATAAATTTTACATTAACTAAAACTTAATGCAAGTTAAACTATTTTCCTTGAAAATTTTCACGAATAGGTACTTTAAAAAAACTAATAAGTTTAAAATGAATACTTTTCATTAGTATTACTTTTTTTTAAATAACCGGGTTACAATTTTTCAATCCAGTGACTTTTAACGATGCGATCTCTTGTTTGGCATTTTCTTAAATAGAAGAAAACTTGATTCTTGAACTTTTTTAACTTCAGATTAAAAGTTTTAAAAGAAATAAAAGTTTATATTATAATTGGGACAAGAGTCAAGAGAAAAATACAGCCAATAGAAAAATATCTAAAAAAGGAAGAGAGTCGTTAAAGACTGCTGGATTGTAAATTAGCAACCAGAATTGAATCATCGATCAATAACGCCCTTGCAGCTACCATTGCTCAACTTCTCTGTCTTGAAATTTTTAATCCAACACAGAAGACAAACTCTTAAATAAAGCATTGAAACAGATTCGTGATCATTCAGGGTGCGTAGCCAAATTATTCAGCAAAAAATAAGCACTTTTCAAGCACTCAGAGTATATTTTTAAGCACTTTAAAAAATATCATAATTAGGCAGGGTTGGAAAGTTTTTAGACAATTGATGATTTTATCTTTTTTTAAACGTCATGTCAAAAAAAAAAAACTTCTGGCGTTGTTTTTGACAATTGTCAAAAATCATGAAATTTTGAATCATGTGAAACGAGAGGCGTTTTCATACGCTACGGACTGACAATGCGCCGAAATAGATTGTTGTTGGACCAATTGTGAAAACGTTGAATAGAACAATGTGAACTGTGTCTTTTTCATAATTCGAAGAAAAAATCAACATAGTAAAGGAAAAATCTTATTCTGAAAAAGGGAAAATTAAGCACTTTTTAAAAATACCCAATGAAAAAAAGCACCGTTAAGGGCTTTTGAAAACGAAAATCGAAAATAAACACCTTTAAGCACTTTTCAAAAACGCTATGCATCCTGTCATTAAAGACTTTTTTTTTAAATAACACAATTTTCCGACATAATACAGCGTGTGTAATACAGCAGAAATATTGTCCTAATAGTTTGGTCAGTAGAGCGGTTCAAAATTGGGACCCCTTAATGTTAATTTTACATTTTGCGTATTATTTCGCCATGTCTCGAGAACTGCTTAAGCGAATTGAAAAAATTTTGCACGCAATTATAAAATTCATTTATCCAAAGCTAGGCAAAAAATAATTTTTAATAATTATTTATTGCTTTTATTATTTTAATTATAGTGAAATAAATTTTAGTTCGTAAGCTAAGTTGTAAGTCATTTTAAACAATCTAATTTTATAAGGGGAAATACAAAATTTGGACGAATCCAGACGAATAGTGTAAGAAAAATTTTATTTTTAATATATCTAAATTTTTTACAGTCACCGTGAAATACGTAAATTAAGGGGGTCCAAGCTTTAGACCGCTCCTGACCAAACTATTGGGACCAAATTCTCAGGATGTGGCTACCCCCTTATAGTTTGGGATCAGAAATCCATATTCGACAAAAAAAGATATGTTTACTCCGCGAAAGTACTTCTTTGTGTCTGACTTAATAACTTAAAATATCGTCTGCATTATCTAATAACCATATGTGAGTTTACCCCTCGAACTATTAAGATTGAGTCCTAGAACGTGAAAATCCAATACACAGATCCAAAATTACTCAGGTCTGTTGATTTTTTTCCTTTGCGCACTGTGCACAATGCGTGCATATGTACAGTGCGCAAAGTATACAGCATATATATAACTTCTAAATAGTGAAGTGAATATTCTATTTAACGAAATTTTCTTTGAGATCCACTTTCCCTATTTCCCAAAATATTTCAAAACATTTCAAACTTGTTAACGCATTTTATGGGAGAAATGACCTTGGATTGATTTTCTCGGCTACTTAACTTTTAGAGAAAGCAGTAAAATTTCTTTTTATTTGCATTTCAAACAAAAAACTCATACAAAATCAACTGATTTTATGAGTAGCAATGAAACTTAAGAAGGCATATGGTAATGTATGTTTAAAATTACTTTGCAGTAATTTTATACAGCAAATAAATGCAGCTACAATTTTATACATAAATTTAGCTTTTTTTAGTTGAAAATGTATGTAGCATTATAATGTAACACAAGTTGTAGTGTATAGTGTAGCGTAAGTTATAGTGTAACACTGGATAATGTTTTGCTCTATTCTTGATTTCCATGCAGATTTCTTTTATGGTTAAAATTTGTAAAATAAATAGTAGATACTAGTTTACAAGATAAAGGTGTATCAATTGCTATTTTAATTATGTCCAATGTTTATGAATTTAAAACCTGTTTTGTATTGTTTAAATAATTCAAAAAGTGATTTTCTATTTAACGTATTTTCCATATAACGAACTTATTATCAGGATTTAGCGACTTCGTTAAATAGAGGTCCGACTGTATAGATATATCGAAATCAATCTACAAGATCTTCATCCAGCAATCGAACAATTTTAACTCGAAACAATTTTTTTGACATCATTTCACATTTAATTATTTAGTTGGATATAGTTTTTCAAATTCCGCTTCTCATAAGCTTTTTCATATTACCGAAGTCTATAGTCCCGCAGTGGACTGATTATTAAGACACGGTTCGCAGCAGAAGTCAAGCCTCATTAGCTGCGGTCAGTGTGCGGGTGGGTGACCACTTGGATCAGTCTGCGTAGGGGCCGAGGGTGTGCGGTAGTGGTCCTCTTTAAACTGTTCTACCGTAAAGTGCTCGACTTCGCGTGCAGGTCGTCGGGCTATCGAAGCGGGGGTGCCATCCCCTCTGCAGAGGATCAAAATTGTGATGGCATGTCTTCGGATCATCCTCAGGGATGTTTCCTAGACCGTCGCCAATGGCCCATTGTGCAGCTCTAGTGCGACGTAAATGAACTACAACAACAACAACGGAAGTCTGTAAGACTGGTTTAATACATTTTAAAATGGAGAAAACTCAAACAGTTTTAAATGAAACAGGTGTTCCGACAATTAGGTCTGATCTCTGCTAAAAGTTTGTAGAAATTTCAGAGTAAAAAAAAAATTTTTTTAACTTACTAAAGTCAACTCCCCTAATCCTTCCTTCCAAAAACTCTCTGGGTTTGGATCAGTTGGGTATAATGCAATAGGAGCACGTTCACCATGACGGAAGAGCTATATATATAAAAATAAATAAAAGTGTTGTGGCAAAAATGGTACAGTGACGGATGAGCTATATGTATAAAAATAAATAAAAGTGTTGTGGCAGAAATGGTACAGTCATAAATCATAAAACTTATTTTAAAATTTTCGCCGACTGGTCTGTGTGAGGATCAGGGAACTGGCCTTGCATCAGAAAGGTTCTGGGTTCGAATCCAGGGCAAAGCATGGATATTCTTTCATTTTCTGTACTATCTGTCTTTACTGTGGAAGCAACGGCTCACCTAAGATGGTGCCCCTGAAAGTGTCGCCATCAAATCTGCCCTGACGAAAGGTCATTCTCAAGGTGGGTATTTGAAAAAAAGAATTTCATTTTTCATAGACTATATGACAGATTTCTTAAAATATTTGGAATTTTTTATTTAAAATAATATTTAATTTAAAATTATATTTAGTTTAAAATTATATGAAAATTCGCATACTTTATGAACTATGTCTCAAAAAAAAAGGAAAAGAAATTAATTAAAATTAATATAATTTTTTTCATGGGATAACTTTTTTTGTATAATCAAATTTTACGATTGTAGGAAAAAATCTTTGACTGTCCAGATGTGGATATTGAGACCCTATTTTCCAGATATTATTTTAATGATTAACAATCCAAACTCGTCGAAAGAAAGTTGTGTTTATTCAGAGAAAGTACGTTTTGTGTTAGATTCCATAGTTTAATAAATGGCTAGCTCTAATTTTTTTTTAACACATCTGTGGTCATCATCGCTTTAAACCATTGTGGTTGGCACTAGATTTTTGAAAATCCGATTATTAGAATAAGTTATTTAGGATGATATTTTTTCCCCTCTGGTTCATTGCACACATGGATGAGCGTTGTTGTTTTTGTTGACATTGGAAAAGTGGTAGCGTCATTTGATTTGATGAGATAGAATTCATTTAAATTTTCGTCAACTCATTATATTTTTGACTTGCACTCATGATTTAATTTAAAATTCGTTGAGCAATTGTCATTTTCCCGAAGTAAAGCAATGAAAAATTCATTTCTAAGCTTTTTGTGAAAATTGTTAAATGAGCTTAAAATATCTTAAAATAAGGAATTTAAACTAGACAAAAAAAAATTTTCCTTCTTAAGTGAAGCTGCTTTACCATTTTTATATGTAAATTCATTGGATATCATAATTGATTATTGATTTTTTTTTACAATTATAGCGTTTTTACATCAAAATAAACATTCAAGATGAACAGGTCGTCAGGTTCCAATAAGTTTGGCTCCATAAGTTTGACTCACTTATATTATACATGAAAAATAGGGTTCTTATAAATAGAGGTCAACTTGACAGATTTCACTGTTATTGCAGAAATTATCGGATGTAAAGAGAGAAAAATAATTACCATTTGTACTAAAATTAATTCATAATCTTCATTTGAAGTCGTTCTATTCACCAAATACGCCAGCCATGTGAAGAAGAGTATCCAAGTTGGGAAAATCATTTAAATGCGATGTTCTTGAGTGACTAAATAAAATGTGAATGAGCTGTTATGGCAAGAACTAAGTAATGACAGGAACTAAAATTAAATAGCTGACGAGGCTAAATTTAATAAAATGTATCAAAATAATGCTCCATTCAACTACTTTATTTTACTGACGTACTTATGAAGAGAAAAAAATCTAAGCATATTAAAAAAGAAGAAGAAAAAACTTAGCAGAGGCGTGGAACTTGAAATATTCAACTGTTTTTATTACCACACGAAAAGACTATTGGAATAATTTTAAATTCCAAGCGTAGTATCTGTTTTCACCTTATTTTAAATAAAGTTTTTCTTTCTCTGTTGCTTATGTTTTTACAGGCAAAAATGAAGAACGAATGAGGTGTAAATAAGTAGACTGGCGCCTTTTTTTTAAAGAATATATACATTTCTTCCATACATCGATAACTGGCACTTGTTTTCCTTTTTCGGGCTGAATCCTGACTACCATAGACTATACCCTGGTATACTTTGTCACATTGCGCTTCATTATGTGGTGCATTCAGCCTCCAAAAAAATCCCTCAAAAGTTTTATATTTCTTTGCATTCCAAGAGAATGTCGGGTTGGTAACCTCGTCACATTGTGGTTGTGATGTTGGGTTGGTAACCTCGTCACACTGTGGTAGTGACACCTATAGATAAAATCAGGAAACGCTTCCGAAATAACTACTACTTACACTTCAAACGGGGATTCCCCGTAATATGTAAACACTCAAGTGAGCGATTTAACTGGGAAAAATAAAGATTCGATTACAAAAAGTTGTCTCTTGTTATTTGCAGTTTCTAAAGAATATTATTACTTTAAATATAGTAAGCCGCTACATTCTGGTGACCCGGAATTATTAACGAAAATGACGGACTCTGAACCATCGGCAACCAAAGATGAAATAGCACGAGTAAGTGTTAAAATACCCCCGTTTTGGGCGGAAAAGCCNAAATAATCCTAAGAAACTGAATAACCTGAGACATTACCTGATTAAAAACTTCATTCACTTTAAAAATATATAAATAGCAAATAACAGTCAACATGTTTTAAGCGCCTTAAAAATAGCGCCCTTTTTCAAGACTTGCCAAACGTGAATAAGAAGACACAAATCTGATTTGAAATATAAAACGTAAAGTTACCAACGAAAAATGAAAAAGCAAAGAAGAGGAGCAAAATGAATAAAAAGCAAGATTAGACTAGATCGGTTACTGTGACTTTTTTTAGTTTTGTTCCTCAATTGTGTTTCTCCTTTTTTCGCTGGCAACTTTATATTTTTATTTCAAAATAACTTCTATTTCTTCTCATTCATGTCTGGGCAAGCCTTGAAAATGTGTGCATATTTTTGTAGCGCTTGAAACATGTCAACTGTAATTTTCTATTTATATATTCGTGGAACATATTATTTTCGTAGTCAGTGTAATCGCAAATTAAAATAATTATAAATCAAACAGCACGATGTTGCTTAATACTTGTACAGTGTTAATTTTCAAGATTATCAGGCATCTACAGTTTGTTTTTGAATGAAATAGTTGCTTAATTTGAAAAAAGAAAAATGTTCATTTGAAGATTTTATTTCAATAATCTTGAGTTCAACTTACTTCTCTTGAATTGCCAGTCATGAAGTTTCTATACATGTATCGAAGAAATTTTCCTAGTCCATAGTGCTGTTTTTCCCCAAGCTTGAACCATTAAAAAAAAGTACATAACATAAAATTGCACATAAATATAGATTATAAATTTTACATTAACTAAAACTTAATGCAAGTTAAACTATTTTCCTTGAAAATTTTCACGAATAGGTACTTTAAAAAAACTAATAAGTTTAAAATGAATACTTTTCATTAGTATTACTTTTTTTTAAATAACCGGGTTACAATTTTTCAATCCAGTGACTTTTAACGATGCGATCTCTTGTTTGGCATTTTCTTAAATAGAAGAAAACTTGATTCTTGAACTTTTTTAACTTCAGATTAAAAGTTTTAAAAGAAATAAAAGTTTATATTATAATTGGGACAAGAGTCAAGAGAAAAATACAGCCAATAGAAAAATATCTAAAAAAGGAAGAGAATCGTTAAAGACTGCTGGATTGTAAATTAGCAACCAGATTTGAATCATCGATCAATAACGTCCTTGCAGCTACCAATGTTCAACTTCTCTATCTTGCAATTTTTAATCCAACACAGAAGACAAACTCTTAAATAAAGCATTGAAACAGATGCGTGATCATTCAGGGTGCGTAGCCAAATTATTCAACAAAAAATAAGCACTTTTCAAGCACTCAAAAAATATTTTTAAGCACTTTAAAAAAATATCATAATTGGGCAGGATTGGAAAGTTTTTGACAATTGACGGTTTTATCTTGTTTTAAACGTCATGTCAAAAAAAACTTCTGGCATTGTTTTTGACAATCGTCAAAAATCATGAAATTTTGAATCATGTCAAACGAGTGGCGTTTTCATACGCTTCGGACTGAAAGGCGCCGAAATAGATTGGGGTTGAATTAATTGTGAAAACGTTGAATAGAACAATGTGAACTGCGTCTTTTTGAATAATTCGAAGTGAAAATCAACATGGTAAAGGAAAAATCTCATTTTGAAAAAGGGAAAATTAAGCACTTTTTAAAAATACCCAATGAAAAAAGCGCCTTTAAGGGTTTTTGAAAACGAAAATCGAAAATGAGCACCTTTAAGTACTTTTTAAAAACGCTACGCACCCAGAATTTTTTAAAACAGCAGAATTTTCTGACATAATACAGCGTATGTCATACAGCAGAAATATTGTCCCAATAGTTTGGTCAGGAGAGCGTCTCAAGATTGAGATCCCTTAATGTTAATTTTACTTTTTGCGTATTATTTCGCCATGTCTCGAGAACTGCTTACGCGAATTGAAAAAATTTTGCACGCAATTATAAAATTCATTTACCCAAAGATAATTCAAAGCAAGAAATAATTTTTAATAATTATTCATTACTTTTATTATTTTAATTATAGTGGAATAAATTTTAGTTCGTAAAGAAAGTTGTACGTCATTTTAAACAATCTAATTTTATAAGGGGAGATATAAAATTTGAATGAATCCAGTTGAATAGTGTATGAAAAATTGAATTTTTAATGTATCTAAATTTTTTACAATCACGGCAAAATACGTAAATTAAGGAGCTCCAAGCTTTAGACCGCTCCAGACCAAACTATTGGGACTATAATTTTCAGGATATGGCTATTCCCTTATATTTTGGGGATCAGAAATCCACATTCGAAGGTACTATGTTTTTTCCGAGGAAGCGTCTGATTTAATAACTTAAAATATCGTCTGCGCTAACTAATAAGCATATGTGAGGTCACCCCCTCGAACTATTAAGATTGAGTCCTAGAACGTGAAAATCCAATCAATAGATCCAAAATTACTCAGGTCTGTTCATTTTTTTTCTTTGCGCACTGTACATAATGCATGCATATGTACAGTGCGCAAAGTATACAGCATATATATATATATATATCGAAATCAATCAAAAGAGTTGCTGCTGAAGAAGCAGGACAAAACCAGTTTGATGGCATGAGGAAAAGGGGTGGAATACAAGTATTTATTGAGAAACAGCACATTCTTTTTGACATCATTCCACATTTAATTATTTAGTTGGATATAGTTTTTCAAATTCCGCTTCTCATAAGCTTTTTCATATTACGAAAGTCTATAAGACTGGTTTAATACATTTTAAAATAGAGAAAACTCAAACAGTTTTAAATAAAACAGATGTTCTGACAATTAGGTCTGATCTCTGCTAAAAGTTTGCAGAAATTCCAAAGTAAAAAATTTTAAAAAAATCTTATCCACTTACTAAAGTCAACTCTCCTAATCCTTCCTTCCAAAAACTCTCTGGGTTTGGATCAGTTGGGTATAATAATACAGGAGCACGTTCACCATGACGGAAGAGCTACATGTATAAAAATAAATAAGAGTGTGTGACAGAAGTGGTACAGTAATAAATCATAAACCTTATTTTAAAATTTTCGCCGACTGGCCTGTGTGAGGGTCAGGGAACTGGCCTTGTATGTGGTTCTGGGTTCGAATCCAGGGCAAGGCATGGATGTTCTTTCATTTTCTGTGCTATCTGTCCTTACAGTGGAAGCAGCGTTGGTCCACCTAATAGGGTACCTCTGAAAGAGTGGCCAACAAATTTGCCCTGACGAAAGGTCATTCTCAAAGTGGGCATTTGAAAAAAAGAATTTCATTTTTCATTGACTATACGACAGATTTTTTAAAATTTTCGGAATTTTTTATTTAAAATTGTATTTAGTTTAAAATAACATTTAGTTTAAAATTATATTTAGTTTAAAATTATGTGAAAATTTGTATACTTTATTTGTAAGAACCATGACTCAAAAAATAAGAAATTAATTAAAATTAATATAATTTTTTTCAGGGGATAACTCTTTTTGGATAACCAAATTTTATAATTGTACACTGTTAGAAATTTCTCGGAAAAAATGGTTAAATAACAATTTAGTGAATGGTTATTTTACCATATTTAATCAAAGCAGTCAAATAACCATAAATAAAATGGTAATCAAACTGTAGAAAAACTGTTTATTAACTGCTTTCACCTAATACGGTTAAGCAACCAGAATCTTATCTCACCACCTAATGAAACTACTCAGTTCTTTGCAACTGCGTACTATATCATAGCTGAGCTGACTTATATGTCAATCTCATGACCGGTAGAACTAACTGGTGTTCGAGTCCTAGTGTTGACACCACACTATTTCCTCCATTCCCTTCAGCACTTGAAGAATTTCCAGTGTCCGGCACTCTCCAATGCCCATTACCTTACGAAAAGCAGAGTTCTTATGTCTAGTAAAAAAAAATTTTTTTTTTTACGTATTTGAAAAATGGTAGTTGTAAATGGTTAAAAACCCGTATAGTTTTGTATTCATGGTTTTATAACCATACCATTTGTAAATGGTTTCAAAACCATAAAGGGAAAAAAATGCTCTTTACCGTAAACTTTACCGTCAGTCGGATGGACAGACAGCTGCCAGTTATTTTACCATAATTTCAGAATGAAAATTTAACAGTGTAGTAAAAAATCTTTGACTGTCCAGATGAGAATATTGAGACCCTATTTTCCAGATTTCAGCTACTGACCTTATTTTAATGATTAACAATCCAAACTCGTCGAAAGAAAGGTGTGTTTATTCAGAGAAAGTACGCTTTGTGTCTGATTCCATAGCTTAATAAATGGCTAGTTCTAATTTTTTAGCATATCTGTGGTCATCATCGCTTTGAACCATTGTGACTGGTACTTGATTCTTGAAAATCCGATTATTAGAATAAGTTATTTAGGGTGACATCTTTTTTTTTTTTTGCCTCTGGTTCAATGCACACATGGATGAGCGTTGTTGTTGTTTTTTGACATTGGAAAAGTGATAGCGTCATTTGATTTGATGATATAGAATTCATTTAAATTTTCGTCAACTCATATTATATTTTTGACTGCACTCATGATTTAATTTAAAATTCGTTGATCAATTGTCATTTTCACGAAATGAAGCAATGAAAAATTCATTTATAAGCTTTTTGTGAAAATTATTAAATGAGCTTAAAATAATATCTTAGCATAAGGAATTTAAACTAGACAAAAAAAAAAATTCTTTCTTAAGTGAAACTGCTTAACCATTTTTATATGCAAATTCATTCGATAACATAAATGATTATTGATTTCTTTTATAATTATAATGTTTTTATCTCAAAATAAACATTCAAGATCAACAGGTCGCCAGATTCCAATAAGTTTGACTCACTTTTATTATACATGAAAAAATAGGGTTTTTATAAATAGAGATCAACTCGACAAGTTGATCAACTATAAATAGAGATCAACTTGATCAACGTGCTTAACCATTTTTATATGTAAATTCATTTGATAACATAAATGATTATTGATTTCTTTTATAATTATAATGTTTTTACATCAAAATAAACATTCAAGATGAACAAGTCGTCAGGTTCCAATAAGTTTGACTCACTTTTATTATACATGAAAAAATAGGGTTCTTATAAATAGAGATCAACTCGACAAGTTGATCAACTATAAATAGAGATCAACTTAATCAACGTGCTTAACCATTTTTATCTGTAAATTCATTCGATAACATAGTTGATTATTGATTTTTTTATAATTATAAGGTTTTTACATCAAAATAAACATTCAAGATGAACAGATCGTTAGGTTCCAATAAATTTGACTCACTTTTATTGTACAAGAAAAAATAGGGTTCTTATGAATCGAGATCAACTTGATAGATTTCACTGTTATTGCAGAAATTATCGGATGTAAAGAGAAAAAAAAATTACCATTTGTACTAAAATTAATTCATAATCTCCATTTGAAGTCGTTCTATTCGCCAAATACGCCAGCCATGTGAAGAAGAGTATCCAAGTTCTGAAAATCATTTAATGCGATGTTCTTCAGTGACTAGATAAAATGTGAAAGAGCTGTTATGGCAAGAACTAAGTAATGACAGGAACTAAAATTAATAAGCTGACGAGGCTAAATTTAATAAAATGCATCAAAATAATGCTCCATTCAACTACTTTTTTTACTTATGAAGATAAGAAAAAATCGAAGCATATTAAAAAGGAAGAAAAAAACAAACAGTTGTAGCAGAGGCGTTTTGTTTGTGAAAAAGGATGACTGTAATTTTCTCCGTATGTATTATACACTACAGTACATTAATGGAAAAGACAGTTTAAGTTTTTGAAATATTTTTAAATTTCTCGAGAATTATTTTCAGGATTATTTTGTAACTTTAGAAGTGAATTAGAACTCAGTTCATGCGATTTTTCATACTTAACAATACATTTTACAGCTTTCAGAAATTTAAGGGCCCGAGCATAAAGTAAGAAAGAAAACAAGCATTTTGAACAACCTCTGCTTGAAAATCAAGCAGTAAACTTGTAGTTTTTATCTGATGTTATTTTTAATAACTGCATGAAATTCCGTAAATCTGACTTAAATATTTATGTAAATTTTTATAAAAGACTCAATTTCTTGTCATGCGATTTTCTTTTTAGCTATACTTTAAAAATATTCAATGAAATTAAACGCAATTTTTGGGGGAAGTTTAAAATTAATGAACAAAACTATTATTTTAAAATTTGAAGAAAAATTCGTTAAAAGCTGAGTATTTAAAGTAGTTTTTTTTTATATTCCGAATGCCCGGGTTGAAATTTGAAAAGTTTCAAGCAATTTTCTAGGTAGTTTTTCAAATTTTTAAAGGAAAGCCCTGGAAACTGCCCAGAAAATTGTTTAAAAATTTTGGCTATTATTTTAATTTGATGGCTGAAATTGAATGCTCCTATTCTTTATTACAAAGCAATTTTATGATATTAATTACGCAATACTTTACGATCGTTTTACCCTTTTTACAATTATTAAATAGTAAACAAATTATAAATTTTTACAGTTATAATAAACTTTATTGATAAATATGAGAAATCTCATATCCTAAAATTCCTTTAAAGTTGCAAAATACATAATCCATTAAGTATTTCTGGAGAAAAATGTTAAACAGTGTCTAGTCAGAATATACAATGGGATAACTGCAAGTAACGTTGTGTGGGTATCTCGGTCCCTAATTGGTTTGTAAGCGTGACATTTGTTTACGTTAGCAACTGTTCTTTCCATTCTATTTCGAGCAAACCTTGCCCGTCAAGTAACAATTCTCTTAAGTGACGCATTCTATATTCTTTCGCAAATATTTCAATTATTTCACTATATATTTCTCACTTAACACAAAGACAGGGGCGAAACCATGTAGAACACATACAAACTAATTATGCATCGAAGTTGCCAGGTGTAAAACAAAAATATATCTCGGTTACAATAAAATATCCAAACAAATAATAAATCTAAGTTAAATAAAAGATGTAGACAAAAAAGAACTATATTTCAGCAATTTTGATGTGTGATATGGCGCTGTAGTTAATTAACTCCTCGTTAATTAACATTCTCACTTATGTGAAGAAACTTAGCTGAACTTTAACACGCCATTTTGCTTAAAAATGATCAGCTGGCGCTGACGTCATTGATCACATATGTGGGCACCTATGATCTTCTTCCTCTTGAAGTGCAAGTACCCAATTAAAAAACGAATACAAAATTCAATAGCATTAACCTTTCGTATTATTATTTAATAATCTCTTTGGCGAAAAACATCTAGCGAGTTTTTATAGTAACCACATATTTAAAATGGAATTAATTTAATTAACAAAATTGAAGATGTAGCTTCAATGGTAATAGAGAAAAACGATTAAGTTTAAATTTTATCTCAATAGAATCGTTTACTAAATCTGTAGAATCAAATCAGCATTAATAAAATAAAAATTTGGGGGAGGGATATTTTAATTTTTAATTTTGGCGTAATGATCTGTTTGTCGCCAAGAAATAAAAATGATTTCAGATCAATGTTTACCGGGTTAGAGTGAAGTTAAAAAAAAAATAAAAAAAGGGTCCCTTGAAATAAATAAAAGATAAAATTGATCAAAAACTTTTAAAATTTCTGTGCCACACAAAATATATATATATCAGGGATCCGCCCAGGCCAAATTTACTACCGTTTAGCGGTACTTTCACAAATTCATATTTAGGAAAAACGGTAGTTTCACAAAATACTTTTTCTTAAAATTTTATTTTTGTATCCCATAAGAAATGAAAAATCCATATTTTTACCATATTTTTGTGTTGATTTTTTAATTTTCACAAATTGCGTCTAAATTTTCACAAAATAGGTACCTTTCAGAAAAACTTAGACAGACCCCTGTATATATATATATAGTATGCGATTTAATTTATTTTTTATTTTGCAATATTTATATTTCTTTCAGGAAATCACATGCAATTAAATTACTTTTGCAGATGATAAATGTGTATACGGTGAAGTATTTAAAGATAGTGAACATAAAATTTTGCAAATTTCAAAGCAATTTTTTTTATTTTTTTCAATTTCTGTAATAAGTTACTACACATTATGGGCTAAAGAACCTGTAATATGATAAACCACATTTTTTAAATTGTGCATACGAACGTTTCTAGTCTAAAATAGCTCGATTTTTAATGAGTTTTTTTCCTCTTGTGTGACGTCTACTATTATCTAATGGAATTTACTGATTGGTGTTCGAATTGTTTTCTTAAAAATTAAATCGTACTAAATTTAGAATATACGGTAAAAAGTGTTGTCATTCTGATAGCCGGTACTTTTTACTGCAATTTTTTCAGAAATATTTCTTTCAAGGTGACAAGTGTTTAAAATTATAACGCAAGTTAAAATCAGTACCCATTTAAACTTCAAACGAATTCGCCTTTAAACATTTAACGCAGACTTTTGAATTATCTTAACAATTTTGAAATATAAAATTTATTCAGAACACTAAATAGAATTAAAAATGTTGTTCTTATGGTAATACAAATGCAGATTTACATTAATCTATCCATCTATATACGTAAATATAAAATAAATAATAATAAAATAAGCTTTTCAAAGATGAATTTTACCTTAATTGGAAATCGTGCTGAAATAATATTCGATGTTCTGTTTGTTGTTCTGGCAAGAGTTTTGAAGGTCATGAATCTGTTATTTCATTTGAAAGAAAATCACATAAATGATTTTGTAACTATGCAACTTTTAACTACATCTAACAAGCAAATAGCAGCATTAATATGTTTAATGGTGAAATTACCAAGCATTTGAAATCGTCACATATATTTTTATTTCAAAATATTCTTCGTATTAAAGTGAAACATGCCATAATAATTATTTTTCAATATTCGTGAAAGGCGCGTGCATGACAAACTATTAATTCGCGGTGCGCTAATTTGCCATGTGCTTTATTGATTCGCCATGTGATTTAGAGTAAATCACTCATGACCACTGTAATAGAAATCAAAACATAAATTTTCAATAATTGAGTTAAATTTAAATTAAAGCTTTGCCCTAAAAACTATTAGAACGATAAACTATACACATTATCTGTTTTATTTGTATTAGTTTCACTGATAAAAAAAATTATCAGCTGAAAATTATTTTTAAGAAATATTGTTTAACTGTCAACGATTTGCTTGTTTTTCTTTCTGTCATCGGAAGAAGAATATTACACATTACTTCTATTTTTCATGCCTAACCAAATGCGTACCTATTAGAAGTTAAAATAAAAATTAAATTAATTCTAATAATTATAATAATTATAATTATAATAATTATAATTATAATAGTTATAATTATAATAATTATAATTATAATAATTATAATTATAATAATTATAATTATAATAATTATAACTAGGAGACTTCGCCCCCTCCTCGCTGGTGCTCACCAGCCCCCGGAACTGCTTTCGCAGTTCATTTCGGATTGCTTCGCAATCCAATGCTCGCTTTGCTCTCTCATTGGATACGTTCTTAACGTCTAGTTTTTGTATACTTTTTTGAATACTGAAGTTCCGAAAACTTTTCACTGTAGAAAATTCTAAACCTGT